CGTCTATTGAATCAAAATTGAGCATCAAAATCGAAATCAAAACCAAGTTATCCCCTACAAATCACCTGTATCGCTTGGTAACCGATATCTACATCGTTTTTCTGAATGTAAAAAGTAAAAAATGAAATAAAACAAACAAGGAAAATGATTGAATCGAAGGTGAAAAGGGAGTTAGGATGTTTCCTTCGGATGTTTCCTTCGGATGTTTCATTCGGATGTTTCATTATAATGCTTCATGCTGTTTAAGTCGGTCGGAGTTGATCAGTCTATAATGAAAACCTCTATTGTATCATTGGCTTGGCGTAAATCAGACTTTAAAGTTGATGAAAAGTGTTTCAATTTTGAAATTGCATGCGTACATACATAGGTTTTACTTTATTAACGCGACTTGCGACTTGCGACTTGCGAAAGTAACACTTTCTCTTGACTCCAACAGGTGAGCAACTTTAAATTAACATATGATATCCTAGAATATCCAACTAGTAGATCAATCCGTCTAGGAAAACTTTTAATAAAAGAATTTTATCAAAAACAATTTCCCCACTTATCTTTAAATTAGCAAGCAAAAGCAAAAGTTGCCAAACTGCTTTTCATGCTTAATATCAGGTATTCCTAGGAATAAAATTACTCGTACCGTACCAAAGTATCTCCAAAAGTAGTTTTACTTTCCATTCTGATAAACTTTTGTTTTTTTACAGGCATACTCTGTCCTTTCATAACACCTGCCTCTATTGCATATCACCTTCAAACCAAAAAATTCTAACGAAGCAATTTGCTCACTAATTGATTGATGCAGAATAATTCGCAGATTGTCATTGACGTGATTCCTTATCGATTCGAGATCTACATATTTTTCCTAATTTTCTCAACGATTGGCACAAGTTTACTGATTCTGATCGCTTTTTACAAGACTCCCGACTCAATGCGTGGATATCGGATTCATATCATTGATAGCCTAGTAAATAAAATTTATTTTCTTATAAAAGTTACTTTAGGTATCTTGTTGGCTTTTTAGTTTTTTAATGGATCTTTTCTATGTGCCGTATTTCCTCGAAAAGACACTAAATGATCAAAGAACTCGCTTTTTTTCGGTTTCTTTGATCGCGCTGCTCTCGAGCAATTTCAATCAAAAGTTTCAAATTGTATGTTAGAATTGAAAAGGCACAAAACTTTGATGATAGATTTAGTCAAACGAATAATACTATTAATTTCTAAAGCCACAAAACTAAAGCACTTACAAAGTTATAGTACCTAATTTTAAATCAACATAAAAGAAGATTAGTGTTTCAAGACTAATGGAATTACCGTAGATTTTCTATTGTTCTATTTCTATTAGCTTGTTTTATTTCTATCTAAACAAGCGTTTTAGTAGTCGACAAAATTTATCTTTAAAACAGAAACAACACAGTTTAATCCAAAATATATTCACCATTATTATTGATTACTTCTTGCCATCTTTTGCGCAAAGAATTGATGCTGCTCTTGCAAAACTCAGCCGGCTGTGACTCGAGAAACTTGGCGGCCCAATTTTGGGCATCTTCACGGGTTTTGAATTTCTCATTGGCCAAAAAGGAATCAAAGGTAATCTGAGGGAGCCAAATCGGGAGCATACGGCAAATGTGGTAAAACCTCCCATTCTAGATTCTCCAGTATTTGCTGAGTCATCTTTGCAACGTGAGGTCTGGCGTTGTAATGGATGAACTTTATCTTTGATGTGTCTACTCCTTGACGAATGAGAGCTTTATTGACCCGATCAAGTTTGGTAGAGGCCTGATGTGACTGTTTGGCCGGGTTGTAGAAGCTCGAAATAAACAAGACCCTTGTTATTCCACCTTACAAAGAGCATGACCTTTTTCCCATGAATGTTCAGTTTCACGGTCGGATTTGGCCTTTCTCCTGGTCCTAGCCATTGCCGTTTTCAGATAGTATTATCGAAATGGATTCACTTCTCATCTTCAGTAACAGAGAATCAAAAAAGTTATGATCTTTTGAGGATGAGGATTCCGGCAATAGCGACCCGTGAAGCCTTGTTTGCACTGCTTAACTCGTAAGGAAGCCATTTCCCACATCTGATCGTCTTTCCAATGTCGTGGAGATGCTCATCAATAGTAGGATTTGAACATAGAAACTGTTGAGCAAGTTCACACGTCGTTTGACATGAATCCGGTTCGATTGCAGCCGTCTACCGCTTGAGGTCGACGAGAGTGTTCATCATCCTCGAGACTTTCATCACCATTCCGAAAGCGTTGGAACCAGGCTCGGCACCGGCTTTCGGACAATACATCATTCCCAAATGCTTTGACCAAATCTCGATGGAATTCCACGGCTGTTTTGCCCAGTTTGAAATCGTAAAGTAGGCAGACGCGAACTTGATGTTCGAAGTCGGTCATCTAATGCAAGAAAAAAGATCTTAAAAATTAGAAATTATGCGTTTAAAAAGATTTCAAATATGCGCAAGATAACGTACTTTTAAATACAGAAAGACATGTTTTAAAAACTTCTCTCATAACAAAAAGTTGTTTATATCCAAACAACCTAATATAAAAATGATAATTCCAATTAAATTATATTTTCATAAACTCTTTCAGCTTCTGGTCGCATTGTCCATTGTAAACCTTTTCCGAGCCAACATCCAATGTTTCAAGTATCGTTTCGAATTCGTTGTCATTGGAAAACTCAAAGTGTTGTATGATCAAGTCGAGAATTTCGGGTATTGGGGTGTGTTGATTCCTATAAATATTATTGTTATTTGTATTATCGAATTTTGTTATGACTCAACGGGACAATCCGAACAATTCGTGAGTTATCTCTTGGTCTTTCAAATCTTAATTCTTTAGATAAGCACTTCATTTCTCTTATCCAATTCTTTATCGATAACTCCTAATCAAGTGATCATTTTATGGGCGGTGTTCGGCCCATTTACTTTCATTGGTTTTTTCTACATTCTATTTTTTCTCTTTTTCATCATAGCGACTCATTGGATTTTGTGGAAAAGCAAAAATTTGGCAAACAGACAATCAAAGAAAACAATTATGGCACAAAGGACGGCTTTTCTAATGCTTTTGATACAGGTGATTTAATCGATAACTCCTAATCACCGTACTCTTTCCTTGGTCAATCTAGATATTTCTGGCTGATTCAGTAAGATCTCGGAATGATCACAAAGCTACTAAAACTAAAAAACTAAAGCCAAGGTTCCGGTAGGTTGAAGTCCAATGCATAACCATGACCCATCATCAGTATACATGAAAAAAAACAATAAACAAAACCAAGAACATTAGTTTATCAGCACCATTCAGGGCTGTTGCACTCTCGGCCTCGGCTTAATCGTCTTCATATTTCTCGCCCTCAGCGCTCTCACTTCTTTTCCCATTTTTTCATATTGTAAGTGGTTAAACGAGAAAAAACTTTGACCCTTTTAGTGTCCAATCTATCACTTATAATATGCGGTGTTCCTTATGGATTTATCAATCCATTTGTGGTGTTGTTCACAACGAATCCATATCTTGTGTACGTCAAAAAGTTAACATGCTTGATCCCATTCAATCGTTCGAAACAAACTGTTCCAACCTCAATGGTCCATTGAAATAAAACAAATCCATTTTCAATAAACGATTCAGAACACATGGTTACAAAAAAGTAATTTTTCAATTGATAAAATATTTTCAAAAATGTCAGATTACAGAGATTTTTAATAGTGCTATTTCAGAGCTTAAAAACATTGGTTATCACCAGATCCACCTGTACTTTTTAAAGCATTTTATTTCATATTCATGCCTCCATCCGCTTACCCACCCCAAAAAGCACCTGTTTTTGTGTAACAAACCGAAAAAAATTCGATATGTCTTTTTGTCGTAAAACAAATTTCTATGACCTATGTTAACTGAATCTATCATCATCGAAAGTGACGTGATTCCCTATCGATTTGAGCTCTATATCTTTATCTTCATTTCCTCTACAATTGCCACTTGTTTGTTGGTATTGATTGCTTTTCTAAAGACACCGAATTCAATGAAGGGATATCGGATTCATATCGTTGATAGTCTGGTGAGTAATAGGTGGTAAATGTTTTGCAGAAAAATAGCTAATAAGCCAGGGTTCATTTGGCTGTGGTTTCGTGCAGATCAGGATTGTTCTAAAAGTCAAGGCTAAGTCAAACAAAAGTCATGACCTTGTCTTGGCTTTGAATCATGGCTTGGCCTAGAAATTGGTTTTAGTAATAGCCCTGGTGCAAGCTACATTTCTGCTCAATTTTAGAACATTTCTGGCACCCTGGTACAGTAATAATCGTATCATTGCTTGTGGCGTTGTAGCGTAATCACTAAAAGCTATTGTAAAGACAAAGTTTTGTTTCAATAACCTCACTTCAGGTCGCGTGCTGGCTTTTTAGCTTCACTATGGATCTTCTCTATGTTCCGTATTTTCTCAAATCGAACTCCATCGATGAAATATTTTTCTTTTCGGTTTCATTCATTTCTTATTGCTCACTAGATTTCGCCATATTGCTTCAGATTGTAAGAATTTTTTGTTTTTAAGAAGGAGTAAACTGATTTGTCAAAAATCAGAGGAATTTGTTTCAGCTTGCACTTGCAATCTCGATTGTGAACGTTTTCCGCGCAAATTTGCAATGTTTCAAGTATCGTTTCGAGTTCGTGGTAGTCGGAAAATTGAAAATCGCTCATGATCGCGTGAAAGATTGGCTTTATTGGGGAGCTCTCATTTCAATTTTGATTATTGTCGTGCTTCTCATCGAATTTTGTTTCGAAAAAACGGGTCAACGGCTTCAATTTGTGCTTAAATTTTTTAAGCTTAAAGATATCCAGTCCTAGGGAAGAACTTCATTAATTCTACCGCCAACTCTCTCAGTAAATCCAAATCGAGTAATCATTTTCTGGCCGGTGATTGGACCGTTTATCTTTATCGGAATCGTTTATATCTTATATTTTATTTTTCTCATCACCGGCACCTATTGGGTTTTGTGGAAAAGCAAGCAGTTGATGATGAAGAGCTCGAAGAAAACGATCATGGCACAAAGGACGGCTTTTCTAATGCTTTTGATACAGGTACTGCGGATAAGCTCTACAGAGTGTCCTAAAAGTTCTTATACCGTATTTCTTCGAATAGAAGGCCGGGCAAAGAGTATCGTCGCGTACTCATGCGTAGCAGCCCTTTTTAACATTTCTTTTCTGCATAAAAGCTTTCAATCAAGTGCTATAGAGCTGGAAAATGGCTCAAAAATCTGTTAGCTCATGTGGTATTTTTGAGTCATTTTCCAGCCCTATAGCACTACATTGAAAGCTTTTATGCAGAAAAGAAATTTTAAAAAGGGCTGCTACGCAGGAGTACGCGATGATACTCTTTACCCGGTCTTCTATTCGAAGAAATACGGTACTTTCCTGCAAGCAGTAACTTTTTGACCTGAAAAACACGGAAATTTCGGAAAACTAACACCAGATTCTAAAAATTCAGGTATTTTTTTACTATATGCCCATTTTTATAAAAAGATTTCAACTCTCAACAACTTTTTGACTTGGATTTTTTACATCCGGGTCTGGTCTGGTCGCTGAAGATTTTTGCGAAAGTTTACTTAAACTTTGCTGAATAAAATTTTTTCCAAAAACTGTTGTTACCATTTGATAGAACTCAGTTTTTTTCTTGAAAACAAGCGACAAACGAACTTTATCTCTCAAAAAACGAAAGATTTTCAAGCGATCCTACGGAGGGCACCCAAATCTCAAAAGCAAAAAAAAGTGTGACGACCTTTAAACATTCTCATCAAAAAGTTGTTTAGAGTTGCAACTTTTGTGCAAAAAAAAGAGTATAATAGAGGTAAAAATACCTAAATTTCTATAAACCGGCGTTAGTTTTTCAAAAATATCGCGTTTTCTGAGTCAAAATGTCCGTTTACAAAAAGTATAAGAACTTTTGGGACACCCTGTAGAAGCCAGACATGGACTTGGCTTTTGACGAGCTCTGACCTGGGTTTTTGATGGCCTGGTCAAGTGTAATGCTCATCGGACTCTATCCCGGTCTTTTAGAATATAGTATTATCCGCTGTTTAGCGGTTGTTTAGTTCAGAAGTTTTTAGTTCTCAAGTTTTATCAAATCAATCTACTTTTGGTTAACCGAATCCCGAAAATACCGAGAGTTTCTAAAAGTGGGATTGGATAAAAGAATTACGATAGTTTTTTAATGTTAACAGGTTTTAGTAAACAATCAAATTTACTTTGCAATAAGCTCAACCCAAATTTTCCAGGGAACCTCCACTCTGGGTCTCGGCATTCTCGTTGTCTTTTTCGCCACTTTAATAGTGTTCACCTCTATCCCGATCTTTTCAACCCGTAAGTGAAGACTGACTTAAATTTTATGAAAATTTTAGTAACAAACATCTCGCTACTGCTTTGCGGTGTTCCTTATGGTTGTATATATCCTTTTGTGGTCCTAATCACGACAAGACCCTATCTCGGCTATATCAAAGGATTGTTGTTTAAAAGTGTTCAAATCATCCAGGTTGCCACGATTGGCACTTCAACAATGTAATAAAGCTTTCAAAATTTGATCCCAAATTTGCATATTGACTGATTATCGTACCCTGTTGACTTGGCGATCTTCAGAAATGATTTCAGAAAAAGGCCAACTTTTTTTATAACTGTAATGTATTAGGTTAATGTCGTTTTTTGCAGTTTTGTAAATTTCCCGGTTTAGGGATAAGATATCAATAACCGTGATATACCATTCGAAAGCTCTAAATCTCTTCTACATTCTGATAAAAACGGATTTTTTAGTTGATGAATATTTATTGAAATTTCTTTTTCTAAAGCTAAGGTGTCAAAAATTGGATCCGTTTTGAAAACCCCATTTCTGTATAGCTCTATCCCAGCCTTATGCTCCAAAATTACCACCCATAATAGTCATTTAAAATTTTTAAAGTTTGGACTGTTCAGCAGAAAAAAAATCTTACATAACATTCATCGATATCTTATTTCTAAGCTGACAAAAACAACAAAGAAATTTGAGAAATTTGCAAAACTGATAAAAACAACATTAACAGTGGGCCAACCTAATCTTTACAATCTATATTTAAATTCAAACATTTAAATTTAAAAAATTTAAACATTTAATCAAACATTTAAACAGACTAGCCGTGATCAGAAAGTTTGCATTGTAAACGATTTCTATATCATTTTCCCCCCAAAGATACTTCTTGGGTTCAAAACTGGTAAGAACTTTGTCCTTTCAAAAATTTCCACCGAACTTTGACCAAATCTAGGACATCTTTAAATATTTAAATGCTAGAACGACGAAACTTTTGTGTGAAACTTTAATCACTAATTAGTCTGGGAAAGAAAGAAAATGGAAAGCGAGCGCCGACGAACAGAAATTTGAGCCTCGATTTTCAGCCCCACTTGGCACACGTGCTTTAGCCTGAGGGGGCACTCACTCCACGAGGCACAAACCTTTTACTATTGAATGGAGAAAAGAATAGTGGGGACCAAAAAGACCTTTGGCCCTATATACGGCCGTGTAAGGGCATAGGCCCTTACACTGGTGTTTGCTTTGTGGCGCCATCAAATATTTTTTGCGCGTCCGGCCCGGCTGGGTCCTCCTCACACTATGTATGCACAAGCATTGATTGGAAAAATTACTACTTGAAAGTGTTGCTTGTTAACTAGGGATCCCAAGTTTATTTAATCCTAGAGTTTTTTTGCTAAGGCTTCTAAACCTAAAACGTAATCAGGAAAGACTTGTCAAGCTCTTGTTGACTTGTTTACTCTTGTTTGTTTGTTTTTTCTTAATCTTGTTGACTCGAGATTATAATCGTCTTACAATTAGCTTCAAAGATGATCTAACCAACCCCAGAAGTTGCAAGCCAAGTCAGAGCCAGGCCCAGGACTGACTTCTGATCTGAATTCTGACAAACCCAGGGACTTTTTCTGGGTCATGCTTGGAATAAAACCAAGTCAGATCCAGTCTAACAAGGCTAGCCCATATTTTTCTATTCTTGTTATACAAAATCTGATCAAACTTTAAGAACAAGATTCAATTTTGAAAGCCAACGAAGCCATTTCGCGCCTCAGCTACTTCTAATTTTTCTGAAAAAACGTTTCTGCTTTTATTCTGAATAGAACTATGAATGAATATTTGAATTTAAATCTGTATCTGAATCTGAATAGAACTAGAATTCTGAATAGAACACACAGTTTTTCCTTTTTACCAATATCTTTCGCTTCTCACATGACCTAGATATCAAATGTTTTCGATGCGTGTTCTGACGACGAGATCACGAGGATTTGTTCTCAAATTTTTCCAATTTCTATGTACTACATTTAAAGAAACAATTTCTTATCCCTTTTCTCATTATACCTTCCATTCCAATCATTTTCCAATTCGCTACCTTTTCAATTCGTTTTCGATCCATTTGTCTCGTCTCGTTTTCTTCACGATTCACTCAATGCCAGTGTCAAATTTCCGCGCAAATTTCCCCTAGAAATCTCGCGGAAAGTTAACGCTTGAGACTCGAAACAAATCAAATTCAAGCGGCAATTTCTCTCGATTTTTGCCTCAATTTTGAATAGAGAAAGTCTTGGATAGCCTCAAGTTACCACAATAAGGAAGCTGAGATGAAATCTTGCTTCATTATTTTTACTTTGAAGAGTTTTGAGTTTGTTTCAGAACTCATTTGTTGTTGTTTCAGAATGTTTCAGAACTTCAGAACTTTGCTCATTCAACTCTCTTTGGACTTGAAAAAAATTGTTCTTTTAAATGTTAAGAACAGAAATTTAATGATATTCAATTAAGCTTTAAGTTTTGAAGTTTTTTCCAATCAAAAAGTTTTCCCAATTGAGACGAGTTGAATGAAACACACGCTGGCATTAGGCCAGGATTGTTTCAAAGATATTTTTTCTAGACAATATCCGGTCACCTTGTTGCGATTTGACTCACAATCTTACATTTTCTAGGAATCGATTGGAACATTCCAGGACTAGACAGATCATTAAAACCTCTATCAAACTTGACTCAAAGTGAGCATTGACCTATAATTGCCCATTTTGATTCAACCGGCACGTCACCTCGTTGTCAACGGGTCTTTCGCCGCTTAAGTAACTCCGTCAGTCATTGTTATGAGTGAAGGTCTCTCTTCTATAGATGTCCCAAAGCATTTTATGTGTGTTTGGGAGGAGAAAAAGGGGGGTGCCGGAATGGACGAGTCTCTTCTGACGGCAAAAAGTCCCATTGAATAATGCACTCGCCAACAGCCTCCCCTTTCTATTGCGGACCTCTTCAGAACTTGTCACCCTTTAGCATCCATCAAATGCTGTTCACACTTTGTCTACACATTTGCAGCGATTGTGCTTTGAAGTCGATGAGCAAAGATTTGCCTCAATGTTTCTTTGAAATTTTATTCGCTAAATTCAAAAGTTTTAAGATTCTAAGGTCAATAAATAGCAAATTTTGCATTTTTGCTACGTTACTCAGGCTTAGGCTTAGGCGTAGGCTTAGGCTTAGGCTTAGGCTTATGCTTATGCTTAGGCTTATGCTTGGACTTAGTGCGTAGGCTAGCGGCTAGCGCCTAGCACTAAGTCTATTTGGGTTTGGGCTATACCCCCAATTTCTGTTAGGCTTAGGCTTAGGCTTATGCTTAGGCTTAGGCTTGGACTTGGTGCGTAGGCTAGCGGCTAGCGCCTAGCACTAAGTCTATTTGGGTTTGGGCTGAACCCTTAGGCTTAGGCTTAGGCTCTAAACCTATAAAGATGTACACTAGAGACTCCGGATTTGGTTTATGCAATCATCACAATTCGCAAATTTTGCATTTTTGCTACGTTACTCTATTTACAAAAGTATATTCTTTTTGATCACTGTCAAGTAAATCGTTTCACCAACTTGCTTGTGAATATCAATCGTTTAGTTTATCTTTTGGCTAGACTGAATACTCTAATTTAGACTAAATACCGTAATCTAGCTATTCTAGACTGAATATCCAATTCTAGATTGAATACCGTAATCCAGACTGAATACTCTATATCGACATAATTTTAGCTTTAAATTTTTTAAAGAATTTTTTTTGTTTTATTGATTTTCTTCATCTAGTACTTTTTTCCAAAACTTTTCCAAAAACAGATAATTAGGAAAAGCAGGTGAAAATCGTTCGTAATAATCACTTTTACAGATTGTATTGAAATTGAAAAAGTATATAACTTACTGAAAGCTCTGTTTTGAAAAATCCAGACTGTTTTTTTTTGTCTGAAATCCCCATCTACCTATTCGGGATTTCGCCGTTTCGTTTAATGACTTTCAGAAAAATCCTTGAAATACTCGTTTGATTGTTTTTCTTCATGATTTCAATGTGAGCAATTTACTTGAACTTGTTAGAAGCTCAAATTTTGAGCAAAACTTTCCACTTCTAAACTTGACTTCATGCATTTCTTTAGTGTCTCGTGAAAAGTTGGCTTTTCCATTGAAAAGCGACGAATTTTACCAATTATCTCTTCAGCTGTTGTTGCATTTATAGAAAATTTACCAAAGAAATCCTAAATTTTTGACTTCCTGCCGTTTTTTTTTTGCTTTTCAACAGCTTATACAAACGTGATTGCTTTTTAAAGAAAATACCTGGTCTTAAAGTTTTAAAAGTGTTCGATTGAACTCTCGTCTTTTCCTATTTGAGCTTCATCCTTCTGATTTTAATTTTTCAAAAATTGTTTGTTTATCTATATAGAATTCAACTCACCAAGAATGTTCTAATCGGAGCTAGCCGGTAAGTCCAATCAGGCGAGAAAACCAGAAGCAAGCCAAGAGCTGGTTTTGGAAAAAATACTTTGGAATCTAACCGATTGTCTCAACAATCTCAAAACAGTCGAAGGGAGTAGGACAAATGCGACCTTTTTTTTTTGCGCACCCGGACATTTGCGCACCTTTTTTTCCGCACCTTGCCCATTAGCGCACCTTTTTTCGCGTTTTAAAAAAGCTCTAGAAAGCTAATATTAACCAATTTCTATTCCAAAAGTTGTTTTTCTAGGTAATTTTAGGGCGTAGAATCGAAATTTTGACTTATCAGAGCTTGTGGAACCAATTTGAAAGACCAATTTGAAAGACAAAACGGCTAGATCAAATTACAGAAAATTGTCGATTTTTCTCTTTGTATAACTCCGTCCGTTGGTTTCCACAAGCTCTGATATGTCAAAATTTCGATTCTACGCCCTAAAATTACCTAGAAAAACAACTTTTGGAATAGAAATTGGTTAATATTAGCTTTCTAGAGCTTTTTTAAAACGCGAAAAAAGGTGCGCTAATGGGCAAGGTGCGGAAAAAAAGGTGCGCAAATGTCCGGGTGCGCAAAAAAAAGGTCGCATTTGTCCCACTCCCCAGTCTAATAAAAGAAGTGCCACCCGCTGTTCAACCTAAGCATCTCAATCCGGTTTTAAAGTAAAAACGATTTTTGTCAATTGATTCTTTTGATTTATCAAGACCCTTTTGAAACCTGAAAAAATTCGGGTCGATTTTGAGCCATCCACGAAAAAAAAAAGCGACTTTCGGATGACTGGGCCTAAAAATTCGCTAAAGAAAAGCCCTGGATAAAGGAGATGAATCTGGGAATGGGGAGAAAAGAATTCTATGAGCGAATCCGCCAAAAAGACTGGTCAATAATGGAGGGCAGATATGAGGGGGGAAAATAAAGGGAAAATATGGATGCGAGAGTCCGTTTTGGAGGATGCAAAATGGAGGTTGTGAGGGAGGGGAAATCTCTTGAAAAAAGGAAAGGGGAAAACACTCGTTCCACTCAATCCATTGGTCTCTTTGGACACTCAAAGAATAAAAGGGAATAAAAAGAAAAGACTCCATAAGGAAGTCTCTTTCTTTTTCTCTTTCACCCCACTTCTCGAGATTTACATATTGTGTTTTGCGATTTTCTTGTGTTTTGCACAAAAACAGAACACTTTATTGATTGATTTTAATTGAAGACATTTCATTTTTGTTCTTCCTGTAGTATGACCAAGAATTTTCAGCTTTTTTCAGTTAATCTGCCGTTTTGACGTCAATCAAGAACACCTTGATTGCAAGAGTTTCTTTATTTTTCTTTTTTTTAGCTTCTTTTCTTTCGAAAATTCTTCGCTCGCTCAATTTTCAGAGCTATAAATGTTCTTCAACAATTGAAACCTTTCAATTTCCCAACTACACCATGTTTTGGTCTAAATTGAAAGCAAAAACATATTTGGTTTCTTTTTATTTCAAGTTTTGAAAATTCCAGTAATCCAGGAAATTCCAAAATAGCTTTGAGTCACTGAAAACTCGATTTTGAGCATTTTATCCATTTTCTGATCTCATTTTTTGCTTAACCTTTATATATGTTATTTCTTCAAAGATTTTAAAGAAAAAACAAAGATTTGAATATTTTTCGACTTATACGACCAGTATTCCACACAACGAGAGTCTTCAAGAGTGCGTCATCAAGAGTTTTCCTCAAAAAACTCAATAATCTCTGAAAGTGTCCAATTTCATTTAAAACCTAAAGAAGCTAAGGAAAAAGAGAAGTAAAAAGAGACATTTCTTACGAGTCCCCGGTCTTTTTCTCATTTCTCTTTTTTTCAATAGGCTGTGGATGGGTATGGCCATTCACACGCAGAAGAGACCCCCACGAGGGGCCACTTCCCAATAGAAGCCCATTCCATCGGGTTTAGTCAAAAAGGAAACTGGTTTCAAGGGAAAAGGAAAGCCAGTACCCACGTAACTCTTACTTTTTCACACTTCTATTTCTTTGTCGCGATCCATTTCCGACTTTAGCCTCGCCACTTTTGTGTTTTTGTGTCTTTTCTGACAAAGTCCTGAAGAATTTTGAACCCCAACTACCTCTTTCTTTTCGAAAAACTAAAGCACAATTTTCTGCAATGCAACACTTTTTCAAACTTTGCTCAAAAGCGTCACTTTTCCACGTGATTTAACTTAAATTAGCAGCTGCTCTAGTCTGACTGAGATTCTTCTTGACTGCTTCTGTTGAGAAATTTTCCTTCTCTTAAAGTTTTCGCAACCTTTATCTTAACTATTATTTTTCTAATACTGATTCTTTTCCAGAACAAAGAGGGCATAGCTTTTTCGGCGTGGGTGTCCGATGCATCGGCCATCTTCGGCTCATTCATCCAATGTGTTGCTGTTGTTGTGGACTGCATCGCCACCAGATTCATCTCATTAGGTATGGTAAATTAGATAAATCAATCGTTCAAATGATATTTGGATTTACATTTAAAACACCAGCTATTTAACTGCTATTAGCCATCATTATTTTCACAGTTCTAAAATCAAATTCACGCGTTTCTAGGTTTTCTCTGATTGTGAAACTTTACAAATCAATTAACACATAGTCGTTTCTTGTTTTTCCACACCCTTCAGAAGTTCTGAATTGTTTTGAATCATTCTAACATTATTAGCACTCCTTAAAAACCCTAAAATATTTTATCAGAGAAGATTCATTCAAGTATTCCTTTTTTAGTTACGCTTGTGTCGCAGGCGGTCTTATCGCAACGGGTCTCGTGTTCACGGTTTTTTCGATTTTCTATAAGGACTCACAAATTGGCAAGGTTGGAAAATTTTTAATTCAATTTCAAAAATAATTGTCAGGTATGGCTTGCCGGGCCGACGACAATGGTTGTTGGGTTGGTTCTAGTGGGAAAAGTGAGTTGTAGTTCAAAATTTTCATGATCTCCAATCAGGTGATGATCGATTGGGGTCCGGCGATGATGTCGGCAAGACAGGGATCAATCGACTCGAGAATGGCAGAGCAGGTAGGCAAGCTGAACTTTGTGAAGCCAACAATAAGCATTGAAAACTTTCGTTACTTTGATAATTTTGGGATCATTGAAAGTTGAAAGAAACCCTTTTTTGGGAAAAACTGTTTTGTAAATGTGTTAGCCATTCCCTGTGAACAAGTACTGAATAAATCAATTTCTTCATTTTAGACAATGAACCCGGCAACTCAACGACTAGCCAACAACGGTGCAATGATGATGCCGAATGGTCGGAGTTTTGCCTACTCCCATTCCTCGTCACCCGATGGATATCAACGAGCGCTCATCATCCCCAATCAGAACACACAGAATCACAGCAATGGAAGCATTTCTGGTAAACGAACAATAGACTAGCTTCATTCGAAATTTTTGCAGTTCATTCTGGCTCCCGATCTCCCAGCTCACAACTCCCACAAACAACCATAGCGGCTCCACTGAAACAACCTGTGGCCGAATCTTGTCTCATCTACTCACAATATGAGCCACCATTCAGCAATCTGAATGTAAATGCTAAACTCAACACGATTTCAACTTTAAAAAGAACTGTTGAAAAGAACTTCACCACTTGTTGAAAGCCCTACTTATTAGGTTGGCAAGAAAGTCTTTTCGCTTCATCCAAATTTTTCAACTAAAGCACCTACCAAACTTTTGTATGGTTAAAATTAAAGAATGTCTTAAACTAAAACGACAACAACTTTTTATTTTGGGAAGTTTTGATGGAAGAAATGATTGAGCTTCAGTACCGAGTGAAATTTCATCTTTTCCGAGTTCAAGTTCTTATCAAAATACCATGTATTTCTTCAAAATTTCAAGTGAATCTTTATGATTATGCCTACTATATTTTGCAAAGAATTTCAAGTCTAAAGTACTAACGGCCTTTTATTTCTTTTTGAATCAGTTTTTGATTGAGAATAATAACAAAAAAATTGACTTTTCTTGAAATAAATTTTTCTACTCCAGATAACTTTGGTTCAAAAGCTGATTATTACATAAATTTTTATTAGAAAAAAGTTATAAAAGAGCGTTTTGATATCTGATGATTCAATTTAGAGATTCTGAAAAATCGCGAAAAGACTTTTTTGTCAACTTAATCTTATTCTTTTCTGATCTTATTTATTAAACATCTTAAGCAAAAATCTATTTCTTATTTATTTATGTTAAAACTTTAGATTAAACCTCGCTAGATCCTCCATTCATCTTCGATTTTAGGCCACTCCAATTGGTTCTCGGCTCTCACAAGCTAAACTAGAGCAATCACCGCGAGGCAGCATTACATCGCCGGCAGTCAGTGAGGTGGGTCGTTGCTTTTAGCGTCAACGTAGAGCCGTAAGACTTCAAGTTATCTTTCTGGCTGATTACAAGGGGAGGGGTAGGATGCTAACGAAATCAAGAACATGAAAAAAGCCTATGAGCGCTAAAGTTTCCCAAATTTTTGCTCAATTCAAATTTCAGATTTGCGAGTGCGCCAAGTATGGCTCAATTCGCCGCCCAGTCAATCTTTATCAAGGAGAATCCTTTGTGCTCAACGATCGAAATTACCTAATATGACACACCGACGTCTGAACTTCTCAAAAAATATTGGAAAAACTTTCTGAACTCATCCAGGAGTTCAGGCGTCTTTTTTTAGTATCATTTAGTCTTTTTAAAAAAATTTTCTCTACCAAATTCTATGCTCATCATTTTTTCGATTTAACCACAACATTCATGAAACGGGTTTTTCCAAATTTTATTTGCAAAAATGTTAAGCCAACTTTCTATGAAATTTTCTATGGGTTTTCCGAATTTTTCTAAAATTGCAATAAACGTGATTTTTGAGCTGAAAATTTTTCGTTTCAGAAATTTGTCTTGACAAAAAAAGGGTCAGAGTTATCAGTGGGGATTTATCGCCATAAAGATTCCATTGTTCTCAAAGAAGAACGTGGTTTTGTTTCCCCGAAAAAGGGTCAATTCATTCGATTTCTGCTTGATTTTACAAAATGAGACGCTTATTTTTATTCATCTTCTTATTCAATCAAGTTCTCAATATAGCGCTCGATGTGAAGCCAAATGGACACAAGTTGAACAAATCTGGAGTGAGTTAAAGATAATTTTTTAGCTAAAGACACTCGAATAGTTTCTCTCGACCAATACGTTTACTAAAAAGCGCTTATTTGAGAAAGCATTATAATCAAACTAGCGTAATCAATTTTAATTGGTGATGACTTATTAAACTGTTAGAGATAACCGTAAACTCCACTTGTTTCACTGAATTGCAAAGAAAACTAACCTAGAAACTAACCAAAATATCCTGGCTTCATCATGCCCAATTCTTTGGGCAAAATTTTGCTTCTTTGTATTTTTCAAGAAGTTCTACACACTATTAAAGCAAAACTAACTGACATTGAGAGCCAAATTTGAAACGAGAATTGGTCCTATTTCAGACACCTTTTTTAAATCGAATTATAATTTGACTTGATAGAGTAAAAGCTTGACTAGCTAGCTTAAGTACTCAGCATAATAACCCCTTATTGTTAGCTCATGCACAAACTCATGGACACGTTCAACGACGTGTCAAACCCATCGAAAGCCGATATCAACTGCGGACTTTGCACTGTTCTCGTCGACGGACTTCAACAAGGAATCAAGAGCAATAAAACCGATCAAGAGCTTTTTCAATTTGTTGAGTGAGTAGCACTTGAAAATTTATCACAAAAAGATTAGAGACTTCTGTGTGAATCTAAAAATCGAAGAGCCACATATATGCAAAGCCGTCGTCCCACAATTTGGGGTAATTTTTCCACCGTTTGGTTGAACTTATGAACTTTAGCCTGAGATCATTTTTGTGCTCACAAAAAGCAAGCATGATGTTGATGATATTTGCGGGTCGTTGATTAAAGGTTGTGGGAATCCGGACAATCCGAAAACCCAACTCTGGTCGATGACCATTCCGGGAAACAAGCCAGCCGTCAAACCGTGGCCCACTGTTGCGGTAGGTCCAAATTTTTCCGTAAATTTCACAGCTGTTTTCTTTTGAATGTTTTTTAAAAATTCTAATGACTAAATTGATAGAGTTTAAAGCTAAAGTACATTAAGAAAGTATTAAGAAAACTTTCCAGAATGGTGGACAAACCCTACGAGTCCTTCACCTATCCGACATTCACATCGATCGCTTGTACACTCCAGGAAAAGAATCCAGTTGATTATTTAAATATTCAAACATCTTTGAGCAGTCTTAAAGTCCCAATTTTACACTAAATTCTTTATAGATTGCACTCATGGTGGAGGAGTTGCAAATCCAATGTGTTGTCGACCTTATCCAGATGATGATCTACAAAAACGTTAGTTTAAAATAAACCTGTTTAAAAAGTTTCTTTAGCAATTCAAATCCCGGCCGGTCCTTGGGGAATGAATGAGAATTGTGATATTCCTTTCCAAACTTTCGCTAACGCTATGAAACATATCAGTGAGACACAGAAAGTGGAGTACCTTTCAATAAATTGTATATTCAAGTTTACAGCTTGATTACATTATTGTCACTGGAGATATGGAAGCTCACGATATTTGGGACTACACTAAAGATAAAACAATTGCAAATATTGACAATATCACAGCGGTTTTGACGAGTTTCTTCCCAACTGTTCCCATTTATCAAGCAACTGGGAATCATGAAGGAGTGCCAATGGATGGGTAAGTGAAAAACAGCTACCTTTTTGTCTTGTTACCATATACTGCAAGTTTTTTGGACTCTAATTAAAGCTAAAGATATTCTTAAAGCCGAATTTCTGATTTTCTAGCTGATCAACAAGAGCTAAAACTCACTTTACTTCAGAATGCCACCACACACGATGGAGGAATACGACAGTCACAGTCCACAATGGTTGTACAACGAGTATGCAAAGATTTGGGGAGTTCACCTCACACAACAAGCCATCTCCGATATTCAATAGTAAGCTGGAAACAAGGTTTTAGAAATTTTGTTTCAGTCGTGCTTCGTACTCCGTCTACATCCAGAAGAATCTTCGTCTTATCTCGTTGAACACTGTTTACTGTTCTGAATGGAATTTGTGAGTTGTACAATGAGAGAATGTCTTGAATTTGTACCATTTGTAAGTTTTACAAGTTCAAGGCATCAAAGGTACAGCAAAAACCTGTAAACTTTCGGCTCTTTCCCTGAATCGTGGTCTATTGAAAGTTTCGTGGTCTTCTGTCAAAAAGAATCTGTTTCGTGGCCTTTTGCAATTTTTCGTTTTTTTTTACCAAAAGGTCTTTTGAAATTGTTTTAACGTATTTTATTAAGTTCCACATGCATCAGTTTATTTGATCAGAATCTTTTAAAAGACCACAAAACGCAATACGTGCCAAGCCTCGCGTTTTGCTGGGATGGTAAAATTGTTGTACTTGCGATTGTTCTTTAAATCCTGATCAAATAAACTCGTGCATGTGGAACTTAATAAAATACGTTAAAACAATTTCAAAAGACTTTTTGGTAAAAAAAGACAAAAAATTGCAAAAGGCCACAATTCGGGGAAAGAGCCAAACTTTCAGCTTCTTGTTGCTTGATGTTGTTGATCCTGACGGAACTTTGGAGTGGCTCACCGAGCAACTTTTAGACGCTGAACAGAAAAACGAGAAGGTATTGAAAGGAGTTTAAATTTGAATTTATTTGAATTGAATTTGAGGTCCACATCATTTCTCACATTCCGGCTGGTGACGATTATTGTTTGAAAGGATGGTCTTTCAACTTTTATGACATCGTGAATCGCTTTGAGGGCACGATCGCTGCGATGTTCTATGGGCACACGCACAAAGATGACTTCAACGTGCGTATTTAGTTTCGAAGATCGTATAGGTGTCTGGCATTTACTGAAGCTATTCTAGGTATCCTACATCAACGATTTTTAAGGATATCCTATATTCTATATCATGCTATTCTAGGTATTCTACGAGAACGGTGATCCGACTGGTCGACCCACTCATTTCACTTGGATTGCTCCCTCGCTCACCACTTATTCATATCTCAATCCAGCCTATCGAATTTATACAATTGACGGAGCGTACACTGGGAGCTCATATGTAAGTTGGCTACTTGTTAAAGATTGATTTTATGTCTACTAGCCAAGGATTAAGCATATGCTTTGCCAGATTGCTTTTGATTAGCTATGATTGATTTGAAGTAGCAAAAACTCAATTCAGTTGATTTGATTATTGAATTCAAGTGTGGCTAAATTTTTTTTTATTTTAAATTCCAGACGGTTCTCGAGGCGGAAACTTATTGGGCTGATGTAGCTGCAGCGAATCAGAACGGACAAGAGCCGAATTGGCAACTCGAATACAAAACAAAGGTATGCAAAGTTTAAATACAAGCTGTACTTCAATTAAAAACAAGAACGAACTTTACTTTATCATAAAATCTTCACTTCAGCAAGACTATCAAATGACGGATCTCTCACCGAAGAGCTGGAATGAATTGATTAAACGATTGGAGACTGATGACACTTTGTTCAACAAATTCCATACGTAAAGCTTTAGTTGAATCAAAATCTAATCGATTTTACAGTAATTACTATCGAAATCCGAATCAAGCCAAGAATTGCTACAAAGAGCCAGAGTGTCGGAAGCAATTCATCTGTCGTGTGAGAAGCGCTCGTTCGTATGATGAAACGAATTTCTGCAAATAGTTTTACTAGATCTCAACTTGTGTATTCAGAATGAACGTTTTTGCATCACTTCTTTATTTACAAGCTACATCTAACTGCTACCACAACTTGTTCAAGCATCCAATAAAACTGGTTTCTCTGCATTTTGGTCAAAATTCTCTGGTCGCATGAAAACTTTGATCAATCCTCCTTTTTGATCGCACATAGCTTTGTAGAAGGTCGGTCCATCAGCGAGAGAACCGCGATGGGTGACGAGAAAGGTTGGATCCATTTCTCCTGAAAAAAACATTGTTGTCCATCTTTTTTGTTGAAAGCTTTTAGCCACACAATTTACAAACTAGACTTGTAACAAAAACATTCGTCGGTCCTTTTTGCCGTTGGTTATTTAAGGTTTTTCGTGTCTTTCTCAGCACTAACCCTTCTATTTTGACTATTTTGACTATCATTCGATGCAGAATAAGATTGCGCATCGAAGAATGCTAAAATTAACTCAAAATGTAATATCCATGGAAAGTTGTGGGCTAAAAACCTAAACCCCGCCCATTATGGGTGGGACTTAACCTTTTGCCTCATAACTTTGCATGGATATTACATTTTGAGTTCATTTTGGTATCATTCAATGTGCAATTTTATTCTGCATCGAATGATAGTCAAAATAGTCAAAATAGAAGGGTTAGTGCTGAGAAAAACACAAAGAACCTTAAATAGCCAACGGCAAAAAGGTTGTTTTCGACAGATGTTTTCGTAAAAAGTCTATTATAAATTCATATTTGTAATTAACTTGTAGTAAACTTATAGCCAATTTTAGACAATAGGGTATTGTTTTTTTTGCTTTTTACTCAACTTCTTTGCTTGTTTAAAGCTTTCAGTAAGTAGAAAATAAACTTTGCCACTAGAACTACACTTTCAAATTTAATCCATTAAAAGTCAACTAGCCAACTTGATAAACTCACCACTTCGCATCTTCTCCAAGCAGAAATCCCAATACCGTAACCCGGGCGTTTGCCCTGATTTTATCGTCAAATTCTTCTCCATCATTGCTCCGATTGGGAAATGATTGGCCAATCCCACATAGTCACCAATTAAACCAACGTTGCCGTACTTTCGAACAGCTTTGAAGATTTGCGTGATAATCTCAGAGGTGTCTGTCTCGAGGCCTAAATTGTAATTGAAACTGGAATACTGATTCTCCACTTTACCAACAAAAGTTTCGATCTTGTGTAGCCATGAGTGGGTGTAATCAAAACCGGCACACTCAATAGCACAATCCAATTCGTTTGCCCCAAGGAGCTCAGGTAGACGCTTCAAAACGTCCTCTTCTTTGAAGTTAATTGTTTCAATGTGGAGTCTATCTTTAGCCAGTTCGAGACGTTCTAAACTCTATGCTGATTTATGCTGTGTAGAAAACTAAATACGATTACAAATAGCTTCACTCACCCGGAACACAATCAATTCCAATGACCATTTTTGCCCCAAGAATTGTCGCCCATTTTGCAGCCATCAACCCAATCGGTCCCATTCCCCAAATTGCCACCGTTTTCCCTTCTCCAACTTCAGCACATTTGTTTCCATGAAGTCCAGTAACCATGATATCCGTCATATAAAGAGCTTTCTCATCCGGGATGTCATCCGGAACAATCATGCAGTTGAAATCAGCAAATGGCACTCGAACAAACTCTGCTTGACCTCCTAAAGTATTTATCCTGATATTACAAGTCATACTTGGGTCGACCAATGGTATTATAATACTCATTTTTGTTCTTGTTCACTCACCCGGCACACCGCCCGTTAAATGTGAATATCCATAAAAGGCTGCACATTTGTGTCCATAAACAGCTTCCATTGCAGTTGATGGATTTGTCGTCTCACAAGCGGTGAACTCCTCTCTTTTACAATACGAACATTCACCACAAGCTATCGCAAAAGAGACAATTACCCGATCGCCGATGTTCAACTTATGCACACCTTCGCCCTTCTCCTCGACAACTCCCATGAATTCATGACCTGAAAACAAGAGGTAAACTGTTTGCGCAAGTTTATAATTGAAAGATATGCAGTCGAACCTTGTTAGTGAACTATGGAAGGGACCTTAAAGAACCGTTCATTATCGAGGTTTGATTAGTACTAAATCGATTCAGAGGGATCCTAAATCGATTACTATAGAGGTGTTCACAAACGAGGTTGACTGCATCTCTTACGTCCCAATCCGAACTAATTTCATCTTTTTTCTAGCTAAATTAACTTTTTCCATATGTTACTTCACTTTAAGAATCTATAAGTCTTGCTCTACAAAATGACACCAAAATCATCAAAATCGGCTCACTAGTTTTGGAGATACAGGCACGCAAAGTGTCAAGGGATATGGACGTTCGGATAGTTTGGATTCGGACGTAACATATCTATTCATATTATCCAGTCATATTACTGTAATAGTCAAGAATAAACCTAGTTTTTGAAAAGAGGTGACGGTATTCTTGACTATCCCTTTCAACTTCGTAAAACATTTAAATTGTTTTTAAATCTCAAGTACTCACCTGGAATATCCCCTTTCTTCATCCCAGGAAACGTGTCTTTGAGTAGATGCAAATCCGATCCACAAATCGTTGTCGCTGTCACCCGAAGCAGGATATCCTTCGGTTCGGTCAATTTCGGTCGCGGATGTTCGGTGTACTCAATATTATGTTTCCCGTTCCATACAAGACATTTCATCGTCTTATTCTCATCCCACATCGGTTGCGCGTGTGTCGATGTCTCATAAGTTCCACCGCCTTTCACATAATCGACCACTTTTTTCATCGTTTCCATTGTGAATAGATGTTGAAAATAAAAACAAAAATACTAAAAAAGTTATGTAAATTTAAGTCTCCAAAATTAGAACCGAAAAACATCAAAAATTTTGTATCATGAAATGGCGGTGAAATGGAAATGAATACTCGACAAATCGTGTTGACAATTTAACCGCAAAAAGGAGCACTATAAAGAGAAATATCATCTCAAAACAAGAGTGCAGTTTTTTCAGCAATGTTGAAATCAACTTTTTGTAAAATTTAAAAGGAAACCTTTTAAATTATCATAGAATTATCAGTTTTCTAAGGAAAAGTGACTCTGAAACTCTGAAAGTGTAAACTTTACAACATAAAATTCTTGAATGGTTAAATTTTTGTATAAATGCCTTAAATAATTGAATGAAATGCCGAATGCCATCACTTTTTTTGTGATTGAAAACTCTTGGTTCTCTTGGGATCCTCGTGTACTTTGTGTTTATCACCGAAGTTCAACAAAAGAATAGTCTAGATTTGAAAGATATTTTTTTCGCTTTTGAACACTAAAGAGCGCATTTCGAGTGTAAATAAGGTGAAATTTGGTAAAAGAAAATTCTAAACTTCGAATCAGATGCTAAAGCGTTAAGTTGTGTGCAGTATCACGAACAAACTAAACAAAAATGATGCTAGACTATCTCTTAGCATTCGTAAAATGGGGTAATGGGGTAAAAACTAAAACCAAACAAAACGTTTTTCTTAAATAATCTAATCCAGGCATTAAATTTAATCTACCGAAAATCGAGCAAATTTTAAGAATCAGTATCCAGTGTTGAGAGTATCTACCGTAAATACTGTAATAGTACCCCACCCCCATAATGACGGTGCGGAGCGTTGCGTAGTCTAGCTTTGAACGAGTTTTTCTCGACACTGGTTTATGCTACAATGCGCGCTTAGTTATCAAAAAATAGCTGAAATTCAGGGCTATTTTTTGGTACCAAAACCCTATTTTTTGGAAGTACGGGTGCTTTGAAAAAAAATGAAATACTAAAAAACTTTTGCGACTACGCGACTGTACGAGGGGAGTGGAGTACTATTACACTATTTACTACTATTTACGAGTACTACTATTTACGGTATGTAAAAGTTGTGTTTTGTAATTAAGACCAAGAAGAATTTCTTTATTCTTTGAACTCATATAACATTAAAAGCAAATCGGATTCCGATGTCTATCGATAACAAACTTTGAGAACCAGATGCAGTAAACAGTGCTGGAAAAGTTTCTGACAGAACAAACTAAAAGTAGATCAATTTTGGATTAAATGCTGGCAAGTCCATAGTTTCCGAAAGACTACACGTTTTAGAAAATGAACTATTTAATCGAATCATACTTTAGTTTTACATTTCTTGTGAGAATCTTTGGTCAAATCTTTCCACCTCATCTTCAATATTTTGACTAGTCAACCCTCGACATCCACGAGATATTTTCAAAACTTTCTTCAACATTTCCTGTGCTTTTTACGGCAAATCCCCTTGTTTATTTGTCGATCGTTGCCAACGTAGTTTGTTTGCCATTATGAATTTTCCGGGTTCTTTCCCCCCATGTTTATCTGACTGATCTTTACATAAGCTTTATAAGGGATCACTCAAAATGTGAAAACTTTGCTTGTTGAAATTTGGAAAAACAATCGAAATTTCAGAAATAGAAGTTTATTGAACAAAAAAAATGTGGTTATGTATATTTCTGCTATTGCCAATGTTTCAAGAGATTCAAACGGTAATGACACAAAGTGCCACGGATCAGGTACGGTAACTTTGCCTATAGTTTAGTTTCAGTTTTTTATCTCAATCAAGGTTTTTGCCAACAAAATTGATTACTGGCTTACAATGATTTAATGAAAGCTAAGGTTTTTTAGCCTTTTAGCTGTAAAGAGCTTATAAAGGATCACTCGAAATAAGAAAACTTTGTAAACAGACGGAAATCCTTGAGCTACCTCAAGCCTCAAGTTCCATAAGTGCAATTTTTCAGTTCTTGAACACATTTATGATGCATCTTCTTTCACTGAATCGTTCGGAATCGAATTTCACTTGTAACCTTTGTCTAACATTTATCTCTGATGTGCAAATGTTTGTGAAAGGCAATGGATCGATCAACAGTATTTTACCGGCAATTGGGTGGGTTTTATAGCTAAATTGTTTAAAAGTGAATTTTTTTGCTGAAAAAGTTGCAATGCTGAACCTCTTGCTAAAGGTGTGACATTCAATGCAACCCAAAGCTGAGCAAACATTTTAAAAACTGTGAAATTTCAGAGATTTCTGTACCCAGGCTCAACTCGATCATCCGTACGTTTGTGAGGGAATTGTGGACCAATTTGGAGTTAGTAAAAACATATTTTTTACAGAGGAATCTCGATTTCAGCCAGAAATCGCTTTCATTCTCGCCCAAAGCAATTTCACTGCAACCACCATTTGCGGATCGTTGCTTCCAAACTGTGGCCCGAATTTGCTCAAGACTCGAATGTGGCCGATGAAATTGCCCGGGAAAAAGCCACCAGTAAAACCCTGGCCAACTGTAAAGGTGAACTTGTGATACTGGATTCCATCTGATTCAAATCCAGATGAATCAATAGTGAAAGCTTATAGAAAGGAAATCCGACAATGCGAGTTCTTCACCTCTCCGATATTCACATCGATTGGTCCTACACACCGGGAAGTGAAGCAGGTAAGGTTTACGTTACGTTACGTTAAGTCACAGCATCTACCTTACAATAGCATTTTGTAAGAAGAATTTGGCAAAATATCCTCCGATTTTTGTTTCTTATTAGTCTTAAACTTGTTGGCTTTTTATTCCGAGAGAGTTAAACTTAACAAGGCTTTCAGCATCGCTCAAGTAGAAAGACATGATTTAAATACCAGATCAAAAAATAAACATCCAGATTGCAATGTGGGAAGCGGAGTTGCCAACACACTTTGCTGTCGATCGTATCCAGACTCTTCAAAGAGTAAGTACATGAGAAAATTCAATCAAATCAACCAATTAAACATTGATTTAGCCCCCCAAATGAAAGCCGGTGTTTGGGGAACTCTTGCCAATTGTGATCTTCCATATCAGACGTTCATCAGCGTTTTGAAGCACATCAGCCAGAAAGAGAAGGTGAATGCTTGATCTGAAACAGTATCGTCATTCAAATTCCAGCTTGACTACATCATTGTCACCGGTGACATGGTGGCGCACGACATTTGGAACTACTCAAAAGGCAGAACCCGATCAACTCTGCAAATAATTTCCGGAGTGTTGCGACTGTTTTTCCCGACGACTCCCATCTACAATTCGATCGGAAATCACGAGGGAGTACCGATGGATAGGTGAATAAGCTACAGATTCTCCTAGGAGAGCTCATCTATAACTCATCCTGGATTCAATTGGATTCAGGAGTGGTCACAGCATACCTGACTTCTAAAAAGTTCAAGGGTTCTAATTTCTAAGGGTTGACAATCCCAATAACATAAAAACAAAACTTACGATAGATTTGTTAAGCTTTGTTTCCCATGAGAATCGTGGATACGCTGCATTTGGCACTCAATGGCTCTACAACCAGTTGCCGAACTTTTGGACAAATCGACTGGCAAGGACTAATGCTAAAGATATTAAATAGTGAGTGTCACTTGTTTCTATAATATTAGATAACCTATTACAGTCGGGCCTCGTTTGCGGTTTCTGTAAAGAAAGGATTGCGGTTGCTCTCATTGAATTCGATCTACTGCTCGGAATGGAACTTGTGAGTTAAAGTGATAAGAAAATAAAACAGTAAACGTCTTAAATTTACAGTTTTTGATATTGTCAATAGTTTAGCTTGGTGTATTTGCATCCAGTTGACCCGGATGGAACACTAAAATGGTTGGTGGATCAGTTGAGTGATGCTGAAAGGAAAGGAGATAAGGTGGGCTGGAATACGGTAGCTAGAGTGCGAAGGTGCAGTTTAGAAATGATAGAAATGATATTTTCAGGTGCATATCATCTCTCACATCCCACCCGGTATCGACTATTGCCTTAAAGGATGGTCTTTTAATTTCTACAATATCGTGAATCGCTTTGAAGGCACAATTACAGCAATGTTCTATGGACACACGCACAATGATCAGTTCAACGTTGGAAACTCAATTTTCTCAGGGAATAAAGTCTTTAGGTGTTCTACGAGAACGGTGATCCGACTGGTCGACCAACTCATTTCACTTGGATTGCTCCCTCACTCACCACTTATTCGTATCTTAATCCAGCCTATCGAATCTATACAGTTGATGGAGCGTACAATGGGAGTTCTTACGTGAGTTTGTGATGAGTATGTGATGATTAACACAAATTTTTTCTTTGAATAACAAAAGCAAATGCCTTTTTTTATTGAAAACGCATCCATTATTCGATACAAAAGGCTAAATAATGAGTTTGCATGCCCTTTTCATTCCATTTCTTCAAATCAAAAAGACTATTCATATGCAAATTCTTAAAAGAATCCATTTTATTTGATTCATTTGATTATTTCTAGAGTCATTTCAAAATTTCAGACCGTCCTTAACGCGGAGACTTATATAACGAATCTCGCAAAGGCCAATAATCAACAAAATGATCTCACGTGGAATTTAGAATACAAAACTAAGGTTCGTTTTTTTTTAGAATTACAGTACTAAATTAAAATATTGTTATAATTTCTTTAGGAAGCCTATGGAATGAAGGACTTGTCACCGCAAAGTTGGAACAAATTGATTAAACAACTGGGAAACAATACGGGACTTTTCAACAAGTACTACAAGTGGGTTCAGATTTTGAATGTAATTGAATTCTTTTGACGTGCAATTTTCAGTTATTATTTTCATCGAATGAGTGGCAAAATCGCGACAGTTGATCCGGCCACAAAGGCCAGTATGATCTGTGCGATGAAAAGCGGTCGCTCGTATGATCAAGCAAACTTTTGTAAATAGGAAATCTCTTGAGATTTATGTAAATATTAATGTCTTTGTGTTTTTATAAAATAAAAGTTCTTCTGTTAATTAAAAAAAAATCACAAAATCAACGAGTAACTGTAGTTTACCTTTTAAGATGGATCTGTCGCTTTCTGCTTACGTTTTCACAAAGCTTTATCACAAAGCTCACTTTGCAAAGTGCAAGAATCAAAATGAAAACTGAATTATGGCTCTTGTATTCTTTATATAAACTGCTTGACTCAAGAAAACTGAATTGAACTTAAATATCATCACTTGTTTTTGCGATTTGTTCACTGAGTATTCTGAACTACGCAACAATGCAACTATTGAAGCAGAAGATCGTTTAATTTCGGATTTGTCCAATTCAACTCACAATCGTTATAAAGTTATGGCTAAAACAGGAAACTCTAAATGTTATTTCCCTGAAAAACTTCCTGATTCAATCACCTGTCCATTCAATCACCAAGAAAGTGAGTCCGTTACTCTATACATCTACTATTATAATTCTCGCATCTAAATAGTAAGCTGTTACAGCAAATTAAGTTATAATCTATACATTCTACCTATATAAATGACTTTACAAGGAGATTTATGGCAGGTTTGACTCAAAAAATCGATATGTTTTCTGGGGGAACCGGGCTGTGATCGAAGCGAGTTTTTGGCGAAGAGAAAAAGAGAGAAAATGGGGAAAAGAGAGGGAAAAGAGAAAGAAAAACGGAGAAAAATCCCCTCGCGCACAGTCACCAGGAAAGAAACGTCGCTTTTCCCATTTATGCACTCCGATCCACACTTATTGACCAAATCAGGTGCTGTTTTTAGATTGATTTCAACTTTCCTTAACTATATTTAATAATTTACCGTTTTTCAACTGTTTTAGTCATTTTCTAGTGAAGCCATTGATTCAAAAACCTTTTTTTTTTGACAAATCTCACAACATTGTTTCATCCTTTGGAGCAGTTTTGTGAGCTTATTCTTTGAGCGTTTTTCAAAATAAGATTTCGGCTATATTTTTACACTTTACAATCTAAATTATTCAAAATATCTGTTTACCTTTGCGAAAACTTCCCCTCTTTTTAGTAAGTTCCAATTTTCACTTCCACACCTGAAATTTCTCCGTTTACTTGATAAAAAGAAGAGGAAAATTCACTTAGCCTTTTAAAAAAATCTAATAACTTTGAATAATCAATCAAATTAATTCCTAATCAGCTTTCATTCAATAAATTATTCTTCAATTATTAACCTCCTACAGTCAACCATCAACGAAACAATCAATTGTCAGTCAATAGTCAAGCCAATTCTTTCGATGAATCAAACCAATTACCAGAAACCAGTAATTAACAGATTTAACCAGATTAATTAATCAATCCATTAACTAATCAATCCATTAACTAATCAATATCAATATTATTTATCAATCATTAATTTGCGTTTCTCTTTCTTCTTTTTGATTACCTATCTATTCCATTTTCTTCATCCAAACTCTAAATTTCTCCAATTTCAGATAATGGCTCGAGGTCATCAAAAAGAGCTCTCCCAACAGAGAAACGCGAAGAAAGCATCCGATGCAAAGAAAGCCGCGGACCAAGTCAGAAACAGTCAGCGCAAGCCGCTTTGAAATTCAAATGTACCGTTTGCATGGTATGTTAATTTTATGTGATTTAGTGAGAAAACAACCGATTTGCACGAAACTTGCATTTTGAAACTCGTACATTTTCAAATATTTCCAGTTATTCATCAGTGTTGGCAAAAAATCAAAAATAGATTCAGCATTGATACTAATTACTAAAAGAAAACTCATTTCCAGGCTCAAATGCCCGATCCGATCACTTACAAGGATCATTTCCAATCAAAACACCCGAAAAACGATCTCCCAGCCGAACTACAAGGTGTATAAGTTGATAAATTTCTTGTTTTTTGTTGTATATATCATTTTTACAATATTTATTCACCGTTTTTGATAAATCATGATCAAGGAATGCAAAGTGCAAATCAAGTTTTGTTAAAAAAAAAGAAATCCCGCTAGCTTGGAATCATTTTGCATGAAAAAATCAGACTTTTTGGACTAGGAGAAATAATATGCAAATAAAATTGAAGATAATTTCATTTATTGGGCATTCAAATTCACTTTCGGCACCTCCATTTGAGAGACAATATCGTAAACAGAAGCTCGATTTCTCATATTGTTCACTCGTCCCAAAATGGCGGCCATTTGTTTTTGGAAATCGTCATCCTCTTGCTGATTCGTTTGCATTCGCTGAAAATCGGTTAGTTAGAAAAGATTACTTTAGGGATATTAGAGATGACGATAGCTTCATAGATTTTGATGTTAATTTCTGCTTTTGGACCTAGACTTAGACTTGGACATGGAAGAAATCCTTCAGATAAAACTTTCTACTGATCCAAATTAATTGAAAATTCTAAATTCAAACCTCGTGGAAACTTCTGCGTCTTTTCTCCCTTTCCGCTTTTTGATGTTCAAGGGTTTCCATCATTTTCTCGTTATGTTTCTTCAAGCGTTCTTCTACTTTTCCCATGTAATCGTTCAAATGATCTAATTGAGTGTCGAGTTTTCGGATCTCTGAAATTTACCGTTTTTGCTGAAGGTTTCAGACTTCTGTTTGAATTTAGCTTCTGAATAGAACTTTTTATTATATAATTTTCTATAAAATGGCTTAATTTTGGATAAAAATTCATCTTGATCTTACGAAAACAAGTCACGGGATCTTTCTTGCTTATATATTAGTATGAGTCAGTGTTCGACATTGAAAAGAGAAGGGACATTTTTCAGCCAAAGGGGTGCGGTCAATGGATAAAAAGAGATGGGAAAAGGACGAGATTTTGATGAGAATTTTGAGGTTATGAACACAAGATACTGCCGGTCTAATGAAATACTATAACGCAATTTATGGCTAATGAACGATTCTGTGATGGTTTTTTAACGGGAAGTGGTTAGCGTTTCTTTTGCCTTAACTATTGTCTACCGTTTCGAACCCTTTAGAAACAGTGACGATTTTCTGGGAAACCATCACTGAATCATTTCAGATACGCAAGAATTACAACTTTAAAAAGTTATCAGTACCAGCTACAATTCACTGCTTTAGCTTAGAGCCCGATTTAATATCACAGATACATCTGAACCAATACAATTATTTTTAAGCCATTCATTGTCATCTCTTTCACCCATAGGTACTTTTGAAGTTTTTTGGAGTCATTCAAAACTGGCTACGTCACAAAACCAATTCAAAGCCCTTAACTGCCTTGGCAATAAATCAATCGCAAAGTTTTAAAGTCACAAACACTTTAATGGCTTTTTTTTGAAATCGATCCAGTTCATATCGATCCAACTTTATGTTTTCATTGAAAATTATCTGATTTTAGTGCAAGATTGTATCATCTCGTGAATCAAGAAAAGAAAAAACCCTGGATAAACCAGTTATTCTTGAGGAGAGATTGTTTTTGATAGGATCTCGTCTTTTTTTTTGCTTCGTTTTTGCCTACTTGAACAGACAATGGAATTTGTTTGGCAAACATCGATCCCCCATCGACTGATCTTTTATGTATCCTACCGGTTGCCCCCTCACTTTTTAAAGGCTTACCGGGCCAGCCCCCTCACCCCACAGACTCCCGAAAAAAAAGTTAATCCGATAAAAAAACAAACGTTCGTTTTGAAATTCTCCTGGGAAAAAGTTAGTGAAAAGCGTAAAAAGCTTCCGTTTTTTCAATTTTAGTGAAAAATCGACGTTTTTTCCGGTGATAATGCGTTTATTCGATTATCGAAAGGTCAGTTTGGAAAGTTTGTAAACTTTTACTTTTGAAAATTTGGGGATTTGTTAATGATTGTTCGGAAATTCTTCCGATAAAGTCTATTTTCTCTTTAAATCTATCCATCAATGTTTCCTCCTTTATCCTCCATTTATCTTTCGGCGATTTCCCCAGACAAAACATAGACCTTTCAAAACATTTAGCACTCAACATTTCGGTATATAAACCCTCCGATGCTTTAATAAATATTCTACCTTGAACCAAGGGATATGGACACAACCTAACCCAACAATGATGATTAAAGGATATTTGTAACTAACCGGTTATACTTTCCAAAGCAACTTATCTCTTAGCTCAATTCTTTAAATTACTCTTTTGTTTTAGTTGTAATTGGGTTGCATTAATTGCAAGTTAGAGTTTTGAAACGAACCCTCAGTTTCTTCGGAACATTCACCCTCTTGAAGCACCTCGAGACCTCGGGAAAGGGCTTGATGAGCGGCTCCAATCGGCATTTCTTCAAGTTTCTCTAACTGAAAAAAATTTCAATGAGAAAACTTTCTAATGACAGTTTTAAAATTGTTTCCGATAAAGTCACAATAAAAAAGTGCATCTATTACGAGTGAGAAAAAGTGCAATCAATATTGTTTGAGATACTTGAGATTAAGAGAATAGAAAATAAGTAAATTGATTAGATAGCTATCAGCTGCATCACTAAAGATCTAAGAAAAGAAAAGAAAGGTGGCTCCTCTCTGGACGTACCTTGGGCTCGGTGGGCGGAGCGATTGTAGTCGGCGTTGGCTGTGAAGGACGAGCGTTGCGCATGCGAACGACCACCGGTGGAGGAGACGGAGAAGAAGGAGAAGACTCCTCTTGTTGTCTCTCTTTTATCTCTCCTCCATTCGCTTGTTCTGCATCAACCGCCATCTTTTTTTCTCTAAAGTTCCATCTCTCATCATCAGGACATTACCGGGTAATGAGGAAAAGAACTGGTGAAGAAACTGAATAGGAAAAAAAGGAAAGATAATAGAGAACTGTTTGAATGGATGACGCATAGGAAAAAGGTGGGGTAAGAGGAGAAGTTTTTGGGGAACACCGATTTTAGGTGTGGCTCTAATGAGTAAAAGGAGAAGCGATAAATTAGTGGTTTTTCAAGCTCATTAAGAGCGGCTAGTTGGGTAGATAACAATTCTATCAATAATCTTGTCTTTTATTTCAAAAATTCGCAAACCTTGCTCTGAATCTAGCTTAATTTTGATTGGAAATCTTAAAAATCTTATAAAACTGAAACAAGAAAACACTAAACGTAAGCAAAAAAGGTATTCAATCAACTTTAAGTTAGCTCGAGGCTGAACTGCTTGATTGACTTGATTTCTGTAGTAAATCTCGTTATTTGGCATTTCTCTCAACTGGGCAATGGTTTAAAACGGGGCATGGCTACTATAACCCATAACTAAAATAGTAGAAGCTTCAGTAATCTAATTAGTTTTTACCGTTGTTTGCAACTATAAATAAGTCCAAAAATCATGAATTCAGTCTATTGTTGCTATTGAATTTTTCTATTAAATTTTTTGAAAAAACAATGCTTAAAAGTTTTAGCACTCATTTCTTTTTTTTCCCTCTTGAGAATCTCTCAAAATTTTAGCATCTTTTATTTTCAAGAAATGCTAGGGCTAGCCATAGAAGTAAGGCAAAACCAACAAATGTCTCTCTTTTTTTTTTCCTTTCTTGAGATGAGAGCTGCTTTTTTCTTCTGTATTCATGTATCGAGGGGAAAAGAGAGATCTCCCATTTTTGGATAGAGAAAAACGATGGGAAAGTGTTTACTTTTGCTTGAATACTTGCTTGAGATATAAAGAAGGGTTTCTCCCTTCCATTTCCCTATAAATGATCAGAAAAAGTACAATAAACTTTCTTTATAATCTTCGTAAGGGGAAAGGATTTCTTTTGTAATTCTTTAGATAGAGTACCATGTGATTATGATACTTAAAATTGGTGGGCATGAAAGAAGTCAATGATTTTCTTACGCGTCCTGGACAAAGTAGCAAAAAAATAGCTAAACCTTTTAACTAAACTGCTTCCCACTTCTCAAAAAACTTTCTATTAGGAATGAAGTTACCGTATTCGAGTTAATGCCAAAATTGTACCGTACTCTGAAGCCTTGGATTTGGTGAGCGACTGAAGAAGTTTAGGATTACTTTTTATCGAATTAGTTAAACTTCTAGAGTCAGTTAGTTTAAAGCATGACCCTTATGACTCATTCAAGTCTAGCAATCTCTTCGAGAACCTTTTACCAAGATTTGACCACACGAACTTTCTTCTCTGGAGAGAAATCTGGTCCATGAATCAAATTTTATGAGATGTGCACATGAAATCAAGGTCAAAACGCGAGACTTACAAGGGAAAAACTTGCAAAAAACGGCTAAGGGAAGGGAAAAGAGTGAAAAGTTGAGAAGGGATTGAAATAATTGACAAATTTGTACTACTTCGTTAGCTTCAAAATCAAGGAATACAATTGTTTCTGAACGAAACATTATAGCAAAGCTTAGATTTAGATTTTTCTACTTTTTTCTAGTTTTAATCAAAGTCAGAATGCAATCATCCATTAAAAGCTCATTTTAAAGTACAGAGTTGGGTAAAATTAATAAGAGTTCTTTGTTGTAACTTTGCAGCCAGCCAACTTAACCGTATAACTTTTCCATGGTATAAATTGAATCATTCCTTAACCTATTGGGAGATTACTGAAACGAAAAAATCCGTTAGTTTTTCTTTCGAATCACAAAGCATCGGGTAAAATTGATCCTGGCGCGGAGCTTTATTTTCCCCCTTTTCAGCGCTTTTTTTGGTACCTGAACTACTTGGAAAAACAAGATTAAGACTAGAAAAGTGTTACTACTTTTTTCGACGATAATTAAGAGTTTATAGAAAAAGAAATATAGAAGTTTTATCAAATGAAGAACATTCGAATAAGTTTCTTGTCCGGGTAATTTTGCTCAAGCCTGTAAATTCAAAAGTATTATTCGTTAGCTTGAGCTGAATGTATCGATAAATTTTGCACGTTTAATTGGAAGAATAATCGATTGGTTAGCCAACAAAAGCTCAAATCAACCCACAAAAAGTAATAGAAAAATTGAATCCGTTCAAAAATTTTGATTTAATTGGAATTCTGAATTGAAAGCGGTCGCCAGGCAGGCGAAAACTATTGATCAGCTGTGAAAAAGCAATAGGACGATTATGAAATTCATAGAATGAAAGCGTTTTGAAAAGTAGTCAAAAATGTGTGGGGGGAAAGTGAGTGAAAGTGGAGGGAAAGTATGGATAGTGGGGGAATTGTATACAGAAAGGTGAGAAGAAGTGAGAAGAGCGGGAGAAGGTAGAGGAAGGGGTACCCAAAGACCGATTTCGGCCATGTAGCTACACATAACCGGAATTTTTTTCGCACACTCTCCCCTTTCTCGATCTCTTTTCCTATTCTATGATCTCAATTCTCCATTTTCTGCCCTCTTTTTTCCCCTTTCCTGAACTGAATAGGACCCCATTATACAGATGACGGCAATGGTTAGGCATTATTGACAGCTAGGGATTGATTGAAAATAGGAAATTCAGTTTGTAGACTAGATTACTGATACATGGATTAACTACAAGTACTTCGAATTGCACTGAAACACTTAGAATATCACAGGATCAGGTCCAGATCTTAACAGCTGAAACTGTACTATATTTTTGTTAAAAAAACGTGAAAAAAACGAACTTCTTAGGACAGAAAAGCTCTAATTTTGCTTATGCAATCATCAAATTAGTTATTAGATAAATCTAACTGCTGAATAAATCTAACATTGTTTAATTCAAAAACTGACTAGTATTGCAATATGAAAGCCAAATTGAAATCGATACTTTCTGTTGCCTTTCGGGCAAAAATGCAGAGTAGCTGAAAACTCGCACACACAAAACCACACCCAACAGAAAGGGGAATAGAGGAAAAAACAGAGAAAGAGACTCAATGTCATTTAAGTTTTTACTGATTGAAATGACAAGTAGGTTTTTCTAAGTAGGATTTAAGTGATTGATGGTGGAAATGAATGACCTGAGACTGCTGAGAATTTATAGACTGCTAGATTTTGAGCAAAATAGAACGCCAAAGATTTATAATTTGTTGGGATTTTAAGAATAGTAGATTCTTCTTGAAACTAGAGTGCCGTTGTTACGAAAAGTTTGCTTTTCAATTTTACTAGTAGTGATGAAATCTTTATAGGAACTTAAACCTACCCTTTAGCGGCTAAAACTCTTGGCTGACTCCAATTACTTGGTCTAGAGTTAACCAAGATTGAAAATCTATATCAACTCGTAGTATAACAAAGCCTAGCTCAGATATTTCCATCAAAGAACACAGTAAGTCATTATCTACAACAGTAATCTTGTCGTAAGTTCATTTTCTACAGTAATCGTGATTCCTGATCACTGTAGTTTTTTTAATTATTAGATTATTCTAGTTTTTCTGGACAAGATTTGAAAAAGATGCTTTGGTCAAAAGAGGAACACTATCTGAGCTAATTAAACAAAGAAAGCATAACAAAAGAAAGATCAAAGCTAAGATAAAACGAGCGTTACTTTATTCACGAGCTTTGAAATTGAGTTGAGCAAAACTCTGAATCCAATACATGAGTCAGACACTTTAACAAGTGGGGTGGGGGTTTGAAGAAGTGAATTTTCCTCCCATTTACAGGCTGTCAAAGGGTCTCGGGTTCTCGTTTTCACCGAACACACCCTTCATCCCCTTTCCCCTTGTCCATTTTCAATTTCCCTGTTCTTTCTTAGGCCCAAAACTCCTTCGACAAAACCCACTCATACACCCACAATTCTCTAGGAACCGGCAGCAAAAACACGATTTTTTTTGTGGAACGACGCAGCCACTTTCCCCATTCGCTATTGAACAAATTTTGAGTCGACAAAAGTGAGTCAATCTTTGCGCAAGATCATCGATTTCGCAAGAGAAACTTGAAAATTTGGATATAAATGGGATTTTGTCTTTATAAACAGATCACGAATCCATGCATAACATACAAATTTTACCTCCAAATGCAACACAATTGATAGAAAGTATTGAAGAGACAGAGAAAAAGATGAAAAAGACAAGGATTTGGATTTTAAGTTTAGTTTTAACAGTTAACAGTCAAAAGTTAACAGCAAAAAAAAGAACAGAAAGCTAAACCTGTTCTCAAAAAAAATGACCGTTTATCAAATAATGGAAAGCAAATACATAAGAAAAATGAAATTATGAAAAACCTTTAAAAATGTTCTTTTCTAGAATATTGTTAAAGATTATAGAAAAATTGAAAAACTCTAAAGCACACGCTCTTGCCACACTTGAAACCATCAACCCATTGTGTGTCTTTTGTGTGAATCGAGAGCTGAAATGATGTGATGGAAAAGCTGAAAAAAGTACACAGGTCACAATGAGGGGGTGGGAAAGGGATTTATTCAGGGAAAGCAAAATATTCCGGTTCAACCGCTTTCTCACTGAACTTCTTCCCAAAGATAATCCTATTGCCCCGTCTAAACAAAGCTTCTTTAACAAACCTGGAACTTGATTCAAAGATCCAGCTCAACAAAATGCTTTCAGAAAGCGATATCATTGCATTCTGTTCCAATAGTTAGATGCTATATTGCACGTCTTACTCAAAATCGAAGTCTCAAAGTTGGCTGACCTAAAACTGTAGTCATTTCACAAGGTTTATAACGGCTGGTGGAAAGACGGTAAATTGTGTTAGATCTACAAAATTCTCAATGAGAGATCCGACTAGTTTTAGTTTAAAATTAGATCTAAATTTGTCCAGGATAACTTTATCTAAAGTTTAGGGAAATTTAAGCAAGTCTTAAATGCATTGACATTAAAATAAGCAGAATTCCATAGGGTTTCTAAGTCTTATAAATCCTGTTTTAAAAAAAGCTGAAGAAACAGTAGCCACTAGACTTTAAAAACTAATCTTAGCAAGTCGAAACTTTGATCAAACTGAACTCAAAGAATTTCTCGGTCTAGGTGAGCAAAAACAGAAAAAAGTGCTGAAAATGATTGCAAGACGAGCGAAAATCTCGATGGGGAAGGGGTTGCTTGGGGATTATGCGTGCGTCGGAAGGAAGAAATCGGGAACAAGTTGAGAAAAGGAAAAAAATAGAAAAGAAGTGAATCGTTGACAGAAAAGATCACGCTTCTTTTGCACTTCTTTTGTTGAATGGACAAAAATCAGTTAAAAATACTTTTTGATTCAATTCAAGAAGATTTATTGATACATTTACAACAAACTTCATCAAAATCTAAACCCTGACAATAAGTAGTGAAAGCAATAACCGTTTTTGTACATAATTTTTGATGAACTTTTCTATTTTCACAGCATTTCCCGTTTCTTCAAATATAATGTGACCGATTCGGGCGAAAGAGTGAAATTCCCGATCAACTTCAGCTTTTTCTGAAACGTTTTTCTTTTGACAATAACGATATTTAGAGAGAATTGGCAATTTATCATTTTAATCTTTAATTTTAATCATAGTACACAGAAAATCTTTCACGCTTTTTGATAAGATGTAAAGATATTCAATCTTTACGCTTTAATACCTTACATTCTAGCGTAATGAGAGAAAAGGTTGGTACTTTACGGTATCTTTAAGGAAATCTTTTCTTAGCTGTTGATCACTTAGACCCTACCTCAGTTTCTGGACCGGCAGAGATGATGAAATTCCGGAATAAATGTGCAAGAGCCATCTTTTCCTCCATCAAAGCCAGCCGCATTCCAATGCATTGTCGTGGACCAGCTCCGAACGGAAACCATGCGAGTTGATGTCTCGGTTTACCCTCTTCCCATCTAGATTTTTGATTTGTTTGACTTGGTAATTGGAAAAGAAAATCAATCTACTGTATTGTAATTTTAAAATATTACAATTCTGTCGGTTTTTGTGTGTCTATTACCATATTTTTGCTTCACCAGAGGGAAAAGTATCGTAATAGGAGTAAATTGGGGATGAGAGAGACGGGGAATAGTCAGTTTTTTTAAAATTCTTATATTTTTAATGTTAAGTCTGCGAATTTTTGAAATTGAATGAACCGACAGGAGTTTTTGGCGAGAATGAGGAGAGGAGAGCTTTCGTATGCAAATGTTCAAATGTTAATTGTCAAGATTAATGCAAATTTTAGTAGCAAATGCACAGCTGGTGTTTACATAATTTCTAGTCCATTGAATCGTGTGTAACATGTCATAACTGAAAAAAAGCACCAAGGATTACGCTATAAGCTAATTCCGTACCGATCTAATTGAGGCTTTTTATTCAAAATTAACCAACTCAACTTTAATTTAGCAAAACGAACCTCTCTGGCACAAATTCCTTAGCATCGTCTCCCCAAATCTCTTTGCTATAGTGGACACTCCACGAGTCGGCCCACAGGATTGTGCCCTAAACTTTTCAGAGTTTCAAAGCCAATAGAAATCTCTAGAATCACCTTATGAACTGAATTCTCAATCTAGACTCACTTTTTCAATCTCCATATCTCCTAAAGTAGTCGTTTCCATGCATGTCCGTGCGTTAGCACTGAAACTTTATGTATCCGAATTTAAAGTCAAATCAATAATTTTACAAATAAGCAAAACTATACCCACAATGCACCCAGTGGATACATTCTCAACGCCTCTTTGATCACACAATCCATATAGTTGAGCTTTGTCAGCTGCTCGTACGTTAAATCCTCATCATCTCCACAAACGGAATCCAATTCCTCTAACAATTTCTCAAGTTTATCGGGATTCTGTGCCAAGAGATGAGTGACATAAGCAAGCGAGTTGGCTGTTGTGTCAAAGCCGGCCAAGAGGAAAACAAAGCATTGGGCGACGATTTCTTCAGTAGATAGTTTCTTTTCCACCTAAACTTTTTGAGTTTTATGGTACAACTTTTGAATCTCATCAATCTATGCATAGTTCACCTTTAGTTTTATTTTTCTCCATAGTTTACCTTGATCTGTTGTCGATCAATCGACTCTCCATTCAAATCTACATCAGCTTCGGCTTCCAGGAAAAGATCGATGAAATCGTTCAACTCGGGTGTCTCACCTTTTTGTCGACATTCGTCCTGAAATCATTTTTCGATAATTTCTCCAATAGTCTGATCTAATTTGAAACAAAATATAATGGTTTTTTGCAATTGAATCCACCAACCCTTCTTCGTTTCCTTTCCTCCACAGTGTCCTCAATCATCTTGAAGATTTTCGGGAATTGTCGACCCCGAAGTTTTGCTGTCGCCATGAAAAGCTTTCCCAACAACGGCAGGAAAAGAGGCACCGCACATGTCCAATAGTTCACTTTGTCATCGATTCGTCGAATAAAAGTCTGAACTACAATTTTCTTCGTTTTCTTTAAGATCTCACATTGATCAACCACTCAGTGGCCGGATTTTCAAACTGTCTTGTCCCTTCTTGACCCATTGCAACACGAGCGATCACGTCAAGAGTATACTCTTGGAAATATCTGAAATTTTAAAATGAATGGCTTATTTAATCCATTACTGATGAATGTTGAAGCCTTTTCCAGAATCCGCGTTTTTGCTCATGAACTTTACCATGACTTTGGCTGAGTCTTCAACGGTGTGGCGCATCTGAAATAGAATTTTAAAGATAAAAATTTACAGGTGCTTTTATAAGTTCAACCATTCTCATCCAAAACCCAACCTTTTTAAGTGAATTGACAGAGAATGAGGGATTCGTGAGGAGTCTTAATCGCTTCCACCGTTGCCCTCTCGCATTAAACACGTGAACTCGGGGATCCGTATCAGGATTTGGAGTCAATGGGAAAAGCTGAAATTAGATTTTAGAATTATAGGGTGTTATAGGGTAACCGAGTCTGGCATCAGTTTGAGTCTGGCAAAATTTTCTCGTTGATTCTTCAAGGCTCATCGTGGTGTCAGCATTGGTTTTGCCCAAGGCGCCACCCAATAACACAAAGTTGTTTTTTTGAAAATTTTACGAGTTGGTTGCAGATTGCGGGTCATCTGTTGGTTGCAGATCTGAAATCCATACGTGAAATCGGACCTTTGCTTTTCTCTATAAAAACAAAAAGTGAATAGATTTATGGTGAAATAAAGAAAATCAAAAGTCCGCTTTCACATATGGACTATACATGGACTTTAGACCTGCAACCAACAGATGACCCTCTTACTCATAAAATTTTCAAAAAAACAACTTTGTGTTATTGGGTGGCGCCTTGGGCAAAACCAATGCTGACACCAGCCTTAAAAAATCAACGAGAAAATTTTGCCAGACTCAAACCGATGACCACCTTTTCCTCCGGACACCCTGTATATTTTAAAGCTATTTTACGTTTTTTTTTAGTCCCTAACCTTTCTCCCGTGAAAATACTCGAACTTCTTCACGAAGAGCTCTTGCAAAAGGTCCGGATCGCTGACCACCAGAATTTTTCGAATCCCCTCATAGATTCCATAAACTTTCCCATATTTCTAGATTACAATTCTTGAAGGTTTTTGAAAAATAATAACTTTTGTCCATTCTGGGAGCTTCATCGTGGCGGGTGCATCGATTTTGTCCATCTCTAACCAGTTTCCATAGAAGAGGCGAGGCTTTGGACCTAAAGAACTTGTTGTCCACTATTATGGCGGTGAGGATGAAATCAGCGCTCACATATCTTTCCAAAACTAAAAAGATTGCCAGCCTCCGCCAATAAGTGTTGTATACTGTTCGAAAGCACTGAGTCTCCTCTACAAAATAGTGCAAACAGATTTTGAATTGGATTGATTATTGAAGATTTGGGTGACTTTGAAGTTGAAAGGTCAACAATGACCATTCTCTGGTGATAGTCATGCCCGGGTTTTCTGTTAGAAAATACCGCCAATTGAAGTTATTTCAAAATAAGATAAAAGGAAAGAACTCCTCTTGTTTGTTCGTCTTCTAGAGGTAAACCTTTGTTTTTCAAAAAAACCCGATTTTAGGCGAAAAAGGCTACTTTCAACTTTGTATTCTCATATTTCGATAGAATCTAAGCTGATCGTTTGAGTTTTGGCATAAATATTGAGTAATGTATATCCTTAATATACTGGAAAAATTTCAAGCTAAAAGATCCGTGGAAACGATAGTTGCCAGCAGGCGCAGGTACCCCGAGACGACCCAGTCGAGACTCAAACTGCGGTTACTTTTTAACACCCAAGTCTTTAATAATCAATCCAATTCAAAATCTTTTTGCACTATTTTTTTAGAGGAGACTCAGGGTTTTTGAACAGTATACAACACTTATTGGCTGAGGCTTGTAATCCTTTTATTTTTGAAAAGCTATGTGAGAGCTGGTTTCATTCCTACCACCCTACTATTATAAATCAATATTTTTGAATTATCATGATTATTAAAAAAGTTTGCAATAGGATATTTAAGATTGCTGTTATTTCTCACCAGGTATTCCGCGTCGTTTCCAATAGCCGGCATGCCACGAGAAGAACCTGAAATTCATGGCTTTTGTTACAAGAAAGGGTTGTTTTTTTTAGAAAATTTACGATCAACCAAAGAATTATAAAGTTTATCAATCATTTTGACTCAAAAACTCAGCTATCCATTTGCAAAAAAAGATGATTTTTGGTTTTCTTTCGTATGTGAAAAGGTCACGCTAACTTTTGCAAGCTTTTCAAATAAAATTTTGAAAAACTAACGTGTACGCAGCAGCATATCCGGCAACACAGATCACCAAAAGGATTAGAAACATTTTTTTTGACCAGTGAGTAGACTGGGGAACCGATTTGTGGTAGAGATTTTATATTTATAGTAGCAAAAGAGACGGGGGCAATGTCTGTAGTCTGTAGAATGGCCAATGTCAAACAAATCGAGTGGAAGGGGGAAAGATTCAAAGAGAAGAGTTCACTTCTTTTCGCCACGTTCTCTTTTAGGGTCATAGATCTTCGTTTATTGATAAGGATCAAAGTGTGGTTTGTAGGGAGATTTTATTAGTCGTGCTTTCAAAAATGTGTTTTCTTTTTGTCTAATGGCAACAAAATATAAAGACAACTTCAAATTTCAAAACAGTGATGGAAAAATTGAGTGATTAAATGTGCTTTTTGAGTGAGAAAGCTATAAATGATTCAGAAAATAGCTTTAAAGACTTGTTTTTGAATTGATTTTGAAAAATCTTTGTCTTTTAAGCTAGAAGATCAGCGAGGTGAACTTTAAAATAAACTCTGTAAGTATAATCTGGGGTTCTTCAGGAAACACGGCATTTCCTGCACCTTTCTGACTAGAATTCTTCCCTCTTCATGTATTCACTAAAAGGCACTCATTTGAGACTTCTATCGTAATTGAACCGTTAATTTTTCTTCGATCAGCTCAATTTTAATATCATTTGCTGAGGAAGCACAAGGTTCAATCGATGATACAAAAAACTTGATGTAGTTTGTTTATGGCAGTTTTCGAAAAGAAATCTCTTAAAAAAATACATTACTCAAGAGAAACGGACAAAATTTCTGACTCTGATGGTGAAATCTTTTCTCTTGAGGTGATCAAACAAACAAGCTGAGTCACATTGACGCAAGAAACTTTCTCAATTATTGATTTTTTTTTTTGAAATCAGTTGCTTTTTACCGTTATTTTTATAATTTAGTACAAGCAGCCTTAGAAATTGTATCACAATAGTAAAAAAAAGCCAGGAAAGTCACAGTATGATGCCCGTATTTTTGACCAAATGATTCATACAAAAAAAAATGGATATCGATGAAGAAATCATGTACTGAGATCACAATCTGGATAACACTCGCCCACATCGGGTAACTCAAGCCATGCGTGAACGCGAGCCACTTTTGGATAGGATTTCCCCGTTCGATTCTCGAATCTCGACAGCTCTTGGCGAATCTGAAATCCACAGATTTGTTTGAGTTTTGAAAAAATTGATTCCAAATCTTCATTCTTTTAGTTTACCTGTTCTACCGTAGCTTTCTTCTTTTCTCTCCATGGCCATCCCTTTGGACTCGCATCACAAATCGAGGGATCTTGAATGTGCTGGAAAGGATTTGTTATGAACTTAACCACATTTATTGTTAGACCTTTATTAATTCACTTTCTAACCTACCGTAGATACTCTAACAGAAGCCCTAAAGAAGTGTCGCGTAGTCTAAATTTACAACCAAAGAACCGCTAATATCTCGACGCCCAGACATTTGTGTCTGTGCGCTTAGGTATCAAATTAAACTAGAGAGAATGCGTGATTTTTTGAGATGTAACACATATTTCTAGCATTAACCAGCGCTTAGAACCAAATGATTGAAAATTGATGAAAAATCGGCTTTTTTGCCACAAAAAGCAAAAGAATTGGCAGCAAGAGGAGTCGAACCCGCGATCTCTCTCTTTTGTTTGTTTGAGAGACGCGCGCGTTAACTACTCGTCCATGGTCTATGGCGCAGTGCGAGCGCACTTGTCTCTAGCCCACACGACCCGCGTTCGACTCTCGCCTACATGAACAATTTTGGTTTTTTAAAAATTTTAAAACAAGTTATACATCTACATGGATTTCGAAGTCAAACTAGCTATAAGTAATTTGAAACGGCCCACTGGGTGCGAAGGAATAGTGCGCACAGACAGACAGACACAGATCTTTTATATATAGTAGATTTACGGTACTTTAGAGAATTACTGTTGAATCAGAGACAATTTTTTGCTTATTGTGGCAAAAAAAGCCGATTTCTCATCAATTTTCAATCATTTAATTAGATTCTTTGAGACAAAGACAAAGAGAATCAAATGAGAAGTTCAAGAGTTAACTGATCTTATAGTTTCAAAGTTTCACCTCAAACGGACTCTCCCATCCTCCCTGATCGACTTGTGTCGCTTTCCATCCATGTATCATGAAATCATTCTCACACCATCTCGAATTATATTCATCTGTTAAATATAAATAATCATTTTTGGAACCTATCCGAAGTTATGTAACCGTCTCGAACCCATCCGTGTGCTCGTCTGTATAATCGAATTTTCCCAGGCCAGAGACGAGTAGCACCTGGAAATTTGTTGGATTTCTCTTTGTGCTTGTTGATCGAAACTATTTCAATTTAGTTATCTTTCAAGCTCGTTTCACAATCCAGCTTACCGAGAGCAACTTTACAACAAGTGACATATGCCATATATGTCTCATATCCTTTCCCCTGATGCCAAATCGTGTCACAGTTCTTGATATCCTGCATCGCGTCGGGGATCACCGTTTGCAAGATGTGAATCTGAAGCTTTTACATGAAAATTTGAAATCATTGACTCACTTGCAACACTCCATTATCGGCACCATTCCAATTTTGTGGCTGCACAAACTCCCAATCAGCCCATTTCTTGATGAATTTGTAGGCGAAATCGGTGTTTCTTGCCTGAAATGAGGTTTGGGATTTAAAAGTTGTTCGCTTTATCATTCAAATTTTAACTACTCCAATCTTTTAAATTTTTGCAAGTCTTTGTGGTACAAATAAAAGTAAAAACTCTTTAATTCTTATTGTTTTAAATGAATGAACGCAGGAAATTGGGAAATTGGTCAAAACGGCGGTTAAGTTTATTTTTGTCTTATATTCATTGGATGTAGATAAAGATTAGCTATATGCTAAATTTCTATGAGCCGTTTAGAACAAATCCGGGATGAGAAAATACCAAAAACGAAGAAAAAGGGCTCAAAAAGAGGTTAACTGAGCTTTTCTCGACACCAATTCTGTTTTAAGTGATTCAAAAGTATACATCCAAATGTAGATAATTTTATTCTGCATCCAATAAGAATAAGAAACACAGAGAAACTTAACCGCAGAGGGGTTGTCTTTGCTTGTTTGTACACACAGCACTATTTTGAGCAGCTCCCAAATTTCCTGCGCTCATTCATTTAAACCAACAAGAATTAAAGAGTTTTTACTTTTACTTGTAATTGTCTGGTAAAGTCTAAACAAATCTAGCTATTTTAACGTACCAAATAGTTTCCACTCGCGATTTCCCAATTGAAGAATCGCTCATAGAAAAGGAGATCGACTCGATCATCGATCCACTCCTCGATACAGTGATTTGGGTTAACAATTCCTGAAGATATTATAGTTCTAAGATTGAATCTCTGCCTAACCACTTAAAGATTTTCAAAATCTACCTGTATCCGCATCGAGGATAAGCATCCAATCGGTTTGCTTCAGATACACGGAGACGGCGCAGTGCTTTTTGAAGAACAACTGAAATCGATGAATGCTTGGAATTTTTTATGCCCAATTTCAAACTTTCAGCAGATCAAACATTCTTTTTCTCACTTGTTTGTGATGTTTACAATGCGTTTGTGTGAGATTGTCGTTATCCAAATCGACCATCACCAACTCGTAATTTGTTCCCTTCAAATAACACTCCAAACTTCTCTGAGCAACGTGATAGTGACTAAATTATTAGGTTGATGCAAAAGTCTTTTTCATTTTTTTCGTACTTCCGTTAAAAAGTAACAAATGCACCAATTGAACAACGGTTTATTGCATTCGAAAGGGCCAATTATTTTTCTGCAAAATGACATTAAAACGAGTTTAAAATGTCTTATGTCTAGATTTTTTTGAGAGCCTGAAGTCGGGTAGTCAAAAAAGGCGACGGCTCGATGATGCATTTTAGACGCTTTAGCTAAGGACCAATCTTGATGTTAATAAATAGATAGAGCACAAAAAGTTAGATATTTTTCAGATTTTCAGAGAAATTGATTCAGCCATTTCTTTATAGGGGTTTTATAGATTTTTATGAAACCCGTTTTCACCCGAATTTGCTTGAAAGTGAACCCAAATTGACTTAAAAAGATGGGAAATTGAACAATAAACACTTTTCATTTAGAGCAACCCATAGGTTAATTGATGACTTTGTTATTTTTCAAAAGAAGTACGAAAAAAATGAAAAAGACTTTTGCATCAACCTAATATGTTATAAAAATTAAGGAAAGTAAGAAATTCTCCCACGTCATCATACTCGATTTCACATATGCAACCATCACCGTCACTTTGCCAAATTTTTTTGGGCATTCGCTGAAGTTTTGCCTGTAAAGATCATTATTTACGATTGTATTTTGATATTTTTAGATGTTTATTCAAAAATCTAAAAGATATCAGTTTAAAAAACCAAAGTGTTAAACCTTTTTGGATACGGAGTTCTCTTTATCCGTCCAGACAAATCGATTTGCTGAATGTGAATATCGTCGTGAACGTGATGATCTTCTAGATTTGCAAATTTTCTCCTTTTTCTCAATGCTTACAAATTCTCCAAGCTTGCTGGCTAATGCTTACATGTGTCAAACTATAATTTTCAACTAACCATCCAACTCTAATCCATTAGTCTTTGTGAGCTTCTCAAGATATTTTGTCAACATTTCAACTTGTTCATCGGATTTCGGTGTCAACACCATTACAAGACCGAAAATCGCCGTGATGCCCAGGCAAAAGAAGACGAAGCGCTGAGATCCGCGCATCTAAAGAATTCCCAACTTGTCCCCGATCTTATAAAAGTTTAAATAAGATTTTATTGTAGGAATTGCTGCAGATATACGAAAAAGTAAGAACCCAGTGATAAATTAAACGAATTGGCCGCTTCAGAACAATTGTTAATAAAAAAAAGCTTTTGAACAATTGTTAATAAAAAAGCTTTTGCTTTTATCGACTTGTTATTATAAGTTTTTTGTGAATAAGCTTTTTTAATCGACCAGGTCATTCAATTAGTTCCAACTTAAAACAAGCAAAAAAAACCTGTAACCGAAAAGCTCTCATCATCAATCTTCCCTTTGACATGCCAACATCCCATCCCATGTTAATCGAAAAGACACACTGATTATCGAAAACAATAGTCGATTATGTTAGTTAAAAAAGAATCACAAATAGCTCTAAACCCATACAATATAAAGAACATCAAGCATTCACAGATTCACACAAAAACATTTTAATAAAATATCCGGAAACTTTGAGAATTTGGATAAAGTTAGTTCAAACTAAATCCAACGGTTTTGCACTTTCAAATTTGAAATCAAAATCGAACGAGTAAACGAATTCGAAGGTTTGCCAAAGAACTAAGCCGTTCGAATTGAAAAGACAAAGAAGAATTGTCAATGTGAAGAGCACAAGAGCTGAACAAAAAGGAAATACTTCCAGTGTAGAACTTATGAAAAGAGTTACGACGAGAATTTCGGTTCACGATAATTTCTAAGGAAGTTTGAGTGACCGATGTAATCGAAGAAATGAAGTGAAGACCTTAAACAATGAGTTCACTTTGTAATTGTAAACTCGAAAGTTTTGTAGAAATAGATTCTTGGGATAGTCTCATTCGAAAACTATATATTTTGGCAGTTTTTAAAAAAGATTCTGTAAAATTTGCATTCAACTCTCCCTACTTTTCAATTAGAAATTTCTAACTTTATGGAAAATGCGTGGAAATAGTTAATGTGAGCTGATTAGCATAAATAAACGAAACTTAATGAAAATTAAATAAATGAAACAATCATAAATGAAAGAAAATTTTGATGAAGCTTTAAATTAATCAAGTAAAATATTTTGCTAATTAGAAAAGTCCAAGTAATATTTAATAGATCGAAAATGTCCAATAAGTTGATGGTCAACTACGCTATGCAAAAGAAAAGTCAACAGTTAAAATCGGCAGCAAAAAGCAGCGGTTAATCACATAAATCTTAGCATTTATCTATTCGACATTCTTTCACTACTGTCAATCCATAGCCTAATGCAGCTGCAGAACAATTTATCCTTGAGAACAAGTCAAATTTAAGCTATTAGGATGAAAAAACTTAAGAAAATCTAAATCTGATCCAGGAAGATCAATTTCGAATAACACCGGATCTACGTATACATGTCGAGTTGTAGTAAACGGATGGTGGCAAACACGTGTATTTGAAAGGGGAATGGGTGTCTCATACAACATGATGTCCATGTTTGAGCAGCCCGTTGCGGGGCAATCTTTCCCAAAAGAGATTCAGAAAGATTTTAAGTCTCTTGCAAATAAAAATAATCATTAAAAGCTTTTGAATTTTAAAAATCGATTTGTCAATGAAGATTCGAAAGTGGCAATAGAAATTTATGTTAAAAAAAACGAGAAAAACGAAGGAAAATCACGAAAAGCGGCGGAAAGGCTATTGATCTGAGGGTCGCTGGTTCGACTTCCACCGGTGACAATATTTTTCAAAAATTTTTTGCTAAGATTCTGAAAATGCGTGTCTAGGGGTGATTTTTGACGCTGATCACGAAACACATGTTTTTAGCCTAGGTTTCTGCGTGGAAAACTAACGAAATGTGAAAACAGCCATTTTTTGGCTCTGCCGCCCTTTACTAAAACAGTTGTAAAAACTTTTAGAAAAGAGATATCTCAAAACGGTCTTACCAATCGATCCGTCTTGAATTCAGCTTTAGGATGAGCGATAAAACGTCAAAATTGGACAAATTTAAGGTACTCTCCCAAAAAATCGGAAAGGACTTTCCACCAACCCAATAGTTCGAAAGGTGATTGATTCAAAAAATCAAAATTTTCCATAAAAATTTCAGGATTTTTGGTGAAACTATTGTGGCGGAACGAGAGAAAACAATGCAAATGAAAAAAGTGAGATGAAATAAGGAAAAAAAGGCGAGTCCTTGATATTGAATGAACAAAAGCAAGATTGCCTTTTTGGCAGAAAGACGAAAATTTTCTTATGATACAATTCGATTAGGTTGAATATTTTTTAAAGTCTACACAAGGCAAATATTACAAATTATACTCTCAATCACGCAACTTACATTCATAATTCATTTGAGGAAAAAGCTGTCAATGTAATCGAATTGTGACCTTCGTACAGTACTGGACAATGAAATATCATATTTGAAAAACGATCGTCACTTTAGCGCGTCTGTAACTCCCTTGTCTTTGAGTTTAAACTATTAGTGTTATACATTTTCTGAAAGCTATTTTCAAGGGCTACACAATGGTAATATTAATACTTAGAAATACGGTAAAGACAAAGGAGTTACAGACGCGCGAAAGTGACGATCGTTTTTCAAATATGATATTTCATTGCCCAGTAGTGTATGTTCACATGACGCTATTTTTGATGAACTTATCGCAATCCTGATGAGTGTAAGCACTAAAAAGTTAAAGAAAAAGAAACGATCCAGATATTGGGCAACCTAGTTACTTTTATATATGATATAGAATTGTTTCCACTAACTAACATTCATCAGTCGAAAATCGAAATGGCTGCAAAATCAAAATGAGTCAATGAACTCCTCTTTCGTCTCAAATTTCTCTTCAAAACAAAGTCAAAACCTTCGGATGAAAGTTGCATTGATAAAACAGATCTCAGTACGATTTGGAACTCAAACAGTAGTCAAAATCCTTTACAAGTTAGGTACAAGTCTGGCGAAAAGGGACATGAAGTGCTTAACGTTGAAGTTTTGCACATAAATCGATCCAAGCTATCCGAGGAGAAGGCATTATACAGAACACTTCATACAAAGCAACGAGACGATGCAAGTGTGCCGTTGATGTGTTTCCATGTGTAATATGAGATGAGAGACGCTGGTTGGCAACCCAAGAAAGGAGATGAGAAAACGATGGACAACAGAAAGAGAAATGACGGTCGCTTTTTGTCTCGTTGGTTCTTTTTCGCCTCTTTTTGGTCTTTCTATTGGTGTATGGTGAGGAAAACACGAGAATGACTGGATTGAATGAGGTTTTTTCTCTCTATTCTTGAAGTTTTGTGGATGTGCATGAAATACCAAAAAACATATCATTAGAAAAGCTAGAAGATTTTATTTTGTTATCAGATGTTGAGATGATATTTTTAAAACTCAAAAATCGGAGAAATAAAGTTTTCAAATTGAAATGTTAGATTTATCAATCTCTTCTTAAACTAATTTTTTGTAAAAATCAACCAACTACACATTGAGTTGAATGCGGAATAATTCACTTATTGTTAGCTTGCACCGGGCAACCAGCGTAACAACGAACTCTTTAATTTGAATGTGTTCCTCTCGAGTGATGTGTTTTCTAAAATGCTAGAGACATTAAGGTATGTTCTTCTCAAATAAGGTATTTTCTAAACCTTAAAAACTACCGTAATCGCGATTCAACTAGTGTGATTGTCCTTAATCTATAAGGGTTTACAAAAGATATTGAAAGATGCAAAAATTCGGTGATTAAATAAAAAAGAGACGGTTCTTTGACAAACGGCAATTACTGTGGTTTCAAAGTGTTTTAGAAATGCTTTGAAATCCTTTGAAAGGTAAACTCCACCCTAGGGAGCCTTGTATTCAAGTGAAACTTGTTTTGAGAGTTTTTGAGATAACCAATAAATTGCTGTTGTGTTAGTTCTTCATTCCAAAAATCCCTTTATTAAAACAATCAAATTTACAAAAAAATGCTTCATCACTGTTATCTGTACAAACAAAGGCTCACTGGGGAAGGCAAGATCATAAAATTTGCTGACGTTCGTTTGGGGAATTTTGGGGATTAAACGACCGATCGTTTCGCCTTTCTCGACATGTGTCTGTATCGGAGACAGCACGTCTGTTCGGCACATTTCACGTATCCCTGTTGGCACACACAGTTCGATGCAGCACACGAGGTAGTTGGAGCACTGGAATATGAGAAGTTAGTTTGCTTTTGATTCAATTAGAATTTAAAGACACTAGAAGACGAATGCTTAAAAAAATTAATTTATAAATCCAAGTTTCATACAGAACGATACTGTGCTCATGATCGGATCCCACTTTACCTGTATTGAGTCATCTGGGCTGGGTAGCTAGCAGTGCAGGCTGGAGCGCAAGCTGGCTGGCAAGCTGGGGCGCATTGGCTTGGCTGAGAAGGTTGCATCTGGACCTAGAATTTGAGCCTAGATAGATTACATTTCCAGTATTTAAAACCTGGAATTGAACTTGTTGCTGTTGTTGCTGACATCCGCAAGATTGTTGCTGAGGCTGACAGTCGCAAGCTGGTTGGGCCTAAAAGGATCAGTGATGCAAAATTTGAAAGATTCACTTGTGGGCAAGGATTGCAGGCTGGCTGGGCTGGCTGACAATCACAAGCTGGTTGTTGCTGACAGTCGCATGATGGCTAAAGGAAAATGGTTCTTTTAGTCATTCTTCATGGAAAATGGTTCTCTTAGCCGTCTACCTGTTGCTGAACCTGGAAGACAATCTGTTGTTGTTGACAATCACAAGATGGCTGCTGAAAATTCAAAGGTTGAGCTTTGTATTGAATGCTTTATATCACCTGTTGGCAAGGATTGCAGGCAGGCTGTGGCTGACAATCGCAAGCGGGCTAAATTTAAGCGATAACTTTAATCCAAGATCTTTGATATCTGTTTTGATTAGACGTTGTTCAGTTTCATTTAGGCAAACAGTTGATAGTTGTGGATTAAGTTTAACATACTTGTTGTTGTTGTTGGGATTGGCAATCGCATGAAGGCTGAAAGAAATTAGTTCTGTTTTGTAAAATTGGTTAAATTCAATGGCTTAGCCACAATTGGTTTAATAATTCAATCAATCCTTTTGATCACACCTGAGTTTGTGGGCAAGGATCACAGGCTGGTTGCTGTTGCTGGGGTTGACAGTCACAAGACGGCTGAAAAGGATTACTTGAGTTAATTGAGTTAATACGTGAATTGGAATAGTTTGCAGAGGTAATAAGTAATCGAAAATCTCATTGTACAGATAGTTTTTAGTTTTTATCATTTACAAGACCTGTGCTTGTGGGCAAGGATCACAGGCTGGTTGCTGCTGTTGGGGTTGACAGTCACACGAGGAGGGCTAAAGTGATTAGAGTTGCGATTAAGTTTTAGTAGTTTACTAGTAGTAATAATAAGTACTAGTAGTACTAGTAGTAATAATTCGTTAGTTATTCAGAGTTATTTTTCAATTAATTAATGACATTAAAAACTTGGAAATTACCTGTGGGCAAGGGTTGCAAGCGGGCTGTGGCGCTGGGCAAGGGTTGCAAGCAGGCTGTGGCGCTGGGCAAGGGTTGCAGGCTGGTTGTTGCTGAAAATTGGTGGTTTATTGAGAATAGCTGGGATCTATTAGCTATTTGCATTGACTTGTAACTTTATTTATAACTCTTGAACTATTAGATCACAATGGATACCTGTGGGCAAGGATTGCAGGCGGGTTGCTGTTGCTGAACCTGGACTTGGATTTCGACCGTTGCACAACAAGCTGAAAAATGGGATCAGCATTAGAATTAGATTAACTTAGTTAAACTATTAAAACTTTAGGCTTTAAGATAAATGATTAATAAGTTTAATCAAGTTTAATAACTTTAATTAACCTTGCTGTGGCTGCTGTTGACAGCACGACTGCTGTTGAACGGGTTGGCAACTGCAAGCAGGCTAAAAATGTTTTATTAGACTTTGTGATCGCTATTTAATTTTCGATTTTTCTTTAGATTGTTGAATTTTTCAATCCGGATCTTTTGCCAGCCGTTGTTTTATTTACGATCGGCTCTATGTATCGAGTGACATTGAACAAATAAAGGGAAAATCTGAGGTGTCATATCGAGAGCCTTGTGCTCAAATGAAAAAGTCAAAGAGTTGAAAGGACATTTCAAAAAGATTAGAAAATGCTTTGGCAAGTGTAAAATTTGAGAATTAGGCTGAATTGGCTAGAAGTTTACTGTTATAACACAAATTTCTTGAAATCACCACCGATCTTGCTTACTTTAAATTCTCAACACTTAAGCTTTTCGGACGTATTTTCGGCTTTAAGACTGTGTTATTGCAATTTTGAATTTAAAATCCAACCTGTTGTTGAACCTGGCAACATTGAGTACCGCACATGCCAGCCGATCCGCACATTTGTCGCCGTGCGCGAAGGGAAAGCTCACCCAGAGGTCCCGCTACCGCCTGAATCATCAAGTTTTTGAGTTTTTGGATATTGGGAAAAATGTCTTTATTAGCTTTCGAGAACGAAAAACAATATTGAAAACTGAAATCAGCTGTTTTGGATGGCTAAAGCCTCACTCTCGATATGCAGATTCAATTTTCTCGCGTCAACAGGGAGTTATTTTTGGAAAACCTTAAAAAGACGCGTTGCAAAAAGGCTGTCAAACAATGTTTTGGTTTTAAAATTTGAGTAATTTAATTAAAACTGACTTCTGAATAACTCAAAAAAAGCAAAACAAAGGTTTAGATGATAAACTGAGAGCTTAAAAGACGTTTGTGAGATCCATGCGCAAAACTTACGTTGGAGTACTTATTCTAGTCAATTAAAATAATGCTACTGGCCTTATTTTAGAATTTCAATGTTTAAATCACTTAATATTTAAAGATGCTACTAAAAACTTTCTCAATCACTCACCAGTCCGAGGATGGTGAACGCAAAAAGTCGGTGGAACATCTTTGATGAGTCTTTGTGAAAATGTAAGAGCTTCTGCTGAGCTCAGGGCAACGATCTCTTGGCCTCTTTGGTGGCATTTATACCTAGGGATTGTTGGGTGAACCGGTCTTCAGTAAAGGCCACCCGGCTGTGCGGTGGGATGGGGTAGGGAAAAGAGTTGTGAACCAACCCCGGGTCAAAGGCCCTTGATTCAACAGAAATGCGTGTGCCAGTCTTTTTTCCCTTTCTTTCTCATTTCCCTTTGAACTGTTTACCCCACTTGCCGCCGCTTAGGAAACATTTTTCTTTGTCTGTCTCTCTTTTCCTTACCCCAACTGAAACTGAAAGCCAAACATGAGTAACTCTCAGCCTTTAGGTAAGTAGATTCAGGCACCCCTCAAGTGCGAGAGAAAATTTGAGGATTTTGATGGGGAATCTCGACAAAAAGTGTGGAATTTGAAGAAAAAGTGATTCACTTTTTGTTGTTAAACAAAGTCAATTAGAAGTTTGGTACCAGTTTGGGGTAATGTGCTCAGAATCAGAAATGTTAAGCAAAAAGAGAATTTGCTAATGGATCTCAAAAAATGGGCCCAAAAAAAGGTTTCCATTTTGCTAGCTAAATTCAATTAGAAGTTTAAAAGAAGTGTAGGACAACTAGTTCGTTTTTTTTTGTAAACTAAACGGACTTTTTGGAAAAAGTGGGTTTTAAGAATGATGGCTGAACCAAATGGAGATCTAGTTTGTATCATTCGAAAGATATATCTTTCTTAACAAAATGGCTTTTGAGAGCTTTTGAAAAGCTTTTGTTTTTGAACATTTTCGGAGGTGCAAAGAAAAATTGGCAGAAACAGAAATTTGCCTACTCGTCTTTGCACTCCCGAAAAAACCCCAAAAACGAAAGCTTTTCTAAATTGCCAACAACCATTTTGCAAAGGAAATCTAGATCTTTCCAATAGTGCAAACCGTACTTCATTTGGTGCCTTCAACATTTGTAAAACGAATTTTTAGTGAAAAAGTCCGGCTACTTAGTTGACAATCTAATAAATAAAACTGTTGGGTTTCAAAGCCGTAGGTGGTGCTATCGTATTGTCAAGATATTCAACCATATTTATCCGGTATAAGTGCACAATCAGATTATTTGTTTTATTTTACTTAAATCCACAGCTGATACATTCTCCTGAATAACACTTCATTGTAAACTAAGCCAATAACTTAATCATACAATTCTCGGATAGAATTAAACCCTTTAAAATTTAAAGGGAGGAAAAATGCTTTTTGCTTTTTATGCTTTTTGATCTCAAAAAAAAATCAGTATAGCCACTCGAAGGGAGGCGCCAATGTTTGCTTGTATGCGATTTTACACTCTTGCAATAAATGGGATACTCTGTAAACTGATAACCCTTTTTTCTTGCAAAAAAGATCAGTGCATTCTTTTGACAAACAACTTTCTGTACTTGTGAATCGAAAATCGAAAATCCGAGTTGGGAAAAAGTTTCAACTAACTGGTCTGTAGCACAAATAAACAAACAAAGAAGGAATCCGATTTCTTTCGATTTTCTTTCAGCTTTTTTGAGTGGATGAGCAAGATTTCGTTGAGTGGATCTACATAGTTAGAAAAACTGCACAAAAGAATATGTTTAATGATCTTTAAATCAGAGCTGATCTGAGTAAATAGGAGAATTCAAAGACAATGCTGTTCTTATCGTTTCATTTCTCAAATTTTCAACAATGAGTGAAGTGAAGAGTGAAGAACTCTAATAGTAAATTAAAAGAGTAGAAATCTATTAGATGTTTAATCTTGAAATGGTTCAACTGAGCTTTTATTTTAACATATGCTTCTTGGTAGACAAATCGGTACCACTCGATGCCAATCTCCAATGTTTGCTTGTATGAATTTGAATTCTTTGATGAATGGAGCTGATTTTTTGGAAATGGGCTGTAGATTCTGAATGGATAAACTTGTTCTTGTTGCTTTTTGAGATTGCTTGATTAAGGATAGATACTCATACGTTTGAGTTAAAGCTGAGAGTGAGAATTGAAAATACTCAAAGAAATATGTTACTCCAAGGTTTAGGAAACAAAAGCGAAACTGCCCACTCCGTTGCTAGATACAACCAGATATCTTCACGCACATTTGTCCATCAAAAAACGTTCAAAACTTTCTCTATATTTTCCCCTTTTACAAACATCGACCAGCTCCTCAAACGACACTTCCTTATAGAGAACAGGCTTCGATGGATAAATATTGAGCATTTTCACGGCCGTCTCTCACGGACTCTGGCATTCAGGGTGTTTCGCTTTTCTAAATTTTTCAATTGCACAAACTTAATATGCAAATTGCCTTTGGGCTTTCAGCGTTTCTGTTTTACTTATTTATTGTGACACTTCACGCTGAAGATACTAGAAATGAAACGACAACGGAATTGGCTTTAACTACTGTAGGTTTCAAGATAACATTTGAATTTCTATAGAGTTGAACATAATCTTTTTAGAGTAAAAAATCAACAACGAGTTTGGTTCATATTCGAGCAAAACGACAATTCTTTGGGGGTGGTTTCGGCGGTGGTTTTGGTGGAGGTTGTGGCTGTATGATGTTAGCTGTGTGCCCGTGTTCAATGCCTATGATTCCACCACCGATTGTGAGTTTTGAATGTAACAGTGCGAAAACTGGGTTCTAATCTTGGTTCTTTCCATAGTAATCATTTTGAGACCAAAGTTTGGGAATTATTGTTGGAAATTTTTAACCATAGCATGTTGATTACTAAATACTTATTCTAGTTGTACTTTTTCCAAAGATTTCTATTCCAGAATCCCCTCAACCATTCCAGTTTCACCAATCTTTGCTATAGTTTTTATTATAGGAAAAAAGATTGCTTTACGACTTCGTTTGTTGATAGGCTTATTGATAATCTGAGTCTCCCAAATTTGAAAGAGAAAAGATCAATTAAGTAAAAAAGGGGCCTATAGTTGTGATTCATTGTGATTGACAGAGATTTAAATAGCGGAAAGGATTTTCGAAGATTCTACAATGAATAATGTAAGTAAAAATTGCAGAAGAGTTGAAAAAATCATCAAAAAATTTCGTTTGTCTCTTTCCGTCATAAATACATTGTGTTTCAGTATCAAAAATGTCTCATTTTGTTTTAAAATCTTAAAATCTTTCTTCAGTAAAATTTGCTCGCACTTTGTTTTTCTATTTTTGACCAAATTTCACTGATTCTTTTAACGAAACTTTTCCCCAAAATTTCCCAAAAAAACGCACATAAGCCGACTGCTGATAAGGCTTTTCAAGAGAAAAGACGCCCCGAAAATTTAATAGACTTGCTTAAAAATGTCTTTTTTTGCTCTTCCAAAGCTTTTTTTGTTTGCTTATCAAACGTGACTGTACAGGATTGGGCACTTTTGTGCAAAAGGAAAGGTGTAATATTGCATCCCTTTGACGCGTGAGGAGAATTGAAAGGCATGAAAAGAGTGTATCGATTGAGTTTTACACCTTTTGTGGAATGGAAAGAGGGAAAGAGGATCAAGCCTTTTTTTACCCTAAAACAAGGGTGTGGCCCATCAAGTTTTTTTGCCTAGATGAATCACTTCTTACGTTTAAAGATAGGTATGCAGTGCTGAAATGAACACAAAAATGGCCCAAGTCAGCAAGAATGTTTGGTGCAAAACAATGCTTTGTAATTCCACCTGGTCAAATCAAATCAGTAACTCAACTAGGGTTGTTACAACCGGTCCAGGTCTAGATCAGTTCAGGCTTCGGACCAAAGGACTTTGTAGGCTAGGATCTGCAGCAAAGACTGATTTGGGGCCAAGACAAGCTAAGCTAAGCAAGGCTAGAGGTTATGCCAGAAGCCAGGTTCTGGAACAAGCCATAATTCGACTTTTGATGATCAAATTCTTGTCCTTGCCTTCTTCCTAACAATAACAACTCAAAAACATGCCCAACCGAAATCCATAGCAAGTTTGATGCAAAAACAACTAAAATTTTAAAAGTTTACGGTAAAATCTTTCATTTTCGAACCAAACATGGGTGGGGCTGTCCGTTTTTTTAAATGAATCACACTTCCAGCCGGCCGGCTTATGTGAAAGGCGAGACGCCGCCACAATCAAACGAAATTTAGTGTCCATTATTTGGAGCAAAAATTTTCGGGTCGAGAACTTGAACGTACACGTTGCAAGATTTGAAGGATTATGAAGCATAAAAATAAGAAATGTGGGCAATGTAATAAATTTTTAGTCGTCGGGCAAGGTCGAAAGCGAACCAGAAAAAACGGGATATGGAAAAGAATGAACTTTAGATAATGATGTCCCCGCTGATGATGGGTGGTGGCTGTTGTGGATCGTGTCTTCCGGTGTGCATGCCTGTTTGTATGAGAATGGGTTGCGGAGGATTCGGAGGATTTGGATACGGTCGAAAGAAACGAGAAGCGCTCATTGCGAGGAATGCGCCTGTGTTGAAGTGAGTAACGAAAAGGAGTATTTTGAATGCAAAAATGTAAAAGTTTTCAAAGTCTCAAAGTTTATTGGTAAATCAAAGTGAATTCAATTTACAATTCATAGATAAAAGCTAAGAAATGTAAGGAATTCAAAATCTTTGTGAAGCTAATTTTGAAGTTGACCATGAAACTTGTTAAAATCTTCAAGAATACAAAAGTTGTTAGCAGATTGGATACTAAATGAACCAATTCTAACACAACTCCAACTATTCCAGGCTTTCGGCTGTGCCCGTTAAGAAACGCTCTCTCAAAATACTTGATGGAACTCGAACGATGGCCTAATCTCTGAAAAATATCAAAAATTTGATGATTAATAGTTTACGTGTATAAATTTTCTAATGTATTGATTAATGCCACATCATTCCGGAAGCCGACCGGCATAAACTCATAAGATAGGCGGCGTCTCTCTGCTTTTGATTCAATTAACCAAAAATTGGTTATCAGTTGGGAAATTTTTCAAAAGAGTCGATTCACATTCACAAATTCACGTGCTAAACCAAAAAAGAAAGAGAAATTCTGTCGTTATAACTTGCATTTTTGTGTTTGTAGAGGGGTTTCCTTTGAATGGCTGGGGGAAACGCCTGGTTATGCTCAATAAAAATTGGTCAGCTTTGAGGAATGACGCGTTTAAAAAAAAAGGGAGGGAACGAACCCGGAAAGAACTGAAATATTCACAAATTTATTTCTTTTGACCAAAACGAGAATCTTTGATTTTACGAGAAAGTCTCAATTTTCTTAATCACAAAATTATTCGCTGATTTTTGCAATTTGTTCTACTCAGCGAATAGATCTACTACATTTTATCTACAGTAATCTATAGCATACCACGACGAAACTCACTCAAGTATCGTCGGAAAGTGAGAGGGTAAGTTTCATTGATTCTAAAATTAAACTTTGTTTTGAAGTTTAAAACTTACTTTTCACTGAGAATCATGAATCCTTTTCCTATTGGTCAATCTTTTGAGTATTAAGATACTGTAAAGCACCGGAAAGCTGTAAAAGCAACTGAAATTTGCCTATGAACACCGAAAGTTGTTATTGATTGGAGAAGAATCCATATGAACGCTTGAACCTACCGTATATACGACTGTTTTAGCTACAAAATATTTCCAAGTTATCCTTCACCTTTTCGAATGAGACTACTAATGAGACCAAAAGTATAGCTTCTTTATACTTGTAGAACTGGCAACTAATTGGCACTTTTAAAATCAACACTAGACTCGCTTAGCTGTAAAGTTCGTTTAAGCAGAAATTGCAGCTTCCAGAATGGATATAGGTACCGTAAACATTCTAATAGAAGAGCCAGCTCTTCTATTTTTCAATGTCCCTCTGAAATTCTTTTTGAGCATTATACCAGTATACCCAAATTTTCAAGAGCTCAAAAATGAGTGTTTTTGTTGGATTTTCATCCGGTTTTCGATCTCATTAAGCTTTTTTAGTCTATAAATATTATTTAAAGCTTTTGGAAGTCTTTAAAAAATGATTTTTTTTATCCAAGAGTTTAAAAACCCGAAAAAATGAAAATTTAAAGGGGGCTCTTCAATTGGAATTAAAACGGTAATTACTTTCAAGACTTGCTACCATAATCTTCGTACTACGCTAACATTTCGAGGCAAATCTGATCAAAAAGTCAACATTTCAGTGACGATATTCTAGTTGCGACCTATCAAATGGTACAAGGCGTGTAATTTTTCCACTCATTCACAAAATCAACCCATAAATGTAGAGCTTCTCGTCAACTCTTTTTCTATTTTTTTTCTTCTTTGCTATGAGGTGTCCATCGATGAGCAGTCCTGAATTTCTGAAAGGAGGCTTCAAAGGGGAAAGCTCCAAAAATGAGCTTCTTAGCGTCTTATCCTTGATAAAGGCGACGTAGAACCTTTCTCTTTCTCTGTTTCTCTTATTTGCCTCTTTCAAAAAACTTCTTTTAGCTAATGATTCAAGCTTTTTGACCAAAACGTTTTGCTTCAGAGCTTTTTAAATTTAAAGAAAACTTTTTGCATCTAAACCTTATTAAAGGGCCAGATTTTGTTTCCCAGTAAATCTTGCTCTGGTTGCTTTAGTGATAACTGATTTATTTGCAATCATTACTTTGACAGGTCTGTTCATCTTTGACTGTGGGTGCAATTAATGTACATCACTAGCAATTTAGTAGTCAAATTTTGTTCTCGTTTTGATGCATTTCTTCAGAACTCTCTGGAACATCCTTTCAATCAAGAAATCTCACATTTCACACTAGGTTTTTCCTTGTTTTTCAAAATTTTGTTGACGTAAATACAAACGTTAAAACATTGATTTTTGGCGAGATTTGTAACTTTCTAACTTTCACAATTTGCCCTCTCATCACCAGCCACTCTTTTCTTCGATCGCTTATCAGGAAGCTGTTAAAATTAGGCTTAGAAACCAGGACAAAAAATGACATAAGACTTTTGTTCTGATCCATCGCCTCATTTGAAAATTTAGAATAATTTGAAAAGCTTTCGTTCAAGCTGAAAATTGTCAATAAGTTGGCTTTTCTCATCGTTTTCTTTCAATTTTAACTTCTCCAGCTCAAAATCTGGGCAACCTGATCCATTTTATCCGTTTTTAAAACTTCACCTGCATTTTTGATCTTAAACTTATCATAAAATAATTAAATCTGAAAACGTCAGTAATTTCCCGGGAAGAGTTAGAAAAAACGCCGTTTAGAAGAATTGAATAATAGTCGAAAAGCCCATTTCTGATAGCCTCTGATAACAAAATTCTTGAACTAATTTTCGGCAAAAAGGCTCCGGCCTTCAAATTGTCAGCAAATACAGTAGTCTTGAATTCTGAATTGATTCTCAAATTTATAAATTTTATTTAGATAAATCTTTTCTTCTATCTTCTAATAAGAAATCAATAAATACTCAATGTTTTAACTTTAATTGAATTGTTTTTCAGAATCTTTTCTCAGCTGCATGAGCAAAAGAAAAGCAGCAAGTATTGGGGTTTGTTTTAACGCTTTAAAACTAAATCCTTTTGCTAATTCACTAACATTGAGCTTTTTAAAAATCCTTCTTGGCTTTGTTAACGATTAGTTTGCTTAATAAGTTCAAGTACTTTTCTGCAATCATCGATCAATTTATTTGAGAGTGGTGTTTAATCGAGAATGTCAACGAGAACGTCTTCTTGGGATGTCGGCTCGGTGAAAGTCAGTCGAAACACTCGAAGGACGGTTTTTCTCCTCATCGGAGCTCTGATTCTTGTTGTCCTTGTAGCCGTCGGAATCACATTGGGCATTGTCTTTGGAACGAAAAGCAAGGGTACGTACCTAAACCATTTGATTACTGACTTCATACTTCAATTTAGACAACACAAAACCCGTTGTACCGGTAAACACAAAACCAAACCAAACGATGGCCGTGAATATCTATTTCCGAAAGTATGCGTCTCAGGCGGCGAACCGTGCCAAACGAGCTACTTCTGAATACGATGCCTGCATGGATAGGGTGAGATTTCATTGTGAACAAAAAGTAACTTATTTCAAAGCTAAACCAATGTTATTTTTCCCCAGTGGGCAAAACTTGAGTAAGCAAAGAATAATAGCAAAAATGTTTGCAACTTGATGAACAAAAAAATTCCTATCAAATAACAAACTGGGTTTAGTATTCGGATTAATCAGCGGACAATCAGGACCAAACTTACTTTAATACTGACTTCGTTTCTGATTTTTTCTTACAAAGTATTTAGATGCGCGATGTCACTCAACAATCCTTGAGTGAAATCATGAACAAAGGAGATCGAAATCTTCTTGTCAACGTTTGGGATGAGGAGGGAGTGCACGACGCCGTCCCAGCCAGTGAAGTCATTAAAAGACTGGGAGAACCTGCTTCCGTAACAAATATAGCACCCAATCAAACACAGTACGTTTTTCACTTATTTCGGTGTAAGCCGTAAGTCCAGATCTTGGATACTTGCTGATCTAGCTCATTGTTGGAGCGTTTGCCCGGTAATCGGAAGGTCGTTGATGGTTGGGGTCCCGGTGGTCGCCGACCATTTGTATTCCCAGCCATAGGTCACAAAAAGACTGACGTTTCCAACTGTTGAACAGTTTCAGATATTTGAAAAGAAAATGCCTATGAAAAATTTCCCTGTTTTCAGTCGTTGGTCGGCGATGAGCTTGGATGACCGAATCGAAAACATGGTGTACTTTGCTCCATGCAGTGAATATCCGTGAGTTTCCATGTCTACTCACCAGAAATAACATGCTTATATAACAAATAACACGATATCTGATTCAATGCGTACCTTGCTTAAACTCTATGCCAAAATTCACATTTCAGTGACTCGGATCTCGACTTTAATGGTACTTTCGAGTATATGAAGACAATTTTGATCAAACAAAAAAGTAGGTTTGAGAGCAAATTTTGAGAAGTATAATTTGGAATATAATATACTAGTGGCTTTGAAAAAATATCAAATAGGTCAATAGCTGTGTAATGATCAAAAATTATATGTACAAAAATCCATGGACAAATCGATAATTGCAATTTTAGACAAGGGACTGCTCCCTGTGCAGTTCATTTCTGGATTGAAAAACGCAAGCGAGATTGGCATACCACAGGAAATTGCAGATCTTGGCATGAAATTCGCCGGACTTGATACTCCTCTTGAGAATATCACGAAAAACATTGTGGATAATATGCCAAATATCACCATTACCACAACTTTGACATCGCCAAAAACTACAACCCCTATTACAACAATGAGCAATACACCTGCAGAAACCACGTCTGTTCATACTAGGACCGTCTATGAAACGGGCACTCCAGCGTTGACTACAACTGAGCAAGAACCGAGACTGAAAACGACCGAACCCTCAACTACCGTTGAAACTAGTCCAACAGAGCAACACAGCTCGAGCACGGTGGAAACAAGTACGAGTATGAAGATAAGCACTCAATTGAGCAGCTTGCCTTCTACTAAAGCTGAAACTAGTTCTGCCGCGACTAGCTCTACCATTACATCAACCAACGGACAAAGCTCAACAGAATATACAACATCACCTACGACCACCAAAACAATAGCCACCATTGAAACTACAGCAGAATCCAAAACCACAGCAACATCTGGAACATCATCAAAAACTGAACCTTCCGGCACGACGGGACAAGTCTCAACAGCATCAGCTAATACACCGGGTTCTGCCTCAACACAATCAGTGGGCACAACTGCACGTGCAGAATCAACTGGCACGATAGGCTCATTCACAACAGAATCCATCGGAACGACGGGTGCAGTCACCACAGAATCAATCGGAACGACCGCCGCAGTCACAACCGGACCAATCGGAACGACAGGCTCATTCACCACAGAATCAGCCGGCACCAAAGGCCCATTCACCACAAAATCAATCGGAACGACGGGTGCAGTCACAACAGAATCAATCGGAACGACAGGCTCATTGACCACAGAATCAGCCGGCACCACCGGAACAGCCGGCACGACAAGCTCAGTCGCAACAGAATCAGCCAGGACAACCGTCGCAGCCACAAGAGAATCAGCCGGCACCACGGCATCATTTAACACCGAATCAGCAGGTACGACGGCATCAGTCACGACGGGACCAGCCGGCACGACAGGATCAGTTACCACAGAATCAGTCAGGACAACCGTCGCAGCCACCACAGAATCAGCCGGAAGCACAGGATCAGCTTCAACGGAACCAGCCGGCACCACGGGACCATTTACCACCGAATCAGCCGGTACATCGGCCTCAGTCACAACAGAATCAGCGCGTACGACGGTCTTAGTCACAACAGAATCCGCCGGCACCGCCGGACCATCCTCAACGCAATCAGCCGGAATCACAGGTTCAGTCACCACGGAATTGGCCGGAACGACGGCCTCAGTTACAGCGGAATCAGCCGGTACGATATCGTCAGTCAATACAGAATCAGCCGGAACGATGGCGTCAGTAACAACGGAATCAGCCGGAACGATGGCCTCAGTCACAACACAATCAGCCGGAACGATGGCCTCAGTCACAACGGAATCAGCCGGAACGATGGCGTCAGTCACAACGGAATCAGCCGGAACGATGGCCTCAGTCACAACGGAATCAGCTGACACGACACGATTACCCTCATCGGAATCAGCCGGAACGATGGCCTCAGTCACAACACAATCAGCCGGAACGATGGCCTCAGTCACCACGGAATCAGCCGGAACGATGGCCTCAGTCACAACACAATCAGCCGGAACGATGGCCTCAGTCACAACACAATCAGCCGGAACGATGGCCTCAGTCACAACGGAATCAGCCGGAACAATGGCCTCAGTCACAACAGAATCCGCAGGAACGATGGCGTCAGTCACAACAGAATCAGCTGGCACGACACGATTGCCCTCAACGGCATCAGCCGGAACGATGACGTCAATCACAACGGAATCAGTAGGAACGATGGCCGCAGTCACCACAGAATCAGCCGGAACGATGGCCTCAGTCACAACGGAATCAGCTGACACGACACGATTACCCTCAACGGAATCAGCCGGAACGATGGCCTCAGTCACAACGGAATCCGTAGGAACGATGGGCTCAGTCACAACAGAGTCAGCCGGACCGATGGCCTCAGCCACAACAGAATCAGCCGGAACGATGGCCTCAGTCACAACAGAATCAGCTGGAACGATGGCGTCAGTCACAACAGAATCAGCCGGAACGATGGCGTCAGTCACAACAGAATCAGCTGGAACGATGGCGTCAGTAACAACGGAATCAGCCGGAACGATGGCCTCAGTCACCACACAATCAGCCGGAACGATGGCCTCAGTCACAACGGAATCAGCCGGAACGATGGCCTCAGTCACAACAGAATCAGCCGGAACGATGGCCTCAGTCACAACGGAATCAGCTGACACGACACGATTACCCTCAACACAATCAGCCGGAACGATGGCCTCAGTCACAACGGAATCAGCCGGAACAATGGCCTCAGTCACAACAGAATCCGCAGGAACGATGGCGTCAGTCACAACAGAATCAGCTGGCACGACACGATTGCCCTCAACGGCATCAGCCGGAACGATGACGTCAATCACAACGGAATCAGTAGGAACGATGGCCGCAGTCACCACAGAATCAGCCGGAACGATGGCCTCAGTCACAACGGAATCAGCTGGCACGACACGATTACCCTCCACGGAATCAGCTGGAACGATGGCGTCAGTCACAACAGAATCAGCCGGAACGATGGCCTCAGTCACAACGGAATCAGCTGCAACGATGGCCTCAGTCACAACGGAATCAGCCGGAACGATGGCGTCAGTCACTACGGAATCAGCCGGAACGATGGCCTCAGTCACAACAGAATCAGCCGGAACGATGGCCTCAGTCACAACGGAATCAGCTGGAACGATGGCGTCAGTAACAACGGAATCAGCCGGAACGATGGCGTCTGTCACAACCGAATCAGCTGGAACGATGGCGTCAGTCACAACAGAATCAGCCGGAACGATGGCCTCAGTAACAACCGAATCAGCTGGAACGATGGCGTCAGTAACAACGGAATCAGCCGGAACGATGGCCTCAGTCACAACGGAATCAGCTGGAACGATGGCGTCAGTATCAACGGAATCAGCTGGCACGACACGATTACCCTCAACGGAATCAGCTGGAACGATGGCGTTAGTCACAACCGAATCAGCTGAAACGATGGCCTCAGTCACAACGGAATCAGTAGGAACGATGGCGTCAGTCACAACGGAATCAACCGGAACGATGGCGTCAGTCACAACCGAATCAGCCGGAACGATGGCGTCAGTCACAACGGAATCAGCTGGAACGATGGCGTCAGTCACAACCGAATCAGCCGGAACGATGGCCTCAGTCACAACGGAATCAGCTGGAACGATGGCGTCAGTCACAACGGAATCAGCCGGAACGATGGCCTCAGTCACAACAGAATCAGCTGCAACGATGGCCTCAGTCACAACAGAATCAGCTGGAACGATGGCCTCAGTCACAACGGAATCAGCTGGAACGATGGGCTCAGTCACAACAGAGGCAGCCGGAACGATGGCCTCAGCCACAACAGAATCAGCCGGAACGATGGCCTCAGTCACAACAGAATCAGCTGGAACGATCGCGTCAGTAACCACGGAATCAGCCGGAACAATGGCCTCAGTCACAACCGAATCAGCCGGAACGATGGCGTCAGTCACAACGGAATCAGCTGGAACGATGGCGTCAGTCACAACGGAATCAGCCGGAACGATGGCCTCAGTCACAACGGAATCAGCTGGAACGATGGCGTCAGTCACAACGGAATCAGCCGGAACGATGGCCTCAGTCACAACAGAATCAGTAGGAACGATGGCGTCAGTCACAACAGAATCAGCCGGAACGATGGCCTCAGTCACAACGCAATCAGCTGGAACGATGGCCTCAGTCACTACGGAATCAGCCGGAACGATGGCCTCAGTCACAACGGAATCAGCCGGAACAATGGCCGCAGTCACAACAGAATCAGCTGCAACGATGGCCTCAGTCACAACGGAATCAGCTGGAACGATGGCCTCAGTCACAACGGAATCAGCTGGAACGATGGCGTCAGTCACAACGGAATCAACCGGAACGATGGCGTCAGTCACTACGGAATCAGCCGGAACGATGGCCTCAGTCACAACGGAATCAACCGGAACGATGGCGTCAGTCACTACGGAATCAGCCGGAACGATGGCCTCAGTCACAACGGAATCAGCCGGAACAATGGCCTCAGTCACAACCGAATCAGCCGGAACGATGGCGTCAGTCACAACGGAATCAGCTGGAACGATGGCGTCAGTCACAACGGAATCAGCTGGCACGATGGCCTCAGTCACAACAGAATCAGCCGGAACGATGGCCTCAGTCACAACGGAATCAGCCGGAACGATGGCCGCATTCACAACAGAACCAGCCGGGACGATGGCCTCAGTCACAACGGAATCAGCTGGAACCAGGGCCTCAGTCACAACTGAATCAGCCGGAACGATGGCGTCAGTCACAACGGAATCAGCCGGAACGATGGCCTCAGTCACAACGGAATCAGCCGGAACGATGGCGTCAGTCACAACGGAATCAGCCGGAACGATGGCCTCAGTCACAACGGAATCAGCTGGAACGATGGCGTTAGTCACAACCGAATCAGCTGGAACGATGGCCTCAGTCACAACGGAATCAGTAGGAACGATGGCCTCAGTGACAACAGAATCAGCCGGAACGATGGCCTCAGTCACAACGCAATCAGTAGGAACGATGGCCTCAGTCACAACAGAATCAGCCGGAACGATGGCCTCAGTCACATCAGAATCAGCCGGAACGATGGCCTCAGTCACAACAGAATCAGCCGGAACGATGGCCTCAGTCACAACGGATTCAGCTGGAACGATGGCATCAGTCACAATGGAATCAGTAGGAACGATGGCGTCAGTCACAACAGAATCAGCCGGAACGATGGCGTCAGTGACAACAGAATCAGCCGGAACGATGGCCTCAGTCACAACAGAATCAGCCGGAACGATGGCCTCAGTCACAACGGAATCAGCTGGAACGATGGCATCAGTCACAACGGAATCAGTAGGAACGATGGCATCAGTCACAACGGAATCAGTAGGAACGATGGCGTCAGTCACAACAGTCAGCCGGAACGATGGCCCAGTCACAACGCAATCAGCTGAACGATGGCCCAGTCACAACGGAATCAGCTGGAACGATGGCGTCAGTAACACGGATCTAGGACGAGGTCCTCAGTCACAACAGAATCAGCCGGAACGATGGCCTCAGTCACAACGGAATCAGCCGGAACGATGGCCTCAGGCACAACAGAATCAGCCGGAACGATGGCCTCAGTCACAACGGAATCAGCTGGAACGATGGCGTCCGTGACAACAGAATCAGCCGGAACGATGGCCTCAGTCACAACAGAATCAGCCGGAACGATGGCCTCAGTCACAACGGAATCAGCTGGAACGATGGCCTCAGTCACAACGGAATCAGCCGGAACGATGCCGTCAGTCACAACGGAATCAGTAGGAACGATGGCCTCAGTCACAACAGAATCAGCCGGAACGATGGCCTCAGTCACAACGGAATCAGCTGGAACGATGGCCTCAGTCACAACGGAATCAGCCGGAACGATGCCGTCAGTCACAACGGAATCAGTAGGAACGATGGCCTCAGTCACAACAGAATCAGCCGGAACGATAGCCTCAGTCACAACGGAATCAGCTGGAACGATGGCGTCAGTAACAACGGAATCGGTAGGAACGATGGCCTCAGTCACAACAGAATCAGCCGGAACGATGGCCTCAGTCACAACGGAATCAGCTGGAACGATGGCCTCAGTCACAACGGAATCAGCCGGAACGATGCCGTCAGTCACAACGGAATCAGTAGGAACGATGGCCTCAGTCACAACAGAATCAGCCGGAACGATAGCCTCAGTCACAACGGAATCAGCTGGAACGATGGCGTCAGTAACAACGGAATCGGTAGGAACGATGGCCTCAGTCACAACAGAATCAGCCGGAACGATGGCCTCAGTCACAACGGAATCAGCCGGAACGATGCCGTCAGTCACAACGGAATCAGTAGGAACGATGGCCACAGTCACAACAGAATCAGCCGGAACGATAGCCTCAGTCACAACGGAATCAGCTGAAACGATGGCCTCAGTCACAACGGAATCAGCTGGAACGATGGCCTCAGTCACAACGGAATCAGTAGGAACGATGGCCTCAGTCACAACAGAATCAGCCGGAACGATGGCCTCAGTCACAACGGAATCAGCCGGAACGATGCCGTCAGTCACAACGGAATCAGTAGGAACGATGGCCACAGTCACAACAGAATCAGCCGGAACGATAGCCTCAGTCACAACAGAATCAGCTGGAACCATGGCGTCAGTAACAACGGAATCAGCCGGAACGATGGCCACAGTCACAACGGAATCAGTAGGAACGATGGCCTCAGTCACAACGGAATCATCTGGCACCACACGATCACCCTCAACAGAATCAGCTGGGACGATGGCCTCAGTCACAACGGAATCAGTAGAAACGATGGCCTCAGTCACAACAGAGTCAGCCGGAACAATGGCCTCAGCCACAACAGAATCAACGGGCACAAGTAAGTTGATCTGAAAGTGATAGATAAGTTTTTGCATGTTGATTAGAACCCTAATGAAAAGGCTCAGGGAAGGAAAGACTTAGATGGAAATGAACCCGACTTGAAGTTCGGAACCGCTATCTCGGCGTACCGAACACGGCGATCGGGGTGACCACGAATCAGTGAAATTTTTTTTGCGAAAGGCCCGGCAAACGTGAGAGATTTGGCTCGTGGGTTTTGAGTGGCTTGATCAATATTTGACTTGATGGTTTTTGAACGGTTTTCTGAGATTTGTTTACGAAGATGAAAAAGAGAAGCGGTGGCGGAGAGGATAATGGGCCGGGATGGCAAGTTTTTGGTCCGAGTTCGATTGCCCTCGACGGAAAATTTTTGCATTAAAATATTTTGGATTGCATTTCATTTTTCTTTTGCGGGAACAACTTTTTTGGCTTAAGAGTGAATATACTAGTTATAAAACATACAAGGTGTACGTTAGAAAATAAGAATTATAAAATTATTAAAACAGTTATACGAATTTCAAAATCATAAATACCTCTTTTTGGAATTTTAGATAAATATCTTTAAAAAAATTTACTTTTACGTGTCGCAAAAGTATTATACATCATGAATTTTTCAAAGCAGGCCAAAATCACAAATTTTCAGAAGGTTTCTTATTTGGTCATTTAAGGCAAACCCGTAAATTCCAATAACAAAAATTTTTCAAGTTTCAGCTTTTCTGATAACCTTAGAAGTTTCCCAAAATCTTGAGTTAAAATCTTTTCTCTCAAAAGCGATAATAGCTAATGACAAGGGGACTCTAAATCCATATTTAGTATCATTGTGTACTCTCTCATCAAGGATATAATAGATGATGCTTACTCCTACAGATCGAAGGTTCTTTTTCTTATCCCTCTTTGCTGTTTAGTTGTTCAGTTGTTTTTGGCAAAAAAACGTTGTTCCGGCTTAGGAAAATGAACTGTAATCAAAAAAAGTTTGACATAGAGTGGAAACGAAGTGGGGCCAGAGCCTGGAATCGGAGCACATTATCCTCTCGGCCACCACTCCTCTGTTTCATTTCCGTGAACAGGGCCTAAAAAGTAGCACTAGAACTACAAAATTAGCCAAACATCCCGCGTCTGCAGGATTTCTGGCCTAAAAATTTTTACCGATTCGTGATCTCCGTGGTCAATTCTATAAGGTCCAAATAGGCTCAAAGCAATTCCGAACTTCAAGTCGGGGTCTTTCCCTTCTTAGAATATCCATTGAAACCAAAAGCTTAATGTAAAGTAGCTTTAAAAAAGTGCTCAAACTCGATAAAATTAAAGAAATTGCATGGTTTCGAATTTAGTGAGCACGTCACCCTAGCACGCGAGAACTTCCACCGCTGGTTGTCAAAGGTTCCTCGATATATCACCTATCATTAAATTCCCATGATACTAAACGCTTCAGATGAATGCCCTTTTCTTAAGTTTCATTTCCAAAAGCAATTAAAATTTTGATGGATTTGGAACTCTAATCCTTCCTCACTATCTTCCTTTGCCCTAATAATTACATTGCATGATTGATCTCGTTTTTGCATGTTGCTTACAAGTTTTGCTCAATAAACGCATTTTTTCATACAAAAAACTGCATGAATTGCTTTGCATGTCAAAAAAATTTATCAGAACACAAGCAACAGTCAATATTTACATTAGTTAGAAACCATAACAAACATCAGCTTTTAGATACAAGTCCAGGATGATAAGAAGACAAATCTCTTACAATAAGTTATAGAAACCGCGTCCGACACATCAAGTAAAATCCCATCAACTCATGGATCGACTGTCATTTCAAGTGCCTCCACAATTGAGCAAAGCCAAACTTCAGAAACAACAAAAACCAAAATAGAGAATACAACATCATCAATCGGATTCTTGGCATCAAGTACAACGGAAATCCCGTCATGGACCGAATCAACTGTCGTTTCAAGTGCTTCCACGAACAAGCCAAGTACTATTGCAGAAACAGAGCCACCAACCACTTTCACCGCCTACTTCGGATCAAGCACAACGGAAATCCCGTCATCGACCGATTCAACTGTACCGGTAATCACAAAACCAAACCAAACGATGGCCGTGAATATCTATTTCCAACAGTATGCGTCTCAGGCGGCGAATCGTGCCAAACGAGCCGCTAGTTCTGAATATGATGACTGCATGGATAGGGTGAGACTTCATTGTAAACAAAAAGTAATTTAATTCAAAGCTGAACCAATGTTATTTTTCCCCAGTGGGCAAAACTTTAGTAAGCAAAGAATAATAACAAAAATGCTTGCAACTTGATGAACAAACAAATTCCCCTCAAATAAAAAACAGGGTTTAGTACTCGGATTAATCAGTGCGCCACCAGGACCAAACTTACTTTAATACTGACTTCATTTCTGATTTTTTCTTACAAAAGTATTTAGATGCGCGATGTCACTCAACAATCCTTAAGTGAAATCATGAACAAAGGAGATCGAAATCTTCTTGTCAACGTTTGGGATGAGGAGGGAGTGCACGACGCCGTCCCAGCCAGTGAAGTCATTAAAAGACTGGGAGAACCTGCTTCCGTAACAAATATAGCACCCAATCAAACACAGTACGTTTTTCACTTATTTCGGCGTAAGTCCAGATCTTGGGTACTTGCCGAACTAGCTCCATCCTAGAGCGTTTGCCCGGCAATCGGAAGGTCTTTGATGGTTGCGGTCCCGGTGGTCGCCGACCATTTGTATTCCCAGCCTTAGGCCACAAAAAGACTGGCGTTTCAAACCATTGAGCAGTCTTAAATACTTGAAAAAGCGAATTCCTAAAAAAGATTTCCCTGTTTTCAGTCGCTGGTTAACGATGAGCTTGGATGACCGAATCGAAAATATGGTGTACTTTGCTCCATGCAGTAAATATCCGTGCGTTTCCATGTCTACTCACAAGCAATAACATTCTTACATAACAAATAACACGATATCTGATCAAACAAGTACCTTGCTTACATTTTATTCCAAAATTTACCTTACAGTGACTCGGACCTCGACTTTAATGGTACTTTCGAGTATATGAAGAGAATTATGGATCAACAAAAAAGTAGGTTTTTCAGCAAATTTTCAAAAAGCAGGATTAGGAATATCATATACTAGTGGCTTTGAAAAAATATAAAATAGGTCCATAGCTCCGTAATGTCAAAAGATCACATTCACAAAAACTCCAAGACAAATTGATAACTGCATTTTTAGACAAGGGACTGCTCCCTGTCCAGTTCATCTCTGGATTGAAAAACGCAACCGACATTGGCATACCAAAAGAAATTGCAGATCTTGGCTTGATCTTAGCCGGACTTGATACTCCTCTTGAGGATATCACGAAACATATTGTGGACAATATGCCAAATCCCAATAATCTCACAACATCGACCACAACAGAACTCCCGTCCTCGACCGATTCAACCATCGTTTCCAGTTCCTCCACGAATGAGCCCAGTACTGTTGCACCACCAACAACGACGATATCAGAGCCCCCAACCACTTTCACAACTTTGGTCGGATCAAGTACAACAGAAGTCCCGTCACCGACCGATTCTACGGTCGCTTCCAGTGCTTCCACGAATAAGCCAAGTACTGTTGCAGAATCCACAACTACGCAAACAGAGCCACCAACAACTTTCACGGCTTACTTCGGATCAAGTACAACGGAATTACAGTCTTCGACCAATTCAACGGTAGCTTCTAGTGTTTCGACAAATGAGCCAAGCACGATCGGAGAATCTACGACCACGAAAACAGAACAACCAACAACTTTTACAGCTTCCTTCGGAGCAAGTACAACAGAAGTCCCGTCATCGACCGACTCAACGGTCGCTTCTAGTGTTACCACGCATGAGCCAAATACTGTTGCTGAATCTTCAACGACGGAAACAGAGCCACCAACAACGTTCACAGCTGACTTCGGATCCAGTACAACGGAAGTCCCGTCATCGACCGACTCAACGGTCGCTTCTAGTGTTTCGACGAATGAGCCCAGTACTGTTGCAAAATCTACGACCACGAAAACAGAACAACCAACAACTTTTACAGCTTCCTTCGGAGCAAGTACAACAGAAGTCCCGTCATCGACCGACTCAACGGTCGCTTCTAGTGTTACCACGCATGAGCGAAATACCGTTGCTGAATCTTCAACGACGGAAACAGAGCCACCAACAACTTTCACCGTTGACTTCCGCTCTAGTACAACGGAAGTCCCGTCATCGACCGACTCAACGGTCGCTTCTAGTGTTTCCACAAATGAGCCAAGCACGATAGGAGAATCTACGACTACGAAAACACAGCCACCAACAACTTTCACCGTTGACTTCCGATCAAGTACAACGGAAGTCCGGTCATCCACCGATTCAACCGTAGCTTCCAGTGTTTCGACGAATGAGCCAAGTACTGTTGCAAAATCTACAACAACGAAAACAGAGCCACCAACAACTTTCACAGCTTACTTCGGATCAAGTACAACGGAATTACAGGCTTCGACCGATTCAACGGTCGCTTCCAGTGTTTCCACAAATGAGCCAAGCACGATAGGAGAATCCACGACAACGAAAACACAGCCACCAACAACTTTCACCGTTGACCTCCGATCAAGTACAACGGAAGTCCCGTCATCCACCGATTCAACCGTAGCTTCCAGTGTTTCGACGAATGAGCCAAGTACTGTTGCAGAATCTACAACCACGAAAACAGAGCCACCAACAACTTTCACAGCTTACTTCGGATCAAGTACAACGGAATTACAGTCTTCGACCGATTCAACGGTAGCTTCTAGTGTTTCGACGAATGAGCCAAGTACTGTTGCAAAATCTACAACAACGAAAACAGAGCCACCAACAACTTTCACAGCTTACTTCGGATCAAGTACAACGGAATTACATTCTTCGACCGATTCAACGGTAGCTTCTAGTGTTTCGACGAATGAGCCAAGTACTGTTGCAAAATCTACAACAACGAAAACAGAGCCACCAACAACTTTCACGGCTTACTTCGGATCAAGTACAATGGAATTACAGTCTTCGACCGATTCAACGGTAGCTTCTAGTGTTTCGACGAATGAGCCAAGTACTGTTGCAAAATCTACAACAACGAAAACAGAGCCACCAACAACTTTCACAGCCTACTTCGGATCAAGTACAACGGAATTACAGTCTTCGACCGATTCAACGGTAGCTTCTAGTGTTTCGACGAATGAGCCAAGTACTGTTGCAGAATCTACAACCACGAAAACAGAGCCACCAACAACTTTCACAGCTTACTTCGGATCAAGTACAACGGAATTACAGTCTTCGACCGATTCAACGGTAGCTTCCAGTGCTTTGACGTATGAGCCAAGCACGATAAGAGAATCTACGACAACGAAAACACAGCCACCAACAACTTTCACAGCTTACTTCGGATCAAGTACAACGGAATTACAGTCTTCGACCGATTCAACGGTAGCTTCTAGTGTTTCGACGAATGAGCCAAGTACTGTTGCAAAATCTACAACAACGAAAACAGAGCCACCAACAACTTTCACAGCTTACTTCGGATCAAGTACCACGGAAGTCCCGTCATCCACCGATTCAACCGTAACTTCCAGTGTTTCGACGAATGAGCCAAGTACTGTTGCAGAATCTACAACAACGAAAACAGAGCCACCAACAACTTTCACAGCCTACTTCGGATCAAGTACAACGGAATTACAGTCTTCGACCGATTCAACGGTAGCTTCTAGTGTTTCGACGAATGAGCCAAGTACTGTTGCAGAATCTACAACAACGAAAACAGAGCCACCAACAACTTTCACAGCTTACTTCGGATCAAGTACAACGGAATTACAGTCTTCGACCGATTCAACGGTAGCTTCCAGTGTTTTGACGAATGAGCCAAGCACGATAGGAGAATCTACGACAACAAAAACAGAGCCACCAACGACTTTCACAGCTTACTTCGGATCAAGTACAACGGAATTACAGGCTTCGACCGACTCAACCGTAGCTTCTAGTGTTTCGACGAATGAGCGAAGTACTGTTGCAAAATCTACAACAACGAAAACAGAGCCACCAACAACTTTCACGGCTTACTTCGGATCAAGTACAACGGAATCACAGTCTGCGACCGATTCAACGGTAGCTTCCAGTGTTTTGACGAATGAGCCAAGCACGATAGGAGAATCTACGACAACAAAAACAGAGCCACCAACAACTTTCACGGCTTACTTCGGATCAAGTACAACGGAATCACAGTCTGCGACCGATTCAACGGTAGCTTCTAGTGTTTCGACGAATGAGCGAAGTACTGTTGCAAAATCTACAACAACGAAAACAGAGCCACCAACAACTTTCACGGCTTACTTCGGATCAAGTACAACGGAATCACAGTCTGCGACCGATTCAACGGTAGCTTCCAGTGTTTTGACGAATGAGCCAAGCACGATAGGAGAATCTACGACAACAAAAACAGAGCCACCAACAACTTTCACCGTTGACTTCCGCTCAAGTAGAACGGAAGTCTCGTCATCGACCGACTCAACCGTAGCTTCTAGTGTTTCCACAAATGAGCCAAGCACGATAGGAGAATTTACGACCACGAAAACACAGCCACCAACAACTTTCACAGCTTACTTCGGATCAAGTACAACGGAATTACATTCTTCGACCAATTCAACAGTAGCTTCTAGTGTTTCGACGAATGAGCCAAGTATTGTTGCAAAATCTACAACAACGAAAACAGAGCCACCAACAACTTTCACAGCTTACTTCGGATCAAGTACAACGGAATTACAGTCTTCGACCGATTCAACGGTAGCTTCCAGTGTTTTGACGAATGAGCCAAGTACTGTTGCAAAATCTACAACAACGAAAACAGAGCCACCAACAACTTTCACGGCTTACTTCGGATCAAGTACAACGGAATCACAGTCTGCGACCGATTCAACGGTAGCTTCCAGTGTTTTGACGAATGAGCCAAGCACGACAGGAGAATCTACGACAACGGAAACACAGCCACCAACAACTTTCACCGTTGACTTCCGATCAAGTAGAACGGAAGTCGCGTCATCGACCGATTCAACCGTAGCTTCCAGTGTTTTGACGAATGAGCCAAGCACGTTAGGAGAATCTACGACAACAAAAACAGAGCCACCAACAACTTTCACCGTTGACTTCCGCTCAAGTAGAGCGGAAGTCTTGTCATCGACCGACTCAACCGTAGCTTCTAGTGTTTCCACAAATGAGCCAAGCACGAGAGGAGAATTTACGACCACGAAAACAGAGCCACCAACAACTTTCACAGCTTACTTCGGATCAAGTACAACGGAATTACAGTCTTCGACCGATTCAACGGTAGCTTCCAGTGTTTTGACGAATGAGCCAAGTACTGTTGCAAAATCTACAACAACGAAAACAGAGCCACCAACAACTTTCACGGCTTACTTCGGATCAAGTACAACGGAATCACAGTCTGCGACCGATTCAACGGTAGCTTCCAGTGTTTTGACGAATGAGCCAAGCACGACAGGAGAATCTACGACAACGGAAACACAGCCACCAACAACTTTCACCGTTGACTTCCGATCAAGTAGAACGGAAGTCGCGTCATCGACCGATTCAACCGTAGCTTCCAGTGTTTTGACGAATGAGCCAAGCACGTTAGGAGAATCTACGACAACAAAAACAGAGCCACCAACAACTTTCACCGTTGACTTCCGCTCAAGTAGAGCGGAAGTCTTGTCATCGACCGACTCAACCGTAGCTTCTAGTGTTTCCACAAATGAGCCAAGCACGAGAGGAGAATTTACGACCACGAAAACAGAGCCACCAACAACTTTCACAGCTTACTTCGGATCAAGTACAACGGAATTACAGTCTTCGACCGATTCAACGGTAGCTTCTAGTGTTTCGACGAATGAGCCAAGTACTGTTGCAAAATCTACAACAACGAAAACAGAGCCACCAACAACTTTCACGGCTTACTTCGGATCAAGTACAACGGAATCACAGTCTGCGACCGATTCAACGGTAGCTTCCAGTGTTTTGACGAATGAGCCAAGCACGACAGGAGAATCTACGACAACGAAAACAGAGCAACCAACAACTTTTACAGCTTCCTTCGGAGCAAGTACAACAGAAGTCCCGTCATCGACCGATTCAACCGTAGCTTCCAGTGTTTTGACGAATGAGCCAAGCACGATAGGAGAATCTACGACAACAAAAACAGAGGCACCAACAACTTTCACGGCTTACTTCGGATCAAGTACAACGGAATCACAGTCTGCGACCGATTCAACGGTAGCTTCCAGTGTTTTGACGAATGAGCCAAGCACGACAGGAGAATCTACGACAACGGAAACACAGCCACCAACAACTTTCACCGTTGACTTCCGATCAAGTAGAACGGAAGTCGCGTCATCGACCGATTCAACCGTAGCTTCCAGTGTTTTGACGAATGAGCCAAGCACGTTAGGAGAATCTACGACAACAAAAACAGAGCCACCAACAACTTTCACCGTTGACTTCCGCTCAAGTAGAGCGGAAGTCTTGTCATCGACCGACTCAACCGTGGCTTCTAGTGTTTCCACAAATGAGCCAAGCACGAGAGGAGAATTTACGACCACGAAAACAGAGCCACCAACAACTTTCACAGCTTACTTCGGATCAAGTACAACGGAATTACAGTCTTCGACCGATTCAACGGTAGCTTCTAGTGTTTCGACGAATGAGCCAAGTACTGTTGCAAAATCTACAACAACGAAAACAGAGCCACCAACAACTTTCACGGCTTACTTCGGATCAAGTACAACGGAATCACAGTCTGCGACCGATTCAACGGTAGCTTCCAGTGTTTTGACGAATGAGCCAAGCACGACAGGAGAATCTACGACAACGAAAACAGAGCAACCAACAACTTTTACAGCTTCCTTCGGAGCAAGTACAACAGAAGTCCCGTCATCGACCGATTCAACCGTAGCTTCCAGTGTTTTGACGAATGAGCCAAGCACGATAGGAGAATCTACGACAACAAAAACAGAGGCACCAACAACTTTCACGGCTTACTTCGGATCAAGTACAACGGAATCACAGTCTGCGACCGATTCAACGGTAGCTTCCAGTGTTTTGACGAATGAGCCAAGCACGACAGGAGAATCTACGACAACGAAAACAGAGCAACCAACAACTTTTACAGCTTCCTTCGGAGCAAGTACAACAGAGGTCCCGTCATCGACCGACCTAACGGTCGCTTCTAGTGTTACCACGCATGAGCGAAGTACTGTTGCTGAATCTTCAACGACGGAAACAGAGCCAACAACAACGTTCACAGCTGACTTCGGATCCAGTACAACGGAAGTCCCGTCATCGACTGATTCAACCGTCGCTTCTAGTGTTTCCACGAATGAGCCAAGCACGATAGGAGAGTTTACGACAACGAAAACAGAGCCACCAACAACTTTCACGGCTTATTTCGGATTAAGTACAACGGAAATCCTCGCAGTGACTGAATCGACGGTCGGTGCAAGTACTTGAACTACGGAGACAACGGTCATTTCAAGTCGCTCTTGAATGGATTAGCTCCCGACTACGGAATCGACAAATTACTCGAGCTCCTTTACAACTATGCTAAACTAATAAAAATTTTGGCTAAATTTTCTTTTTTCGGGTGCGATTTTTTACGGGTCGACTAGGAATTATTCTTGTTTATTTTCTTGTCGTATTTTGATGACATTTCGACTTGCCAATAAATTTCGTTGAGTTTTCTGTTGATGCAAATACATGTTAGAGTTTCAGACGGAAATGAAATAAAATTGATTTTAGTTATCTGCATCATTTTCATGCTTGATCTATGATATAGAAGAGCAGTGTCTGTCCGACCGTCACGGGCACCTAACTCGGCACCCACGACGAAATTCGGGTCACAGTTTCTTTTTGTTCGATGGGAACTTTTTCTGACACGCTGCCCCGAATAATCAGCAAGTATTTCCAAGGGTTTTTTTGAATGTAAAAAAATTGAAAAGCTAGCCGACCCCAATTTTTCTTCACTTACAGATGGCCGAATGATTAGAGCGTGGTTTTTTGATTCATGTAGGCGAGGTACGTTACGTAGTTGTTACGGTAGTTATTTTAGAGTTGTTACGGTGGTTTTGCTTCTCTTTTCAAAATGGATTTTAATTGTTGCCAAGTCAATCTTGATAGTTTTGAGGTATCATTTGAGATTATAAAAGCTTGATTTAGCTATGCGTTTATGGTTTAACAGGGGATCACCAAGATGGTAAATTAGTATTTAAACAATAATTTGCATTTGAATTCTGGGTTGTCTAGAAATACGCAAAATACTGATTTTTTGACGAACCATAGACTTTTCTCGCATTTTTCAAAAACCAAAAAGACTGCGACGCCTTGCCTTGCCTCACTCGCCGAGCAATTAGAATTTATAGAGGTGCTAGCAAAAGCACCGTGTTTTTGACACGAAAAAGCATTGCGCCAATTTCTTTAGCGACACTTTTCATTTGCGCCAAAAGGTTGTGCACCGCGTATCATTGGTGCCAAATTTACGTTTATGAAAACAAATCACTTTTTTCCAACTTCTAACCAGCTTTTTTCAGTCATTTTTAGTTCTCAATGTTTTCAGTTAGAAAAAATACCTATACATACCGAAAACAGTCATTTTTTTGTTCTGGATTAGGCTTTTTACTATCTATATTTTTTGGCCGAAAAAATTTATCGCGAATGATAGGCGCAAATAATTTTGCTAGCACTCCTAATTTGTATCAACTTTCAATTGTATTGACTTTTTTTACTTCTAATACGATTCCTTGCTTTTTGTTTAAAGTCCGTTATTTCGTCGTAGTTTTGATATTTTTTTTGCTAGAATGGCGCCAATCCGGAGCTTTGTTTCGAAAAGGCAAGGCCAGCGTCAACTTTACGCTCGAATTGAAGCACAATTGCGAGATAAGGTAATTTTTTCAAGATTTGATGATAAAAAGCCTGTGAATTTGAACGTTTCTTTTCTGATTTATTTATTTTAGTCTCCTCAATCGCGCGAAGTCCGTATGGATTGAGTTGGAAAGACTGCAGCACGTCAAGAAGAGGTAATTTTGCAAACTCTTAAATACTACTTTCAATTTTCATAGGTTTTTGCTAATATTTTGGGCACCTCAATTGCGCGAAGTGCGTATTGATCGAGGACACATTGCAACTCGGCGATGTAATTTTTCAAATTCTTTAAATACGCTCTAGATTTTAACTATGAGGGATTTGCAAAAGAAACTGCGTATTATACGCAACGTTCAAACACCTCGAAAATTAATAATAAAAGACTTTATTCCAAAAGGTACTCGCCAAAATTATCAACTATATTTTTCCATTTTTTACGTAGACTTCGGATGCCTGATTCGAAAGATTCCGGATCTTGTGACGCGAAATAGTCTTGCACCCAAATTTCAACTTCTTGGTAATTGTTAAACTGTTGATTTGCAAGGGAGTGTTGCATAGATCGAAACAAGTGGTAATTTGAAGGGGCGATATCAGGGGAATATGGCGGATGAGGCAGAAGATTCCAGCCTAATTCTTCTATCGTGTTTTGAGCCAAATTCGACGTATGTACCCGGGCGTTGTCAGCAAGCAAATTGATTGTCTTTGGATTAACGCCTCTTTCTCTTAGAATTTCATCAACTTTCTTCAGCTGCTCGGCGTAGATTTGAGAAGTTATAGTTTTTGAGGATTTTTGTAATTCAAAGTAGACGATTCTTTTCATATTCCAAAAGACCGACCGCATAACTTTCTTGCCGTGAAGATCTGGACGTGGTGTCGGAACTGGAGTTTCTCCTTTGCTCAGCCATTGTCTTTTGCGGGTTGTATTATTGAAATATATCCACTTTTCGTCCATTGTCAAGATGTTTTCAAAAAAAGCGCTGCCCGTGGCCTTTCTCAATAAAATCCGAGACATTAAAACACGGTTCGATTTGTTTTCTGGGGATAATTCGTGGGGGACCCATTGGCCACAACGATTTTTTTTTCCAATAAGCAAAAGGTGTCGGGAAATTGTGCTCTTATCGCATTTAAAGCATTCGGCTAATTCGGACAAAGTTTGAGTTGGATCCGACTCGACAACCTCGAGCAACTCCGCATTATCGAGGACAACAGGACGATGTCCATGGGGCTCGTCTTCCAAGCCCTCATCTCCTTCACGAAAACGCCGGAACCATTCCTGACAACTTCTTTCACTCAAAACGTTTTCTCCAAATGCTTCACAAAGATTCCGGTGCGACTCCAATGCTGATTTCTTCATTTTAAAGTCATAGAGAAGGCAAGCCCGCAAAACGAATTTTTGATCCGTCATCTTCGACAACTAAAATTATTTATAATTCAATGGTCAAACAAATGTGAAAATCAGTAAAATAAATAAGCGTTATCAACACAATAGAATAAAATTTAAACTGGGTTAAAGCACTTTCAAATAGAGAAAATATTGTTCCGGAAAGTCATGCGCAGTTTCTTTTGCAAACCCCTAATATTATAATTATCATTGAATTACAGGCGGCAAATTTTACGCGGATTGCGACGATCGATGCAATGAGAACGCAAATCGTGGATCTGCGAGTCAGAATGAACAATTTTGACTTGCTACAACATGAGTTAGATGTGCTTTTAGCCAACTAGCGATCTTTGTAATTGAGATTCTTTTACAATAAATTGTTCTGAACATCCTTTAAAATTTGCATATGGTTTTGACACACATTTCTAATCGTTGATGATGTGCTGACAAGGGACGGTTTTGGATTTAATGCCATACAAATTTAAGGTTGTGCCGATCAATCAAGGCGGCAGAGTTGTTTAGAATGGCTTCCGCTATAACAATCATTCATTAAACTGTACGTTGGGCGGAAGCCATCCAGCGGGAAAGCCGCCGTTTAGGCGGCTTCTCCCGCTGGTATTCTGTATAAGCTGCCATCGCGTATTCCTATCAGCTGTTCAATGGTTAGTCATCGATGATGTGATTGTTGTTATTGTTGAATGCGGGGGGAAGTTATGAAAAGAGATGGCAACAATGGTTGTTGGGTAGAAAAGAGAGAAAGGGAAAAGGGGGAGGTGAAAGAGAAATTGAAAAGAGACGGCGCTTAGATTTGGTGGACAGAGGGAGGGGTGGAGCAACAACGTGCATGAATCGCCCCTCTGGGGAGGGCTTTCCCTTCTCTCTCTCCCTGTCCCTCTCACCAGCCTCTCCTTTTCTAGCTCAACAATTTCTCTCACCTTTATTGCGCACCTCTCCACCAGGCACTTCAAGGCCGCTTGACCACTCACACCATTTTACATAGAAATTGGCTAGAAACTAAACTTATTATTAGACAAATTTGGATTTTCTGACCAAAAACTGGGTTTATTTTGTGTCTTAAACTATTCCCGGTTAGACCTTTGCAATTGTTCTTTCGATTTCAACTTGAAACCTGATTTTGTAGATCATCAACAGATTTAACTTCTTTTTCAAACTAAACACCTTTACAATTGCTATGAACTTGTGAACCTGAACTAATCGAATCTTTTGAGTACACCAAATTGGAAGGTACCGACTTTTTAAAGAGCTTTATCCCGCTTTAAACCTTTTAAAACTATTTGGTTTTATTGCTATACTTCTATCAAGGTAAGTCCCTCTAATTAGAGAATGTTGATTTGCGCTTTCAATTTTCAACTAGCGACCCAATGCTGCCCAAATTAAGACAGGTGCAAAATGGAGACCCATCCAACCAAACGCAACGGTATTCGGAAACCATTAACAACGAAAAGTATCGATTTTTAACCGTTTCAGGTTTTTCTCGATTTTATAGCAAACCATTTCGGGAAGGGCAAACCTCTTCGCACATCCAAGGTCGCGCCACGTGATCGTGCTCATATTGATCCATTGATCTTTTTTGGCTTTTTGACTTGTTTGTCTTTTGAAACAGTATTTGATACCAAATATTTTGTGTAACGGGCTTCACCAAATACTCTTGACAAGCCACAAAACCAATAACCATACTAATAACAAAATGACAATTAACCAATGTTCAGCGAAATTTGAATTCCAAGGAAACCTTTAAGGTTTATACGGGGACTTTCGTTACTAGCTTGTTCATGATTTGACTTACCGTATTTATTCTAATAGAAGCGCAGCCTCTAATAGAAGCAATAACTATGGATATTCAGCTTAGCAGACCGAATACCCTGAGTTTTGAGCCTTTAAGGACATATAACGCTGCGCACCCTTGAGAAAAATAGCATTCTTTATCATTTGTTTTGCATAAGCAGTGGCAATTTTGCTAAGTTTTCTTGCAATTCCGTAAAATTTATAACTTCGACTAGGTATTTAAATTCCGTCGAACTTAAGAGAATTTATACCATAAAATTATCACAACTTTAAACATTTTGACGTTTCATATTTTATAAGAAGCGCATGCGCTTCTATTATTATATTTTGAATACGGTATTATATTTTGAATTTGAATGTGCTCGATTTTTATGCGCGATTTTTATAGATTTACTGTTGCAGTTTTCAGTAAACCAATGTGATGCCACCGGAAAAGCTAAATTTATTGTTGCTGCAGATTCCGACGCTTGCTTTGGCAATTTGCGGCTTTCTCCTCGTTTGGGTCTCTTTGGCAACACCTGCCTGGCAAGTGAGTGAGACGGCCGGCTGTCACTAATGAGTTGCATACAGTAATAAAGACAAGACGTGGGTACAGTCCGAAAAACATAATGAAAGTGTATCAAAGTACAGAAAATTAATCCCAAAGCTCAGAAAAGTTACAAACCAATGAGTTTAAATTTTTTGTGCTTACTTTTCACCGTTATCTAAAAGTATTAAAGAATTTTAGCTGACGACAAATATCCAATAGTTATCGATATCAAAATCAATATCAAACTCTTCAACTATCCGATATCTATAGCCATTCTTTGTCTTATCTAAGTTTTTATTTACTAGGTAACTTATGCAAGAGAGATTCAACAATGGGTGCAAAGTGGTCTCTGGATGAACTGTCAAACAAGGTCAATTTGATATGCAAATTTATCTAACAAGACTTATTTAGACCAGCCGGGATGTACACATGCACATACACCTTCAGCTCATATGATTACGATTTCATGTCGGCTGAACTCGTCAACCAGAGAACTCCACCGTTTTACTGTAAGAAAAAGATTCGTTGGGAATAGATCGCCCAACTTTTTTGTTTAAAAATCTATACTTACTGTTTTCAGTATGGCAACGAGTTCTCCTTCATATCTATTTGGGCGCTCAATTGACGGTTTTGCTGGCGTTTATCTCATTTTGTGTATCGAATTCGCACTCAACCTCTCGAAAGTGCTCAACGGTTTTGTTCAGCGCACTACTAGGAATTGCTAGTGAGTTTAAAAGGAGATAAGCTGGAGTTAAAATGGAAAAAGTGGGTTGTCAGAGTTGTCAAAAACAAAGATAACTACTCTGGCTACTTTTTTAGATTGTAGTATTTGATTCAAAGTGGTAAATAGTTATGTATATCAGTTATCAGTAAGTGGATAGCAGAAAAGCAGATAAAATAATTTCGTGGCGCAAAAGATTTTGGCTTGAAACGTTTAAAATCCTACTAAAAACCATTCTCATTGTTATACTCAAGCAAGAAAACTCCAACTTTTTTTCGTTTCAAGTATTGACTGGACCATTTGCAATACATCCAAATTTTCAGCTTTAATATGTGCTGGATGTCTCCTTGTTTTCTCGGCTTTTGCTCATATGGTCAAATATCGTTTCTACACAGTTTCCGTCTCAGGAATTTATGATGTAAGTGTATGATCTGTAAGTGTACAATCAAAGAAATCTTTCAGAAACATCATGGTTACTCATTTTATCTAAATCTCGTTGGCACGATCTTCTATTTTCTTGCTTTTGTTCTTTCATTGCTGTATGTGTTCAAAGCGTTGAGGGGTGATCGATACGGGTATGCTGGATCAAGTCTGCACACAATCACCGGATATAGAGTGAGTTATGTTAGGTTTAGAAACAAGTTACTTTTGAATAAACTTTAAAGTCCTCATTACCGAATCATCTAGACATTACGACTTTCGTTACAGTGTTTGAAAGAAATGATTAGTCTGTTGTTAGTGCTGTTGTTAGGCTATTTGTTTCAAAATACGCGCCAAGACAATCATTTTATCTTTAGATCCGTAAGCAAGCAACAGTATATGAATAATGTAGCCTTTAAAACGAAAACAGAGAAGTTGAATTAAATTAGAAACAGGAATGCATAGAAAAGCCCAAGCTAGGCAGTAGAACAGTTTTGCTAGCTATAGTAACAACTAGAGCTAAGTTCACTAACAAAAAGTTGACATCAAAATAGCTGTGGTGGTTGTAGGAGACGGGTTCGGTCTCGTCGCATTTCTCTACCACGAGCCCGTCATGGCCTCATCATTTCAGAGCGATGACTACCGTTTAACCAATGAGGATCTCTTTGCGATGCGACCCTTGCCCCATCCTCCAAAATCTCGATACTAGATGCATTGTTAATAAATGTTTGCTTTAAAATTTTCTCTTGAACAAATGGATTTCCAATCGATTTTCCTCAGAAAAAGTGGACTTTTTGTTTTTGTTTATATGTTGGCGTTTTTCCAAAACTCGTGTAAGTCTAAATGGGGCAAAGGAAAAGAAAGGAAAGGAGGAAAATGCAAAGGTGCATTCCAATCGAAGGAAAAGAGGTGGTGAATGAAGGTCGATTCTTCGATTTGGTGACCGGATAGTGAAAGGGGAATTGGGGAAAGATCTCTTCACATCCACATCGATCTCCTTTTGAGATTGTCGCTGATTTCACACTGCGGGATCTCCTTTTGCATATTTGGGTAGTTATTAAGAAATTTTGATACTCTTTCTAAAGATTTGGTTCTTTCGTGTAATGTATTAGGCTCTCCAAAAAGTCTTTTCGTTTCTTTTCGTACTTTCGTTGAAAAATAACAAATTCACCACTTAACCTATGGTTTTCTCTTAATAAAAAGTGTCTATTGTTCAATTTCCCATCTTTTTAAGTCACTTTTGGTTCACTTACAAGCAAATTCAAGAGCGACAACACGTGTTTTTCGTAGAAACCTATAAAAACCCCTACGAAGAAATTGGCTGAATGAATCTCTCTGAAAATTTGGCTCTACACCTAAATTTTTTTGCCCTATCTTTTATCTATTGACATCAAGATAGGTTTCCTTAGCTAAATTGTCTAAATTGTATCACCCGATTTCACGTTCCGAAAAAAATCTAGACATAAGACATTTTAATGTCATTTTGCAGAAAAATAATTGACCTTTCTAATGAAACAAACCGTAGTTCAATTGGTGCATTCGTTGATTTTAAACAGAAGAACGAAAAGGAACGAAAAGACTTTGTGGACAGCCTAATATAAAAATATGACCTAGGCTTGAATCCTAAAGTAAGCCTCAAAGTTAGTTTTAGCCTGTCTGACTTTCTGACCAAAGTTTTCGTTTTGGATATGTCTACTTTCTTGCATCCTTCCATTTTGTTCAATGCCCGCTTTAGAAAAATGCTATTTGATACAGCGACGAGGCTTTCAAAAACAATACTCGCTGGAGTGATTTCTGTAATCGTTGCCAATTTCTTTGCCTTTCTTGGCATGGTGACGCCAGCGTGGCAGGTTTGTTACAAAAGAAAGATGGAAATATAAAGTTTGCAAGAATTCAAGCTGGTCAGATTGAGCCTAAACCCCACCGTACAAGCCATCATACAGCATTTTAGGTGGCTGATGACACTGATGTAAACCGATACGTTCAAAGTGGACTTTGGTTGTATTGTCAGACCGGAGCTCAATGTTGGTACATATTCAGTGACAACTTGATCAACTATTATGAAAGGGTGAGCTAGTTATTTTCTTGAAAGTTAGATTGTTATTGGTGCAAGAGTGAAATCTAAATCAGTAATTTGCATTTGATTGTTCAATCAATCAAAACAATATCTTGGTTGAGTATGATTTGCTTATAATTGCATTAAAGACAACAAATATCTTTTCTTTTAAAAAAAGAATTGGTCAAAAGTTATCAAAGCTTTAAACTTAACCACATTTCAGGTTGATGTCTGTCGATTCCTCTTGATTGGCGATTGCCGAAAAAAACTACTCAGAACCCCCTACTTCTTTGGTTTGACAAATTGCTTAAACTTCTTAGTTTATAACTTTTAGGCTGGCATTATGCCACCTTGATCTTAATTACCGTGGCTCTTGCTTTTGGAGTGCTAGCAATTGTAGCTGGAGCTTATGGATACTTTAAAAAAACAAGACTGAGGATAACAACGATTATCTTTGACTGCTGTGTTTTTATGGAATGTGAGTAAAAATATCTAGAAGATATAGAATTAGAAATTTATCAAATTTTAGTTATTTTGATGGGTATCGCCATCGCGGTTTTCTCGATCAACGCCGAGATGCTCGAGTCAAAATACTTGATTGGAGTCAGGAATACTTTTGAGGTACTCAAAAGTTCTTCAATTCTTGAAAATCTAAAAAAAAATTTCAATTTACAAAGTAAACTTCAGAAAGAATACGGCTACTCGTTCTTTTTGGTCTGTTTCGCGCTGTTCATCCTTTGTTTCTCTTCTTTGACAGCTATCCTTTTGACAACTTTCGTCTTCTTTGGACCCGATGCGAGAATGATTACAAGGGAACAGGAATATGGTTCGATGATCAGTTCCGTTTAAATTCTACCCATTTCCAGAAAAATCTCAATATATGGAACGCCCCGATCATTATCCACAGACGATGTACACAGCGGAGACTGTAAGATCCCAGCACTCTCCCTCATCGATTCTCAAAGTTAGCTTTAGCTATTTAGTTTGTAGGTTTACACCAGTAAAAGCGTTGATTGGATAAATAAGACAACAAAGTTAATTATTAAAAGTATCGTTTGACCATTCAGGCTTAGCAAATAAGCCAGTAAGCTTAGCTATTAAAACTTTCAACATTTTTTGTGATGAAAAACTTACTGTTTGTAAAAATTCTTGCGTATGAATAATTTGGATAAAGTTAAATGATTTGAACCTAGAATTTTTAGCAGAAACCAAGTTCTAGATATTTTCTTGTTTATTACGTTTAAAGAACCTTTAAAAGCTAGCTTTTTCAGTCCACTGTCACTTTTTAGAATTCAGTGTAAATTTTTCTGTTTGAAAGATGCCATCACATCATAAGTTCTTGCTTTGCACATCCATTAGAAATACTCGAAACGCTTTTTGTTAAATTCTTTGCGTAAATGAAGAATCAAATTCAGACTCCACTCCAAGAGCCTCCCCTTCAACGTTCAGTTACTCCCGTCTCGTTTGCTCCCTCATCCGTTGGCCAATTCATCGCTCCGAGCTACGATCGGACAGGCGGTTTTCAACCAACTACAAGACATTATCTCAGTTATTAGATTTATTAATATCTTTGAAATTCAAAGAGTTTTCTTGTACAAATTTCTTCGTTTTGAGATCTCTCATACTTATCAACAAATTTAGTATTTAGTGATTCCCATGCCTTTTCTGAACCGGTTAATAAAGTTGTCTATCAAAATATTCTGATATCAGAATAATTTAGATTACAAGAGTTCAACAAAACCAGCAAAATCACATTTTTACAAGTTTTGTTCTTAAACATCACAAGGTTGCCTCTCAATTATCATCAAAGCTTTGTGTGGTAATAATGTGTGTAAATATCCAGAAATCCTTGCCAACCAAAGCTATGCTCGAATGAGCTTCTGTTGAGTAATTACGCCTATTAGAGCAGGGGTTTCAAACCCTTGTCGGCCGGGTGAAAGAATGAAAAGAGACAAGAAACAAGACAGTGGTCCCAATGGGACACCCCGAAAGAGACCCTCTATAATCAGCTATGAATTGCTTATTTTCATATCTTATTGATAAAACAAATTTTGGCGGTTAGATCTGTGTTTATATTTATCAAATTTAAAAAAACTTCAAATCAGATAGCTATGGAATACCAAAAGATTTCTATTCATGAAACTTAGCTTGTTTTTCCAAAATTAGCTCCAAATCTAGAGCTAACTCCAAAATCTGGATCTAATCCAGATCCAGATTTAAAATCTGCTATTGATCTAATAGTTATGTTCATAGATCAGTTTAACATTTACTTATCTTATTAAACGATTCTCAATATGCTCGACGTTTTCTTGGGCATTGTTCTAGAATCTTTTGCATACCCGTGCTAGTCCCACTCCAAAGTCCCTCCTCATCCTCTCTTCAAAATAACAAGGCGTTTGCCTCATCACAGAATTCTCACGCATCACTCAAGTGTTTCCAACTATGCTTTTCTATTATTTCCTTTTCGTGAAAGTTTAAGCTAAATCCCAAATTCCAGCTGGGTAACTGGTTCTTTTACTTCTTTCTCTCTCATCTTTTGGACTCTTTGATCCTGTCAGATCGAATTCATTGTTGAGGAATCAACTAGGCGATTCATAGATTTCATATTGTCATATTGCTTTCATTTTTGCATATTCTATTGATATATTGTGTTTAAGGATATGTCTGAAGTTCGACTTGTCAGCAAAATTGATGAAGAGCCGGCAGAAGAGACACCAAGAGACAGTGAGTTTGAGTGATATTTATCTCATACCATTTCATTGTTCTAATCTATTTTTAAAATCTAGGTATTGCAACATATCAATTTCAAGCTTTCAGATGAATCAATGGAAGTATCCGTTGATGAGAAGATACCCATTCCATACAGAGACATTTTCAAAGAGAATCATCGTCAAGTATATTTCTATGGGTTCAGTGATCAGTGAGTTAGCAATTACAATAATTACAAGCTCTATCCGTTTCTAAAATGCACCCTTCACTAGCTACGGTAGGCAACGGCTAGTAGCTAGGGGGGAAAGAGAAATTTAAAAGATAAAAGTGAATCATAACTTTAGGTTCAAGAGATTTCAATTCTATCGAATTCATGTAGACTAAGCGACTTAAGCATGATATTAAACTTCAAGCTTAAACCCTACCAAACCCAACAATGATAAATCTATCTGAATTCGATCTCGCATGAGACAGTCTGTAAACATTCGCTGTTAAGCTTTCACTTTCCTCCTTCTTTGCTCAAAGCAATAAATCCTGAAGTATTGTGTGGATCACTTGGTCCTTTCTGCTCGATCTTTTCAAACAGGAACCACCACAGTCAAAGCCTCTAGGTGAGAAGGGAGAAAGAAGGGGAATGGAGGGTGAGCGCTCTTTCTCTCTCCATCCACATCCATTGATCGTTTCCTCCCATTTCTTCTCTCTTCCCATCGAATGGCCTCCAAATCGGTCACCCTCTTACCCCTTCTCACCAGTCTTTGCCTTTACCTACCATACGCACTGTCACAAAGAAACCCCAAGAGTACCATTTTTGAATTTCATCTTCTAGTTTATCTTATTTAATTTCAGCGTTTAGAATTTTGTTTAGAAATGATTCTGCCAAATTTTTCCCAAAGATTTTCCAACTCTTTTTGATTTACATTCTTCAATGATCTGTTGATCAATTGCCTTTACGTTAACTTGTTTCTAGACTGCATTTTGTTACAATTTCTTTCTTACCTTTTAAGTAACGACTGGATTATTGAATATAAATGATCTACTTGATTGAATGGCTGTTCACAGAATTTTTCCAATTTAAAAATGTCAAATCTTGGCATTAATCCAACATATGATGAACCCAATCGAAAAATTTTACAAGAGTAAAATTGTAAAACCGATTTCAGTATGAGTGAGCGACGGGCAGCAGGGACCACCGTTGTGCTCGTTTGCTCACTTCTGCTCGTCGTCATCGCCTTTGGTCTCTCAATTGCCGGTCTTTTGAGCCCATCGTGGCAAGTTGTTAGCATCAAAGAATTCAGGGCAGAACATCATGTGAGTCAATTTTTAACTTAAAGTAGAGAGCCAAATTTAGCACGGTCTCTGGTTGGATTGCACTCGTCCCGAGGTACAATATGCTGTTTTTCGTGGGGTCGCCGAGGGTATGCCCCTTCATTGTACCTACAAATTTGACGCCTCAGCCAGTCAGGTGTGTTTTTGTAAAGTAAATCAATGCAAAATAATGCTTAAAGGTCTAAAAAAATAGCTTCAGGTAATTGATGAGAACATTGGTGATGTTGATGAGAACAGTGCGGCCGGTGAAAGTGAACATCATCAATTCTTTGGTAAGTTTTGCTTTTCGTTTGGTGCAACCCTGTAAAATTGTCTTATCAAGATTCTTCTGGGCCGCTTCCAAGTTGGGACAAAAATGCAAAATCTGCTTTCAGGTTGGCACAAAGTGGTGTTAATTTGTTTTGTCTTCTCTCTACTCTTCGCTCTCCTTTCGCTCTGCTCCGGATTGTGTGCTCCATGCAACGGAGCCTGCTCGATCATCTATGCTGTATTGGTTTTCTTGGCATGTAAGTCATTTCATCATAAAATTTTATACATTTGAAAAGTTTCGAAAACAACATTTCCCGGACAGGTGGAAAATTGCAGCTTGCAATTCCCTCAAAAAGCTTATCCTATTTTTGACAAAATCGAACGCTCAAGCTCTGTTATTTACTTACGATCTCCTGAATTTTGTAGATCTATGATGTTTCTCAAAAATCAAACACCGTTTTTCAGTTTTCTTTTCGATCGTCGGTGATGCGGTCTTTTTTTTCGCCGCTCATCGAGTCGATAATCGATTTGTGCAAGGACTCGTTGGGACTTACGAGGTAAAAAATCAGAGTTAACAATAACTAACATCATAAAACATCATTAGCAAGTAACTAAACAACATGCAGAATATAGATATGAAATCATGAGCAAAAATCCAATTCGAGAGCCATGGCATACTAAGCCATTTTGTTAGGTTTTATAGAAAATTGCTACAAAAATATAGAGATGTATTCATAACTGCCTTCTTTTGAGTAGATAGAGGTCGAAAAGATATACAAGTTGTGGCTTATAGCCGAAAGCTGGAAGTATTCATCCGAAAAAACTTTAGCAAGAAATCGGTCACGCATTTGCTCTACACGGAGCTGGCAGCGGTCTCTTCTTGCTCGCCTGGTTGGTCTCCATTGTGGCCAGCTATAAACTCGTTCGCTCATCATCGGAAAGACCCGGCCTTCCGCTCAAAGAATTGGCTCCATTGTATGGAAGTAGAATGCGACATTGAAATTAAACAAAGACAACTCGTCCTTTTTAATTTGAGCATTGACATGGTTGTGATCTCTTTTGTATCCTTTCTTGCCTTAAAATGCTTCTGAATTCTACCTGAAATGTAAAGTAAAATGGCTTTAAAAGAAATAAAATCTAAGATTTCTTTAGATTACGAACTAAATTGTACTATCATTAACATTTTATCTCTAGCGATTAAACTCACTATGTGCATTCAATACGGGTTTATTTGTAGCTAATATTTAATTTAATTTGGAGCAATTTATTTTTGCTTTTTAAATTCCTGTAAATGATTTCTTGGATTAGAATAAAGTCTCACAATGATCCCAAATTACGTAACTTTACTCTAATGTAACTTTATGAAACAATCATCTGAAAGACTACAGTCCAACAAAATTGATCCCAATGACTCCGCCGGGGAAACCAATTTGGAACGGCCTTTGCAAAGTTTTCAACAGAAAAAAAGTAACTCTCGCAATCATCTGTCCGTTTTTTGGTAGTCGCGGCTCGTCGAATGCTTGCATAGCTGACACCGAGGAACGACGACGAAATTGCAGCCATAATCAAAAAAAGAGACTGGGCTTTCATTTTGTAAAAAACAGGGGAGAAAACGCGTGGTGATGATGTATGCATTCATAAAATGTCCCTCGCAAACCGTACTTTTTTCTATTGCTTCACATGGAGCGACCTTTGATGTGATTGATGAAAGCAAATTTACAGAGTACGGCTAAATGGCGAATTTGGATTTGGATTGCATAAAATTTTTGGTGTTTAAGACCAATCACTTGCTTACTATCAATGATCTGAATTACATGTGATATTTATGCGTGGAAATAGAAATAGAGAATCGTGTAAGCAGGCAAATAAGTCGTGGGGAAATTGTTAGACATCATTAGAGTGAATTCCTAACGAGTAATGCGTTTTCTGAAGCTAGTTCACTTTGGAAACTATCATAAGTTAAGCCTTCTAGTTTTTACCCAATGTATCTTCGGAATACTTTTTCAATTCTCACAGCTGATTGCTAGACCAAAAGTGACCAGATTGAACAAAAGTTAGAGGCAAAAATTACGGTGTTTTCAGAAGTTGAAATGCTCTCGTTTAGTTGATTCTACTATCAGAAGCAATGATTTCAGCATTCTCTTGAAAACGCAATCACATCAATTTGTTTTAGACTTACCAATTGTGTGCGCTAAAATACAATCCCGTCAAAATGATATCTATTTAGATTTTATCCTGACAAGTCATACGTGCTTTTACGTATGTTTAACCGACAACAAAAGCTTTTGATAGTAAATATTACAATTGACAATGAAATTTCTCATCAAGACGACTACCAACAGGCTCTACAATGCTTTGCAAAAGATTTTTCAAGCTCAAAAATCCCTTCCATTCCTCTCCAGACTTTCAAAAAATTTTGTTGAATGAAAAAAAAGAAAATGAATTTTGTTTCAAAAAGTGTGAAATTCTTTGCTTTTTTGGCGATTCCGGCAAACTCGGTCAGGAATTCGATCGCGAACAGAGAGTTTGTTGACCCACCGGGTCACGATGCAAATTCTAAAGTTATATTTAAGCAATAATAAAAATCGGGGTCCCGTTTACCATTTTGCACAATTTTTTCCTCGTGTAACCATTCTTTTTCCGCTCGTTTAAAAATTGCAAGGCAAGCCGATGCAAAAAAAAGATGCAATCGAGCGTGTATTCGTCAAAGGAATCACTGGACATGGCAGTTGTGCATACAGATTCTCACGGAGATGTCGACCAGCAAAATGACAAGAGTCTCCCTCACATTTTTTTTCTAGAATTTCGTTTAATTTCAGCCCTCGACATTGGACATTCTAATCATTCTTGTATACTCGCAACTTTCATTCGAATCGTTTCCAGAAGTTTGTTTCGGTTTTAAACCGTTCCGATTTTCTTAATATTCCACTTGAAATGCCTTGCATGTAGTCCATACATATGACAGTTAACCTTTATTTTATCAATTTTATATTATTCAGTCTTGAATCTCCAAGCACACAACAACACAACATTTTTAATATAAAATGCTAAAATTTGTGTTTGCATCAAGAAACGATTGCCATCTAATTGCCTTTGTATGGCTTCTTTATAGAAATCTTGCTATGCCTTTTCAGAATTCTTAACGGACTAGATTAGTCTTATCAACCAAATTCGATTGTCGAACTAAACTCTATCGCTCTCAATTTCCTCCATTGTCAGTTGTGAGCGAATTCCGATTTGTTAGAAGTTCATTGCTTTCTTAGTCTTGGCTCTTGGTCTTAGCCTGATGTCCTGTGCTTTTTGCATACATAAAATGCTGACATAATCTATTATAAACAAAATAGAAAGCACGGGTCGGTATCGGTATAGATTGCTAATAACTACCTTCACCAACAACTTCCAAAACCAGAAAGATTCAGTTGAACGGACTCTCTCTTACATTTTTGATTTCGTTTAGGCATTCATCACGTTGCTTGGTTATAGAGTACAACGTGATCAAAAATTGTCAACAACTTCGTAAAAAATTTTGATAATTGAAAATTGGCTAAAACAGATCTGAGCAAACTTCAGCATTTCTGGTCAAAGCTCACGTGGTCTTTGCTTTTTATTTCACTGTTTAACCAAAAGTCAAGCTGTTAGTGAAAAGTTCAACAATCCAAGCCCTAAACTTAAATACAAACGCGCATGAATTATTGCTTAAATACGAATAAATTTGAAGAACGGTCCGAAATCTTTAAATGAAACTTTGATGCCATACTCTATCAAAAAAAGTTCCTTTTGAAATCTGTTTAACTTAGAATAGTATTCTATGTTTTCTGCTTCTCCGCCTATTGCTTTACTAACTCCAATTTCAGGTCCGCCTTTGCCTCAAACGAGTAAAATCCGAAAAATACTATAAAAATTTGTGTAGTCCTTGTATGCAAAAAAGCCGATTTTACTTTTAAATGAGTCTCGTCCACATCTTGTTCCTTTGCGGGCTTTTTGCCGTGAATGTCGCTCAGGAATGTTCCTCTGGATTACCAGCTTTCAACAGTGAGAATTAAAGATATTGACTATGCTAAAAACAATGATTGCTATCACCTACACATCGTTAACTACTAGCATACAAAGTTGAACAAATTCTATTTAGCATGCCAGCAAATGGCTCCAGCTGATGGAGGTGGATATAAGTGCATTCAGGACTCGTCTTTGGGATGCGAAGAAATTGATGGCAACTACTATTGCTGTAAGTGCCCGAAAAGCATATAAAATTAGTTTCGGACATTTGCACATGGTTGAATCTCATGATTTCAGGTCCCGTGACGACAACCACCACAACAACCACTACAACAACGACAACAACCACAACTACAACAACGTCAACCACAACTACAACAACGAACAACAACAACAACAACTACAACTACAACAACCACTACAACAACAACTACAACGACCACGACTACAACAACGACAACAACGACAACAACAACCACTACAACTACGACAACAACCACCACGACTACAACAACCACAACTACAACAACTACAACTACAACTACAACAACGACAACAACCACAACTACAACAACGACAACAACGACCACAACAACTACAAGTACAACTACAACAACGACAACAACGACAACAACAACCACTACAACTACGACAACAACCACCACGACTACAACAACCACAACTACAACAACTACAACTACAACTACAACTACAACAACGACAACAACCACAACTACAACAACGACAACAACGACCACAACAACTACAAGTACAACTACAACAACGACAACAACGACAACAACAACCACTACAACTACGACAACAACCACCACGACTACAACAACCACAACTACAACAACTACAACTACAACTACAACTACAACAACGACAACAACCACAACTACAACAACGACAACAACGACCACAACAACTACAAGTACAACTACAACAACCACTACAACAACAACTACAACGACCACGACAACGACAACAACCACAACTACAACAACGACAACAACAACTACAACTACAACTACAACAACCACTACAACAACAACTACAACGACCACGACTACAACAACGACAACAACAACCACTACAACTACGACAACAACCACCACGACTACAACAACCACAACTACAACAACTACAACTACAACAACGACAACAACCACAACTACAACAACGACAACAACGACAACAACAACTACAACAACGACAACTACAACTACAACTACAACTACAACAACCACTACAACAACAACTACAACGACCACGACAACGACAACAACCACAACTACGACAACGACAACCACAACTACAACAACGACAACAACAACTACAACTACAACTACAACGACCACGACTACAACAACGACAACTACAACTACAACTACAACAACCACTACAACAACAACTACAACGACCACGACTACAACAACGACAACAACAACTACAACTACAACTACAACGACCACGACTACAACAACGACAACAACGACAACAACAACCACTACAACTACGACAACAACCACCACGACTACAACAACCACTACTACCACAACAACAACAACAACTACAACGACCACAACTACAACTACAACTACAACCACGACGACAACGACGACAACCACCACAACTACAACCACTACAACCACGACAACCACCACGACAACCACTACAACAACGACAACAACTACAATGACCACAACAACAACAACAACAACAACTACAACCACAACGACAACTACAACTACAACAACCACTACAACAACAACCACGACGACTACAACAACGACAACAACGACAACAACAACTACAACAACGACAACTACAACTACAACTACAACAACCACTACAACAACAACTACAACGACCACGACAACGACAACAACCACAACAACAACAACAACAACAACAACAACTACGACAACGACGACAACAACAACTACTACCACAACCACTACAACCACCACAACCCAACAACCACGACAACAACGACAACAACGACAACGACCACAACAACCACCACGACCACAACCACGACAACAACCACGACCACAACAACCACCACTACAACCACTACAACCACCACTACCACAACAACAACCACAACTACAACCACGACGACCACGACCACAACTACAACTACAACGACCACGACAACAACCACAACTACAACGACCACGACAACAACCACAACTACAACCACCACAACGACGACAACTACAACCACGACAACTACTACTACAACGACCACGACAACGACCACAACGACGACAACAACCACGACAACGACGACAACCACCACGACTACCACCACAACGACCACAACTACTACCACTACAACCACCACTACCACAACAACAACCACAACTACAACGACCACGACCACGACCACAACTACGACGACCACAACTACAACAACAACGACAACCACTACGACAACGACGACAACAACGACGACAACGACGACAACAACCACGACCACAACAACCACCACTACAACCACTACCACCACCACTACCACAACTACAACGACCACGACGACGACCACAACTACAACGACCACGACGACGACCACAACCACAACCACAACCACCACAACCACTACTACTACTACAACTACAACGACCACAACTACAACGTCGACAACTACTACTACCACGACCACAACAACCACAACGACAACCACTACGACAACGACGACAACAACCACCACTACAACCACTACCACCACCACAACAACAACCACAACTACAACGACCACAACTACAACTACAACTACAACCACGACGACAACGACGACAACCACCACAACTACAACGACGACGACCACTACTACCACAACGACAACCACTACAACCACGACAACTACTACTACAACGACCACAACAACAACTACAACTACAACGAGCACGACCACGACGACAACCACAACCACTACTACTACTACTACAACGACAACAACTACAACGACGACAACAACAACAACTACAACCACCACGACTACTACTACCACAACTACAACTACGACGACGACAACAACCACAAGCACCACAACCACAACTACAACTACAACGACCACAACTACAACAACGACAACTACAACCACGACAACAACAACTACAACCACCACAACCACAACCACAACTACAACGTCCACAACTACAACATCTACAACCACGACAACAACAACTACAACTACAACGACGACGACGACAACTACCACAACCACCACAACCACGACGACCACCACTACAACCACCACAACCACAACTACAACGACCACAACTACAACAACGACCACAACAACAACTACAACTACAACGACTACAACTACAACTACAACCACCACAACCACAACCACGACAACCACAACTACAACTACAACGACGACGACGACAACCACCACAACCACAACCACGACAACAACAACAACAACAACAACAACAACAACAACGACGACAACCACCACAACTACAACTACCACAACTACGTCAACTACAACAACCACTACAACCACGACGACAACCACAACTACAAGTACAACAACAACGACAACCACAACAACCACAACAACCACGTCGACCACAACAACCACTACTACCACAACTACAACCACAACGGTATGGTGAACAAGTTACTAATTATGGGGTCAATGCATAGGAAATGTCGGTGGGTTTGAAGAGGCGCTTTTTAACTTATTTAATGGTATTTAAGGGTAATCCCTAGGGCTTCAAAGATAAGCCCTTTCTTTTTTCTACAAAAGACCTTTAGAGCCAGACAAGAAAGGTTTTGTTTGCGAATTTTTCCAAATGATCGAACTTAAGCAATCCAAAATGGGCTGATGTAGAGTTATCATTTAAGGATTTCCAGACCAAAAACCTTCGTGTTTAAATAAAAAACGTACGAAATATTTAATTACGTCTAGGCTCAAATTTTGAAACCAATCTTTCTGTCATTTTTTCTGAATGACGCTTTGTTTTTTTGTTTTTCAAATTTATGGGTTTTCTCGCGTATGATCCCGCTTTTCATTATGGGTTCCAGACGAATCTGTAGCGGATGTATAGGGTTTTTATATAAAACTGCTATGGCATTTCGAGCAAGGATGAGTAACAGCCTAGTATTTAAAAATTCCTTTTGCGAAACGGCCAATTCGGACCAGAGACTAAATTCAATAAACCAAATTACAGAAATTTGGACATGAGCGCTTGACTTGACTTAACAGCGAGACTCTAGAATCCGAATTCGGCCTTAAATTTAGGCCAACAAACTCCACCTAGTTTATTTTCACGGTTTCGATTATTTTGTTTTATACGCTAATTTCTCGTGGTAAACTTCTCGATAAATGGATGCTATAATATGTTAGAAGACACCCTTTTCTAATACCTTAGAAGAACTCAAGATTTTAAAGCTGGTTTAATTACCCAAGTCTCGACCTCATATCCGGGGTAGTGTGCCAGACACCGTTTTTCCCTACGTGCGACATGAAAAAGAACGCACCAAAATTTTCTTTACAAAACGCTTTTTTTAGATAATTCAAAAAGCTCGTTTTTCAAAACTTCTTTGAGTTCTAACACTTAATCTTTGTAGCTACTTTATTTACGTACCTGAAAACATTAGAAAATATCATGGAAGCTACTGTGAATGATTATAGATAAGTGATTAAACATTAATTAAGCTTTTAAATCCCATTATTAAAACATTTCCTCCATATTGGCTTCATTAATCTTGGCTTAAACTCACTATGGCCTCTTCTGGAAAACTCACGGTAACTGCCTCGCCCCGGGGGAGTCAAACCAACAACTCCGTATTCAAAAAGGCCTCGTGCACCTTAGAACACTCGGCCATGACATCTATTAGCACCCGCTATTTGTGCTTTTTGCGATAAAAAGACACAACTTCCTAATTCCTAATAAAACCAAGACCGGATTCCGAAAGAGGATCCAAAATCAAATGCTCTTGCAAAACTTGCGACCATTTGACCAGCTCATCCACGAGAAACAATTGTGACTCAGCACTCAGGACAACAGGTGTGACGGACTCATGCGGTCCGAAAGGATACCCAAGCGTGACTTAGCATTGGGTCAGGCGGCCGTCGATTCGTTAAATCACACGTGAAAAAATTGAGCTGGATCGAAGATAATTTTATTGCTAAATTTTTAGACGACTACTACTACGACTACGACCACGACCACGACTACTACCACGACGACAACTACTACAACTACTACGACAACAACTACTACGACAACGACCACTACAACGGTAGAATCAATAAATTACTAACAAGATCGAACGTGAAAAGACTGAACCAAATTGAGAGAAATTTCATGGCAAATTTTCTAGACGACAACTACCACGACGACTACGACGACGACCACTACTACGACGACAACTACTTCGACAACAACCACTACAACGGTAGAATCAACAATTTACTAATGAGATCCCACGTCAAAAGACTAAAATAAATCGAGGGAAATTTTACGGCAACAAATTTTCTAGACGACGACTACCACCACTACTACTACGACAACCACTACTACGACTACTACTACGACGACTACGACGACCACGACTACTACTACGACAACCACTTCTACGACGACCACTACCACGACCACTACTACGACAACAACTACTACGACCACAACCACTACAACGGTAGAATCAACAAGTTACTAATGAGAACCAACGTGAAACGACTAAATTAAATCGAGGGAAATTTTAGCTCCAACGGGAAATTTGGGATCCAACGTGAAAAGTCTGAACTAATCGAAATTTTACGGCAAATTTTCTAGACGACCACTACGACGACTACTACCACGACCACCACGACCACAACCACTACCACGACCACAACCACTACCACAACGGTAAAATCGACCATTTACTAATTAAATGCAACGTAGAAAGATTCAACTAAATCGAGGGAATTTTATCCTCAATTTTAAGTCGACGACTACTACTACGACGACTACTACCACGACTACTACCACGACTACTACTACGTCGACAACGACTACTACGACCACGACGACGACGACTTCAACTACCACCACGACGACGACGACTACTACCACGGTAGAATCGACCATTTACTAATTAAATCCAACGTAGAAAGATTGAACTGAATCGAGGGAATTTTATCCTCAATTTTAAGTCGACAACTACTACTACGACCACTACTACGACCACTACGACGACTACTACTACGACCACGACGACGAGCACTACTACGACAACAACTACAACCACGACGACAACAACTGCAACCACGACGACAACTACTACAACGGTAGAATCATTCGGTTGCTGATTAAATCCAACATTGGAAAGATTGAGCTCAATCAAGGGAAATTTTATTGGCAAATTTATAGACGACGACTACTAGCACGACGACGACCACGACTACTACAACGGTAGGATCAGCAAGTTACCAATTATTGAGTCAATACATTTAACAGGACTATATTTCTCGGGATTTCCCCAACCAATCACCGGATTTCAAAAAGTCCTTTTATGATTTTTTGCTAGTGAAGGGTTATGCAATAATCAGCTTTTAGACCAAAATTTCCAGCGGTGTAACAAACTATTTCAAGCAAACCTGATTTTCTCGGTCCTTTTTAAGAAAAAGCTAATTCATGAAGAATTTCAGGCTTGCTCAGCTTCAAAGTATTTTTAATTCAAAAACCATTGATAGAAATTCAATGAAATCTTTGAATAGAATAGAATCATGTTGATTAAAAAAAATATCGAGCCAATGGAACTTTCGCGCAAAAGAACATTAAGGTTGAGTTGACTGCAATAATCGAAAAGTTGTGTGTTTTATGTCAAATAAAAAAATTTCCCGGCTGTTATTAGCTCAAGATTATAACTTTTCATTCTAACCAAACAGAAATTAGATACAGTGTTGTGGAAAAGTTTTTGAACACTGAGTTTTCTAAAAAGTTTCATTGAATTTCTTTGATAAAGTTCATGGTGCTCATTAAGTTATTAAGAGTTTTGGTTACACAAACGTTGTCGCTATACAACACTTATTCATCGAGAAAAAATATATTTGTCAACACACCCCTGAAAATCGTGTTGCAAAAGTGTTTTAACACAAGTTGAAATTAAGCTATAATCAATATTTTGTCGGCCCTCTTTTTGCCAAAAGTACTTCTTTAGAGGCATCGATGTAATTAATTCATTAAGAATTTCAGGTCCAATCGCCTCCAAAATTCTTCTGATATAAGACCATAACTCGACTTTAGAGTTGAATCGTTTTCATCGCAATTTCGATTTCAAATAGGCCAATAGATTCTCGATAGCATTTAAATCCAGTGAAACTGGTGGAGCTTTGATCAAAGAAACGTGATTGATCCCAAACCATCCCGTTAAATGTGCTTTTCCTTCATTCGAAAGAGTCACAACGTGGCCAATCAAAAGTTTACTTTTGTGTACTGATCTTGATAAAGAAACCATCTTGGGTTTATCGAAGCAGTCGCAAATGGAAGTAGAAATCCGTTCAATATCTCAAGATATTGGGAAAATCCATTGTTGACTTTACGAGGATAAGCGGCCCCGTTAAACTTTTACACATCGCGCCTAAAGAAATCACGTTGGGCTCCATAAAAAGGAAATTATCCTTGCTAAAACGCAAAAAAAGTTATCCTTGAAGACGTTGCCCCCGTGTTTGGCTGTCATCATAGGCTTGAGAGCAGGTTTTCTAGTATACAATGCTGTTTGAAGGAAGCGTCGATGCAAGGTCAAGGAAATATTCTTGCTTAAAGTTTGCTTGAAAAAAAAATGACTCCAACATTCAACGTCAAATCCGGATCCTTCTTGAACGCCCTCGTAAAGAATTGCTCTTCATTCTTTGCTGTAATCCTCGATCGTCTCATTATTTCTACATCTGTGCACATGTCCAGGCGGATTCATTTGTGCCATAACAAGAGAAATTGTTGTAGGCGTCCATCCGAAGAGGCGAGAAACGTATTGCCGTCGCATCCCCTGCTCCCTTGCCTCGACGATCGCATTTATCCGGAGTTGACAAATACGTTCTTGGAATCTAAAAAAAATAAATTAGCAGCAGCAAATAAGAAGCAAACAATAATAATAATAATTTTTGCAAGTGTCAAAAGATTTATGCACCACGGATTTCAGGGATGTTTTGACAATTATATCTTTTCACGATGAATAAGTGTTGTATAGCGACAATCTTTGCGTAAATAAATTGTACATATATTTGCGTAACCAAAACTATCTTAGCTTAAAGAGCGCCATGAACTTTATCAAATAAATTCGATGAAACTTTCTAGAAAATTCAGTGTTCAAGCCTTTTGCAAATGACTGTATCTAATTTTTGTTTGGTTAGAATGATAAGTTATTAGGTTGGCAAGTTATAAACGATCATTTTTCTGTAACGTGTTTTCTGAAAAAACGGCTTATCCAATCAAAAACGGTTTGCTTGATTAATCCTATCCTTAATCTACAAAATGGCTTCTTTGAATTCTTGAAAAATGTTTAATTTTAGAACTTTTTCAGGCATTTTAATGTAAGAGTTCAAAATCCTGGTTTCTAGCATTCATGAGCTAATATATTTTTGAGTGATTGCATACTTTTTAAAATAAAACGCTTCATCGATTACATAGTTTCCCAAAATTCCAGGACAATCCAATCTTCGGGAGGTTGATTTTCAAATTAGGCTCAAAAAGCAATATTGTGCAATTTCCCTCCATTTTCTTTTGAATTTAAGCAAGATTAAAAAAAAAGGTCAAAATAAAGAGAACGGTTCTATCCCTTGGATTGTCCTGAAATTTTGGGAAACTATGTAATCGATGATTGTAATGATCGTAACTGCTCTGATGGAGAAATTTACCTGGAATAGCAATTTCAAATGTACAGACCCAAAAAACTCAAGTGGAAGATTTGAGGTGAATCGAAGGTAATGCGCAATCTTTTAGACCACCACGACGACCACGACCACGACCACAACTACAACGACCACAACTACAACGACCACAACTACAACGACCACAACTACAACGACCACAACGACGACGACTACCACTACTACAACGGTAGAACCCACAAATTACTAATGAAATCCAAAGTAGCCAGATTGAACTGAATCGAGGGAATTTTATCCTCAATTTTAAGTCGACGACTACTACGACCACCACTACGACCACCACTACTACTACTACTACGACGACTACTACGACGACTACTACGACGACTACTACGACGACTACTACGACGACTACTACTACTACTACGTCGACAACGACTACTACGACCACGACGACGACGACGTCTACTACCACCACCACGACCACGACAACTACTACAACGGTAGAATCGAACATTTACTAATTAAATCCAACTTAGAAAGATTGAACTGGATCCAGGCAAAATTTTATCGTCAGTTTTTAGTCGACCAACACTAGACCACTATAGCGATACTATATACTACGTCGACAACGACTTACACCAGACACATACCACTACGACGACCACTACTACTACTACTACGACGACCACCACGACGACTACTACTACCACCTCGACGACGACAACTACGACAACGGTAGAATCGATCATTTACTAATTAAATCCAACGTGGAAAAATTGAACTGAATCGAGGGAATTTTATCCTCAATTTTAAGTCGACGACTACTACGACGACTACTACGACGACTTCTACTACTACTACTACGACGACTACTACGACGACTTCTCTACTACTACACGACGACTACTACACTAAGACCACGACTACTACGCACGACGACGACTACTACTACGACGATACACGACGACTACTACGACCACGACCACCACGACGACTACTACTACCACCTCGACGACGACAACTACGACAACGGTAGAATCGAACATTTACTAATTAAATCCAACGTGGAAAAATTGAAATGAATCGAGGGAATTTTATCCTCAATTTTAAGTCGACGACTACTACGACGACTACTACGACGACCACTACTACTACTACTACGACGACTACTACGACGACTTCTACTACTACTACTACGACGACTACTACTACTACTACGTCGACAACGACTACTACGACCACGACGACCACACGACGGGACGACGTCTACTACGACCACCACGACCTACTACTACCACCGACAACGACAACTACGACAACGGTAGAATCGAACATTTACTAATTAAATCCAACTTGGAAAAATTGAACTGGATCCAGGGAAATTTTATCCTCAGTTTTAAGTCGACCACTACTACGACGACTACTACGACTACTACTACGACGACTACTACGACGACTACTACTACTACTACTACGACGACTACTACGACGACTACTACTACTACGTCGACAACGACTACTACGACCACGACGACGACGACGTCTACTACCACCACCACGACCACGACAACTACTACAACGGTAGAATCGAACATTTACTAATTAAATCCAACTTAGAAAGATTGAACTGGATCCAGGCAAAATTTTATCGTCAGTTTTTAGTCGACCACCACTACGACGACCACTACTACTACTACACGACCCGACGACTACTACCACCTCGACACGACAACTACTACAACGGGACGACATTTACTAATTAAACCAACGTGGAAATTGAACGACGAGGGAATTTTACCTCAATTTTAAGTCGACGACTACTACGACGACCACTACTACTACTACTACGACGACTACTACGACGACTTCTACTACTACTACTACGACGACTACTACGACGACTACTACTACTACTACGTCGACAACGACTACTACGACCACGACGACGACGACGTCTACTACCACCACCACGACCACGACAACTACTACAACGGTAGAATCGAACATTTACTAATTAAATCCAACTTAGAAAGATTGAACTGGATCCAGGCAAAATTTTATCGTCAGTTTTTAGTCGACCACCACTACTACGACCACTACTACTACTACTACGACGACTACTACGACTACTACTACTACGACCACGACGACGACTACTACTACGACGAGTACTACGACGACTACTACGACGACCACCACGACGACTACTACTACCACCTCGACGACGACAACTACGACAACGGTAGAATCGATCATTTACTAATTAAATCCAACGTGGAAAAATTGAACTGAATCGAGGGAATTTTATCCTCAATTTTAAGTCGACGACTACTACGACGACTACTACGACGACTACTACGACGACTACTACTACTACTACGTCGACAACGACTACTACGGTAGAATCGAACATTTACTAATTAAATCCAAATTAGAAAGATTGAACTGGATCCATGCAAAATTTTATCGTCAGTTTTTAGTCGACCACCACTACGACGACCACTACTACTACTACTACGACGACTACTACGACGACTACTACTACTACTACGTCGACAACGACTACTACGACCACGACGACTTCTACTTCTACCACAACGACGACGACTACTACCACGGTAGAATCGACTATTTACTAATTAAATCCAACGTAGAAAGATTGAACCGAATCGAGGGAGATTTTATCGTCAATTTTTAGTCGACAACGACCACTACCCCGACCACGACGACGACTACTACTACCACCACGACGACGACGACAACTACTACAACGGTAAAATCGGCCATTTACTAATTAAATCCAACGTGGAAAACTGAATTGAACTGAATCGAGGGAATTTTATCCTCAATTTTAAGTCGACCACTACTACGACGACCACTACTACTACTACTACGACGACTACTACGTCGACAACGGCTACTACGACCACGACGACGAGTACTACGACGACTACTACGACGACCACCACGACGACTACTACGACGACCACCACGACGACTACTACCACCACCACCACTACGACGACAACTACTACAACGGTAGAATCGATCATTTACTAATTAAATCCAACGTGGAAAAATTGAACTGAATCGAGGGAAACTTTATCGTCAATTTTTAGTCGACGACTACTACGACCACGACGACGTCTACTACTACCACAACGACTACTACTACCACCTCGACGACGACAACTACGACAACGGTAGAATCGATCATTTACTAATTAAATCCAACGTGGAAAAATTGAACTGAATCGAGGGAATTTTATCCTCAATTTTAAGTCGACGACTACTACGACGACTACTACGACGACTTCTACTACTACTACTACGACGACTACTACGACGACTACTACGACGACTACTACTACTACTACTACGTCGACAACGACTACTACGACCACGACGACGACGACGTCTACTACCACCACCACGACCACGACAACTACTACAACGGTAGAATCGAACATTTACTAATTAAATCCAACTTAGAAAGATTGAACTGGATCCATGCAAAATTTTATCGTCAGTTTTTAGTCGACCACCACTACGACGACCACTACTACTACTACGACGACTACTACGACGACTACTACTACTACTACGTCGACAACGACTACTACGACCACGACGACGACTACTACCACGGTAGAATCGACTATTTACTAATTAAATCCAACGTGGAAAAATTGATTCGAGGGAATTTTATCCTCCGTTTTAAGTCGACGACTACTACTACTACTACGACGACTACTACGACCACTTCTACTAGTACTACGACGACTACTACGACGACTACTACTACGTCGACAACGACTACTACGACCACGACGACGACTACTACTACCACCACGACGACGACTACTACCATGGTAGAATCGACCATTTACTAATTAAATCCAACGTAGAAAGGTTGAACCGAATCGAGGGAGATTTTATCGTCAGTTTTTAGTCGACGACTACTACTACGACCACTACTACTACTACTACTACGACGACGACGACTACTACTACTACTACGACGACGACGACTACTACGACCACTACTACGACGACTACTACGACTACTACTACGACTACTACGACGACCACTACTACTACTACTACGACGACTACTACGACGACACACTACTACGACCACGACGACGAGTACTACGACGACTACCACGACGACTACTACCACCACTACCACTACGACGACAACTACTACAACGGTAGAATCGACCATTTACTAATTAAATCCAACGTAGAAAGATTGAACCGAATCGAGGGAGATTTTATCGTCAATTTTCAGTCGACGACTACTACGGCGACAACGACTACCACGACCACGACGACGTCTACTACTACCACAACGACTACTACTACCACCACGACGACAACTACTACAACGGTAGAATCGATCATTTACTAATTAAATCCAACGTAGAAGGATTGAACTGAATTGAGGGAATTTTATCCTCAATTTTAAGTCGACGACTACTACTACGACCACCACTACTACTACGACGACTAGTACGACTACTAGTACTACTACTACGTCGACAACGACTACTACGACCACGACGACGACTACTACTACCACCACGACGACGACAACTACTACAACGGTAAAATCGGCCATTTACTAATTAAATCCAACGTGGAAAACTGAATTGAACTGAATCGAGGGAATTTTATCCTCAATTTTAAGTCGACGACTACTACTACTACTACGACGACTAGTACGACGACGACCACGACGACGACGTCGACTACTACCACGACGACGACTACTACTACCACGACGACTACTACCACCACCACGACTACTACAACGGTAGGATCGACAAGTTTCTAATCAAAATTTGAGGTAGTAAAGATTGACCTAATATTGAATTAGAAATGATGAAAAAAATGATACACGGATATTATTGAGTGCCAATAAGAAACTATTTGGCACCAATTTTCATTTCAAAACATTTGAAGCTAACCACCGGTAATAATCTAACTTTTCACTTTACTGAGTCATTTTTGAAACTAGACCTAGTCGGCTGGCCTATTAAACACTCGGCTACCACTACAACTACCACAAGCGAATCAACAACGGTAACCACAGCGGCACCGTGTTTGACAGTTAGCCCAACAGCTACAAGTTCGACAGTTTCCACTACGGCTGCAAGTTCGACAGTTTCTACTAAGGCTTCAGCTTCGACAGTTTCCACAACGGCGTCAAGTTCGATAACCACTTCTACGGTGACTATGGTAGGGTCACTTTCGCGATAACTACTTGCCAAGCACTAACACTTGCTTGATACTGCACTCCTTGGCAATACCACATTGACAGGCAGCATCCTGCTTTTACTGACAACACTGACCATATCAGCAAATGATGTTTTATAAGTCAACTCTTTTGTGCAAAAAAAAATATTCACGAAAAGGTTGAAGGAGCGGATAGATACAGTTGATTTTAGGCCTCTACTAGTACTGTATCTACGACCATTACAAGCTCGACTGTCACCACAGCGACCACGGTGAGACTTGGCTAACAATTTAAGTTTCACGATAACAATCAGAGCCAGAATACCTAAAAATAATGTTTAATCAGCTTGGAATGATAATTTTAGTATTAATATTATAAGCTCTTTAGACCATTGGATCGACGACAACGGGTGTTTGCCGCGACAATGCAACCTATTGCGCCACAAACACGAATATGTGCACAAATACATTATATGCAGGTAGATAGATTTTCTAAATTCAATTCACCCCATTTTCTATAGGGGTCATGAAGATCAACTGCGCGTACAGCTGTGGCTTCTGTAGCAATACCACCACGGCAGCCACCACCACCATGGCCACAACCACCACTTACACTGTAAGTTTTTTAATTAACTTCTACCAAACGATATTCGAGTTTTTAGTGCACTGACAAAACAAGCGTTAACTGTGCGGGAAACACGGGCATGTGCGCGAATCCCACCTATGAAGCGTACATGACGGCCAATTGTCCGGTGACTTGTGGAAAGTGTCCAACAACTACCACCACAGCCGCCACTACAACGAAGCCCTATGTGAGTATTTCTAGTGAGATTAGGTGTACAAAAAATTGAGTTACCGTAAATGATGTATTAGAGCGACCGATCACTCTATTTTTCAGACCCCATTTCAGTTTTTTCAGTTTCTCTATTAGAGGGGGTCTTTCTATTTTTCATAGCCCTAATTTGAAAGAACCAAATCGAATCGTAAAACAATATTATTTCTGTCAAAGAAAATTTCTCATAACATTTATTAAATATTAACAAAATTAAAGTAAATAACAATTAGTCAGCAAGATCAAGAGGAAAATCAAAGCCGAAAAGATTAAAATCATCGCTTGTATCGTCGATTTTCTTCAACATTTGTATCGACGTTTGTGTTCAATGTTCCCAAAAGCTCGACCATTTCTTGATCCAGACGAGCATTCTTCAACTTTTCGTAACCTAAAACAACAAAAAAAATTACTAAAGCAATTAGAAATTAGCAAGTAACAGATCAACCAGTTGGAATGCCCCCATCCGGCTTAAAACAGTGAATGAGATGATCCTCAGCACCGTCCAACGCAATTGTCACAGCACATTCTCTGAATGATTTGGCGATCATTGTTTCAGTAAGTTTCTCCCAAGCATCGGCAATCCATCCCAAGTAATGCTCCATCGAGGGTGGCTTTGGAATTCCTTCTTTTGTTACATCTGGCGTATCCAAAAGTATTCAAGCCTCGTAGCATTTCTTGATATGATCTTTGAAGGGCTTAATCCAAAAAAACGTCTGGACATTGAATGAATTTTGTTGTGTCGCCAGGAATGACAGCCGAGTTCAACTGAAGATTTTTTAGCACTTTCTTCGTACCCTCGCAGATATGCGCACGGAATCAATCCCAGGTGATCGGTGATCGAGCACTCCCATTAAAGAAACGAAGACCTCGGTGCATCTGCTTTAAATAACCGGCAATGATTTCATCGTTAAACCAATTTGTCCCTTTCCAGGCAAGAAACAGTCAGCCCTTAAATTTTTCAACAATTTTTGGATCCACGCGTTTTCTTGGTAAAAGCACATAAGGTTTGAGCTTTTTCCCATCCGCGCTTAACATCACTGAAATCCGCAGTTTGCCGTTTCCTGTTGTCAGCACTCCGACTTCTTTAGCTCCTTTGTCGTCGATGCAGTTGCTTCCTGACGAATCGATCTAAACTCCGGTCTCGTCGGCGGCAAATGCAATCTTGTAATCGTTGACTTTTTGAATGTTTGTTTTTAAATGTCAAATATAGAACAAATTTAGCCAAGAGATTCTCGTAATCGATTGGTGGCTTCTGGCACTGAGTTGTTGCAACTCGAAGGGAGAAATTGTGGCGTCCAAATAAACTTTCTAGCCATCCGTGGCTTTTCTTGACATCGACGCCTGCTTTTAAAAACTCCATCTTCGCTTTATCCAAAAGAATTCTGTGGGTCACCCGCTTCTTTTGATCTCGTTGAGATCGGACCCATTTGGCAATTGATTAGTCAACTGCTGCTCCAGCAAGTGCCTTCCGCCACCATCGAGCCTTTTTCTCTTGCCGTTGAGATCGCTGAGTTGATTCGTCTATTTCTTCCAGTCGTAAATTGATAATCGTGTCACTTCGGACTTCTTTGCAGCCGCGTGGATTGTGTTCGATTTGGCGTATTTAAGAATCTCCAGTTTTGTTTTTGCATCAAGTGCCCTTCTTTTCTTTTCCCATGTTGTCCGCTTCGATTTCGCACTCACGTGCTTCTTCATCGAAGCTTTAGTTCAATCCTTGTTCCAAATCACGACGATCCCGAAATCCAATCAAATCGTTGCTCATTCGTCCACCGTTTGCTCAGCTATTGGCTCAATGATCGCCTTACGCATCTCTTCGGCCATCACCTAAAGAAAAATATTAAAGATTGTAGCAAAAGTTTTAAAATGGGAAAAACTAAAACAATTAGATAACATAGGTAGGTACTTTTTTCAATCTAAAAGAGCGTGCCTAAAAGGTTTGAAAAAAACCTAGGTTTGTGCATGTCTTGATAACAAAAAAAAATATGCACCACATACATTTTAGCCTAAATTATTCCATTTTGTGCAAATCAAATCTGTGGCAATAAATTTACTAAAGCTAAGCAGTAGATCCGACTAGTACTTTAAAAATAATGCCGTCCAGAAAATGAGAAATAAAAAATTTTGAAAGAAGGGGGTCGCTCTAATACAGCCTTTACGGTAAATGGAAAAACAAAGAACTGACATTTTTTGCCTTTTAGTGCCTTTTCAATCCGTAAAGAAAGCAGAGTTTACCAGTAAAACATATTGTGAAATGATAGCAGCTCTGTGAATTTCAGATCTGCGCGGACAATGCCACTTATTGCACAAAGAACGCTGCCATGTGCAATAATTCTATGTACCGTCAATTGATGACAACGAATTGTCCATCGACTTGCGGCCTTTGCTCCAATGAGTCCGCTCAATGTATCGGCAAAAGTGATTTCACCAAGTGAGTTGTTGCAAATCCTAAAAACTTTAATGTTTCTAACTTTTATGCTTCTACTTCTACTTGACCATCGAATTTAGCTGCACTGTTTGGAAGAACAACGGCTTCTGTGACAGTAACTTCTACACGGATGCAACGAAGATGTCTTGGTGCCCAACAACGTGCGAATATTGTGGACCAAACGCTTGCATCGATTATCATAACAAGTAAATTTTGATCGAAAATCGAAAAACTTGTAATTTAGCTGCTCGGTTTGGGCTGCGAACGGTTTCTGTACCAGTGATGCTTACACGGCTCAAGAAAAGAGCTATTACTGTCAGAGAACGTGCGGACTTTGCGGAAATTGCTCGGATCAACACAGCAAGTGAGTCGACGTGTCTGTTAATTTAAAAATGTTTAACTAATTTGTAAAATTAAGCATTCACTAGCTATTGCAAATATTTAGTTGCTCGGTCTGGGCTTCAAACGGCTTCTGCTCGTCGAGCGCTTACAACTCCACGATGAAGAAACAATATTGCGCCAAGACTTGCGGATATTGTGGACTCTTCTGCGCCGATCTCCAGAACAAGTAAAAGTTATAGAGGTTAAGATTTTAATCCCGTTTTAGCTGCACGACATGGAAGGCTAACGGTTTCTGCTCAAGCTCGGCCTACAATGACACCACCAAAGCCTACTATTGCTCGTTCAGTTGTGGATTCTGCGCCGCTTCGACGACGGCGGCTCCATGCGCCGATGTGCACAGCAAGTAAATAGTATCATAAGTTAGATAATAAGTTATAAGATCATAAGTTAACCAAGTACCGTAGCTTACCGAAGTTTTTTTTGAATACACAAACCAATTTATAACCCATTTCAGCTGCACTGTTTGGGCGTCAAACGGTTTCTGCAACAGCACCGCGTACACGGATGCTCAGAAGACGCAGTATTGTTCAAAGACATGTGGTTACTGTGGTACGACGACGTATCGCACTACAACAAAGGCGACCACAATAAAGACCACGACAAAACCATGCACAGATCTGTATCCTGACAGGTTTGAGATTTAAAATGTTTATAGATACATTTGAATACTAAAAAGTAGGATATTTTTCACAAAGCAACAAAAATTTCCAGTTGTCCCGTGTGGAATTCAAACGGCTTCTGCAGCAGCACCTCGTACGATTCGGTGACCAAAGCGGCGAATTGCGCAAAGACATGCGGCTACTGCAAGTAGTTCACCGATTCGACTCTATGACCAAAAATCTGGTCATACTAATAAATTAATTGATTGTTGTTTAGTTTTGTCTTTATTTAATAAATGCATAAACTATTCTACTTTGCTGTTTTTTAAGAATTGGACAGGAAACTTTGAAAGTTTTAAAAGCTGGACAGTAAGGTTGTAAGTTTTTTAAGGTTACTGTAGTCTACAGTATGTGAGACTGAATATCTTTGAACCTAAAAAGATATTGCTCTTAACTTAATATTTTTATCTCAATATACTGTAATAAGACTATGTTCAGCTCAATAGTACTTTTTTGTATTTCACTCTTTCATGAGCATCTTTATTTCCAAAAGTATTTACATGTTTCCTTTCAAATATACATACATACAGTATGGTGCTTGTGTCGAGTGCAGTATAGGAGTGCAATGTGAATGATTACGGTAACAAAACTGATTTATTAGATCGTCTATGACTTAAACGGGTCGACGGCAAAACACGTAATCAAAAAGAAAAACAAAACATGAGAATATCTTACAAAAATGTTTGCGGTGCTGCTGATATGCATGTGTCCGGATTTCTATATTATGCTTGAAAGTGGATTTCTTTCTGATTGTCAAGATTCTGTATTCGTTTTCCCTGACCAAGCAGGAATTTGATAGAACTAGTGAAACAAAAATCGAGAGTACAAAACAAAATGAAAAAAAGACTAGGCTGAGATCAATCCGAAAAGGCGAGGAGGCTAGCGTGCATTGTGAAAATCGGGAATGAAAAAAGTGGATGGGATGGGGGAAAAACCGGTGATTGAGAGAGTGATCGAAGAATAAAAAGTGATGTTAAAGCTATCGTCTAATTATTTCTCGTGAAGAGGCATTGAATCGGCGAGAAGTAACAGTTCCTGGGGTAACTTTTCTTCTCGCTTGATCGACGCTCACGTCGCTCCACAATGGCTCGCGCTAGTCGCTCGCGTTCGGCCATCGTCTCGAGCTCTCTGAAAATAGAGTTGTTTGGGTCTTGCCTTTGAGGTTCACTATTAAACTATATAATCTTAAGCCATGAGGATTTGATTTTTGTTTTCTTGGTGTCTGACTCTTGAAGCTAATTCATTCGATAGAACTCCAGTTCTATAAAGATTTTGAGGACAGTGATTGCCTGATTTTAGAGCTCCAATTGTAAATTCTTGGTTCAAACTATGATACTTGTGCTGTTTTATAAACTCTAACTTCCATCTTTCATACAATTTTGAGTTTGAGCTATTATGGTAGCTCTCAAACCTTCTAAAACCAGGGAATTTATTATATTTCTCAAATTTCATAGTCCTGCATTCAGTTCTATGTAGTTTTCTGCCCACATGTGCTTCAATTCTACTTTCTCATTCTTTTTCCAAGCTTCCATCAATGAATGACCACTCGAAACACCCCTCTTTCTCTCTCAAAATGCCATAAAATTCGAGGAAATCTCTCGAAGTTTTCATTTATATTGCCTGTCAATATTTGGTGATGAAAAAGCAGAAAAAGTGGTGAGGCGTAGGCGAGAAATTTCAAGTTCCCACTCAAAAACCGTGCGAGGGAATTTTTTTTGCTCAATTACGAGTGACGTAGTTGATCGTTTATTATGCTTTTTTTCTGGAAAAGAAACCCGTTCCACTTGGTCAAAGAGAAAATTGAACAAGACTAAAGTGAATAAGTGGTTCATGGTAACTTTTGTACTTTGCATCATTATATAGGAAAAGTGCAATACGTCATTGGCATGAGTCTTACAAGGAATCAAATTTGATCTCAGATTGGGGTTATGAGTGAAGGTATTGTTTGATGGGGAGTTTTGAATTGCGTAGGGAAAAACCTAATCCTTTTCTACAAATGTGGAATCACAAGGAAACTGGGTGCTGATCTTTTTCCAACTCTTAACAAATCCCGAATCATTCGAAAACTAAAAATAAGTCATTATAAAGAAGATCTTCAAAGATTCAATTGTGGATTGCTAACATTTTCTCACTAATCGTTCCAAGAACCCCTCACAAAAGTTCCATCTTTCAACCGTTAATCCCAAGAAAAGGTGAAAAATCAAATCCTTGTTTTGCTAGGAAATTTAGAGGAAATGAACGGAGAGATTGTTTTGCGATAGCCCGGAAAAAAAATGCCAATTTAGGGGATCCACTTGGTGGCACAAAGAGGAGATAAAATTGCATCCTGACCACCGGTCAACGGAAATAACCAATGAAGAGCCATTTCCCCTTTCAAAAGCACTACTCTCACACGCGTCTTCGATTTCATTCAAGCTCGAATAATTTGTAATTAGTATATTTGTAGTAGAGATATCATTTTACCGTGCGGAATTGGGGGAAATGGATTTGATTCACAGGAACATGGGTATTTTGTGTTTTGAGTTTTGTGTGGTCAAAATTGCGCTCAATTTTTTCTCCTAATGGGTGCTGTCGGGAATTTAAGCGTTCAGAGTTCAAAATGCCGACCGGAAATTGCGTAAATTTCTAGTTTACTCACTTATTTTCATTGAGATTTGGATGGAAACGCGGATTGATTGAATTTTTGATCCTAATGGTACTGTAGAGCCCGAATACAGTATACCAGAGTTAAGGATTCAGTCAGTTTATTTAATATTTTTCAAATTCTTTAATGATACAAAAGATATTCAGTCTCCTTGGCTGAATATTTGTCTTTTAGGATAATATTTGTCTTACTGTACCAAGGCTACAGTATCTTTGGTTTACAAATTGTTTACGAAGACACTTTTTAAGCAAAAGTACTCAATAGCGTTGTTTATTAGATTTTATCTAGCTCTGAAAACTTTCAGATCATCAATGACCTAGAAAATCTCCCAAAAACAACTTACGTCAAAATCTCGTCAAGGTCTAATCGGTGATGATTGTAGGCACTGGAGAGGCTGAAGAGTGCGGCCAAAAGCAATAAAACAATGCTGAGGATCCTCATTTGTGTGTTTTTGAGTGAAAGGGGCCAAGCTGGAAATGGCTGGAGTTGTTGTAAAAGTTGAAAATTCAATAGACCACAAGTATAGTAAGTTTTAAAGTTTGAAAACTAAACAAGTAATTACTTCAAGAGGAAGAAAGCCTGAAAACCAAGTAATAAATATTCAATTGGGTAACTTGTTGATCAAAATATAATGCTTCAGGGGTACGGTATGCGATCAAGTGATAAGTATCGTTTTCTCCGCTGTCGTTTTTGAAAAACATCAAAATATTTCGTTGAAAGCCGACGGGGAGAAAAAGGGAAAATGGGTTCACAGACAGATTAGCTTTTCAATTTTTTCGGCTCAAAAAAACAAAAAGACGGGGTGAAAGGTTAGAGAAAAAGCTCGAAGTTGTTCAGCATTGAATAATGAGTTCAATGGGAGGTCTTTTCGGAAACGGAAATCCAATTTTTTGTGAGCAAATTAAAAAGATGATCGGCGGGGCATTCTTTTGCTTTTCTTTGTTTTTTGCCTTTCTTTTCACCCCACGCCTTGAGGGCTCACATTACATTCCGCAATCTATACAAAAGGTGTCCACAAATCTCCGTCTTTTTTGGAGAAAAAGAACACCTGGCTAAAAAGAAAAAAGAGTGAAAAGAAGGAAAAATTTGAGGCATATTCTGGGAAGAATTTTTTTGGAGAAAAGGCAAAAGAGTCTGGACCCATGTGGGTGGTTTGTTCATTGAGCTTTTCGAGATCAGAATAGAAGGAGTTGGATGAAATATTCAAAAAAGTGGATTCAATTTGGCTTTTGGCCTCAGATAAAGCTTCCTATGGCTTTTGAAGTTTTCATTCTTCGAGTCTGTGATCAGAAACTTGCAATAAGTACTAAAAATGAGTTGAACTTGACCTGCTTTAGTTGAAGAACAAGTTTGTTTACCTATCCAAGCTCTAGCACATTAGCTGAATGAAAATTTTTCAGCTGTTGGCTTAGCTAGACAAGCAGGTAAGCTCAAAAATTTCACTATCCATTTCTGAGAAAAGACTTATCAGTTACGAAATCGGACTAGTAATTGGAGAAAGGTAAAGCGATAAGATCAAACAACGTGAAAAGCAGAGAAGGAAAGAGGAAACGAATGAGGGGAAAAGGTAGACAGACTTGAATGTATTTTAAAACTTCCTCATGAAAAATTTCAATTCAAAGAGCTCAAAGTTCACAATGGGTGGGTTTTTCATGATTGGTGATAAGAAAGAGGGAAGGATTGAAAAGCCCGCATTGCGTGGGTTCCGCGAGTCCATCAGAGGCAAAGCGGTACCGTGATATCAAGAAATGCTCAGGACAAGCCTTTCGAAGAAATGCGAATCTTGAAAAGACAAAGAATAAATTGAGAGGGGAATTCTGAGTTCTCTCAGTGTTTTCGCATAGTTTTGCGTGATAATCAGCGGCTCCGTGTCTCCCAACACTTTCAGAATTGAGCTCAGGTCAGCAGATATTGAACTCAAAAACATAAAAAAAGGATTTGAAATTGTTATGATTTCAAAAGTTGGGTGATTTTCATCAAGATTTCAAAGTTTGAGTGAAAAACAAAAATGTCATACGAAAAATTTCAAAATTCTAATCGTAAGTCTAAATGGAATTCTGCGATAACACCAATTTCCCATTCAGAACCGATTCTTGTTTTCATAAGAGAAAAGCTGAAATTTGTGTAACTTTACGTTACTAATTGGAGATTTTGAAGTACTGAAGGGTAATTCCTATTTTCCAGCTGAGGACACGAGAAAGAGCTGAGCGAAAACAGAAATGATAATGAATATTTTTCTCGGTCAAATCTTTCCCCTTCTCCACACTCTGAATTTATATGGGGGAATTACGTATTAATTGTATCCTCAGAAAAACTCCTCTCAAATACGAAAAATAAGCATTGTGTTCGCAAAGAAGTGGAAAATTGCTCACCACACAATGGGGGGGGCACACTGGTGGAGATCAAGAAGAAAAGGATCGGAAAAACATGGGGTATGGTTAAATGTGAATGAGTAAGTGCTGAAGAATTATAAATTTCTGTTATGACATGGGAAATTGGAAAAGATTTTGTTCCCTAGAGAATTGGATTAGAGAAATTGGTGAGTTAGTCTGGGAATCTTTGGAGTGAGACAAGAAAAGAGTCTGCGAGTTGAATGCGTATGCTACGTGAATTGAGGTTCTACAGTTTTTGCAAAGACTTTCAAACTTTTTCCTGAAATTTTGCCTTCAATAATGACTCAAATTCAGATTTGAGAATATTTTGGCTAGACTAAAGCCTAGAGCTTTTGTCTAGAGCCAAGTATTTGCAAATCTTTGACGAGTAAACAAGCTAACTATTGAGCTCACTTTCTTCAACATTTGTCGTTCTTGAACTTGGCTTACTATTGAGAAATAAGGGCATTGATTAATTTTGAGTTCAAAAATAAAATACTCAGTTATACTAAAAGCAGCTCATGAACGATTTCCGCTAAGGAAATCATGGATGGGCACAAAAAGACGGATGACGAGGAAAGGAGAAAATGGGAGGAGGAACGGAAAGAAGATCTAGAGTAGAGAGGGTGGAGGAGCGGAAAACGACGTTTGAGTGGTGCAAAAAGGAAGAAGAGAAGAAACTCTATAAACCAGCTGTTCTTTCTGTTTCTCTCTTTCGCTTTTCCTTCGGATTGCAAAAGGGGATGAGCGCACGCGGAACACTCGACCCTAAGACCCTCCCTCGCTTTCTTCTCCCTCCAAGATTTCCTTGGAATCCTCCCAATTTGGAGAATTCATGATTCCTTGGTTAAATATCAAAATTGAAAACAGATTGGCTGAATCTTTGTTGCAAGTAGGAACTTATACTATGTTATTATACAAATTAAACTTATTCAATGTACTTCAAGCTGATTTTAGCTCGGATAGATAGATACCTTTATGACATTGTAACCCTAATACGGTTTCCATCTTCTATCGTCAATTTTTTTGCCTACGGTCCAGTTCAGGTGCTTTCTGAGACTCTGGCCTGTCCGCAGGCCAGGCATTTTAGAACTAAACATCTCAATGAAGACAACAGAACCGGAAATGATGGTTTGTGTGCAAGTGGTGAATGTTGAAAAGGAATGAGAGGAATGCCACGTGGTTATTCGCTTCTAAAAGGGATGCGCAAATAAAGACTCTCCCCGAAATGTTCAATCGCCCATTGTTGCGCTCAGAAATCATTTTTTATGTCCATTCATTGCAAGAATCTCGATGAAAAATGAGTGAAGGGACCGAGAAAGAAATGTTTCCGCTTTGAGGGGAAAGTGAATGAAAGTGAATTTCAGAATTGTTGAGAAGAAAAGGACACTGGACTGGAGAAAATTTCTAATTTCGTCCATTCGAGATTGATTTCGAGAAAATGTGCAAATTTGCAGCTTGGCGCTATCAAGATCAATGAGTCAAAGAATGAAACAGAAAAAAAGGAAGCAGAGAATAGAACAGAATTCTAGGAAAAAGATTTGAAATCTTGAAAGGATCTGGGTTTTGAAAAGGGTGGTAGATCTATTTCAATGTCACTGTGGGTCACAAGTAACCTTTTCTTGGGTTATGGGTCAAGTAAACAAGTCAGGAAGCAGGAACTTTGTAATAAAGTAGCTATGAGCCAGTCCAGTTTAAGGATTCGCGGGAAAATCGAACAATACCTAACTCTTACAGTATCTAACTCTTGTCCTGCGTCGAACAAAACATTATTAGAATGCTTAATTGAACATATTCCAAAAAAGACCTAACAAGACACAGCTCGACATATGGATTGCTTTAACCGGCTGGTTAAAAGAAATCCTCTAGAAGTACCGGGTGGGAAAAGAAGAAGAGTTGAATTGGGAATGTGGGTGGTGATGAGCTGAAAGAGAAACCGAAAGAAGCACAAGAAAGACAAGAGTTGAGAGCTAAGGTTTGGGAAACAGAACCAATGGAAAAAGTACTGAAGACAGCTGAAAAGCTGAAAAACTGAGAAGAAAAGAGGAGGTTAGTAAGTGTGACATGAACGATGACGCGTTTTTGTGGGCATAGAGAGGGAAGAGTTTCAAGAACGGCACATGAAGTGAAGAGAAGAACGAACACTCTCAAGCACCCGGCTGCTGACTGGGAAAAGCCATTGTCCTCGCCTCGTTTGTATTTGTGCCTATCTTTTCTCTATATGTTTGCCTGATGTCTATGTCTAACTTTTCACGATTCCGTCACTTTGAAGACTTGGTGCTTAAAATAGACATCCTTGCGGGTTTTTTTTGCGGAAAAGTGAGGGAGGGTTGATTTATGGGAAACGATGGGGATGATATCTAAAATGTGATAAGTTTAGCAAAGCTAAGCTCTAAGATCTAAGCCAAGATAAGGTTGCTGACAATATACCTAGCTGCAAGCACTGATACAATAGCAGTACGTATGGCAACCGTACGGTAGCAATAGTCATACCTCTAGTATTGACAAAGGTGCTATAGATCCATTAAGGGTACTGTAGATGAGGGCCAGACCTACTGTAGCTTAGCCAAGAAATACTGGAGATCAATCAAGGGTACTATAGATAGAAAAGGATACTGTAGATGAATCAAGACGTACTGTAGGTAAAGCACAATTTAGAAAAACAATCAAGTACAAAAATCCAGGCTTGGTTCAAAATTTTTGAGCTCAAAGAAAAAAGCAAACAAAATGTCATTTGACTCAGAATAGAGTTGAGGTCATAACCAATTACTTAAATGTATATGGTTTATTTCCAAATATCCAATCACTTCACCAGATCCGGGTGCTCAAAATAGGTATATTCAGCTAAAAGTGAGGGAGCGGGATTTTGTTGAGTTGACGTTCAAAGGTGAATGCCCATTTCCCTTTCCAAATAACTTCACTCACGTGTGTTGCCCAATAATTAATCTCAAATTTGGGATAACAATGAAATTTTCAGCCTTTCCAAAAATATTATGTACAATGGGACAAGAATATCGAAACCTTGTGATCGAGAAAGAGACCTCAAAAACAATCGAATTCCACTTCGAT